TAAGTAGGCTTCTTTTACATTGACACATTCATGTTGTTTTAAACTGCGTAACAATTAGATATGCAACGATAATAGATTTTGGTTGTACAATTATAACCTGAAGAATAATCATGGTTTTACCATTATTATGCATTTATTAAATTCAAAACACTACTAGTTTGGAAAAAACAAAAACCAAATACAGCACATTAAATTAATAAAAGACAAACAATAGTCCATTTTTCTCTTTGGACTTAAACATAAATAAAAAAGCTTTCGATTTACACAAGTGATAATTTTACAATGAAAATAAATGACAGAACAATGAATGAATAAAAAGAATTTTAAAAAATCGTATTTGTCTAATGTTAATTTAAGCTATATATTAGCAAAAGTTAAATGAACTGTAGTTATCATCTGCATTTATACATGCATAATCATTTAAATATTTTGCAATAATTCATCTGACATATCTTTTGTTTACATTGCACTACTGCACACGTCTTCATTAAAAATAATGCGTGCGGAAAAGACGCAATGTCAACGGCTTGCTGCTATAGTAAATCCAATGTGCGTGCGTATTGTCATAACTTTGTTGCGGCAGCTTTTTTTTTCATGCAATAGAAATGCGGCATTGACAAGCCTTTTTTGAATAAAGTGGGGTTAATAGTGAAATCTGCTAATCATTACATCCCTATTAACTATATCTGTGCATTGTACAAAAGGACTTTTCTACAAACATATCCAAATGTTTTCGGCTGCTCGCACCACTTGCTTAATGTCAGTTGACTCGCTCTCTGCGTAGCCTTTAACTGCAGCTTGTGAACAGACGCACGCCACTTCACAACTATAGCGGCCATTTTTTGACAATTTATTTTGATGTCTTGGTCACAATATTTGGAGGGCTCGAACAAATTGCCTCTGGGGGCAGGTTTGGTGGGCCAACAATTGAATAACCCTGATGTATTAAAATGAATTGAGCATAACCATTTAAGAGCTTGATGGTGTACTTGTGCTGACTGACACCTGACACGCCTGAACAGAAAGTGCCTCTACTGAGCATATTCCATGCAAATGGTTAAATACATGAGAAACTATGTACAAAAGGCCATTTTTCGGTGTATGCACACCTCCTGATGTCATGGGTTGCGTCCGAAACCGCCTACTACTTAGTAGGTACTGCATTTGAATTTAAACGTACTACTCGGCCGTTAGAAAAGTACATTCTATACAGTATGAATGTGAAAAGTATGAATGGAATTCGAACATACTACATCCGCCATTTTGACAGTCACGTGACGTGCCTGCGTAATTTGCGTCGCTTCATGGGATAGCGCAGCATGCATGGGATGCGCACTCCAGAATCTCGCCGGCAGTAGTAAGTTATCCAGGTACTTCTCACATACTGTTTTTCGAATTCTCTGAATCGGACATACTACTCGGCTCACATACTGATTTTAGCGTACACTATAGTATGGAAGTATGCGGTTTCGGACGCAGCCACAGTCATTCATTTGGATCTGTACAGCAGTTTAAGTATTTTGTGTTGGTCTTTTTTTTCATAGCAAGTTATCAGCATTGTGATATTTTAGCAGTGTCACATGCAAGTCCTAATTTTGCCATTATGACAATAGTGCTGGACATTATATATAGAAAGTGCAGCTGATTGTGAACAATTTAGCAAAGGGGTGCCCAAACTCTGTCCTGGAGGGTCGGCATCCTGCATGTTTTAGCTCCAATTCAAATTAAACACCTGAACCGGCTAATTATGAAGTTCTTCTTGGGTATACTAGAGTCTTGCAAACAGGTGTGTTGTAGGAAGTCGGAGCTAAACTATGCAGAACACCAGCCCTCCAGGACCGAGTTTGGACAGCCCTGGTTTAGCCAGTCACTAAAGCACAGCACTAACAGTTCTTTCATAGTGTTGCAAGTCACACTCACCTTGTTCAGCCTCCCTGTGAGATTGACAACAATTTTCCCGGCTCTGTGATCATCAATGATCTCAAATTCACCAATGTAACCTGCGGAGATCAATCAACGAGCAACTTGTTTGACAATAACGCTTCAAAATAACAGAATTCTTCAAATATACAAAACTAAATGTGTAACTCACCATGCTTCATCATCACAGTCAGAAAGCGTACTATGACTTTAGAGCAGGGCCTGAGGAGAACCTGGCGTTTTCCACGTTTCTCAGCATTATTGATGCTTTTCAGCGCATCAGCGAGAACGTTCATGCGCACCATGATGCCTGAGGAGGAGGAACAGGACAGGATTTATACAATATTCAGTCATTACATCAGTCACACAGCCTCATATGGCCAATTTAGCAGCAGATGTACATCAACGGGGTAGACGTAAGACAGAGTCCAACTGTGTTTAGAGGGAAACGTAATGTTAGTTTCAAACAAAACCCGGCTCAAACTTTCTCCGACATCGAGAGCGCTTCACGTTTAAGCGGTGCGTGAATTTGTTAGCAGATAACCGCTATGTGAGCTTGTCTTCACCCTTGACTAGTGTACTTCACAATAACACACATTAGTGATGTTAAATAAGGCACCGGCGTTAATAATAACTTCAGTTTGACTCGTGTTTGCCTCTCGGTATCATGGAAAGGCATTACTGGGCGATGGAGAGGTTGAACGCTCATGAAACTCTGGGTAATTTATCCCTTCATACATACACGATTGGCCAAATGACTTAAAAATCTTGCACTTGTGGTGTTCGTGAAGCTACATGTCGCTCTCTCTGTGGATGATGAGTGACGATGTGCGTGATTTTAAACAGATTACACATGCAATGAAGAATCCTGAGCCTTACCAGTTCTGCAATATGGCGGAAAGAGGAAGGAAGCGGGGCGCGCGGTGCGATTAGGGAAAAATGTACTCTCGCGAGAATGTAAAAGGACGCTGCGTGCTGACGCGTCTGTGCGACTGCCCTCTATTTGTTTGGAGCGCCGTACAGAAACACCCTTATGCATTTACCTGTTTACAAAATATAATTTACGTCGCATACTTTAAAGATTTTATTTGTTTGTTTTTTCTTTATGGCCATTTTTGACTCCATTAGAGTCTTTCATTGCAATGCTACGCCTCTAGTCTCAGAATAAATCAACTGAGCCCTACTATACAACTGCATTTGACAAATTCTCAAGTGCACCAGTATTTACTCAACTTTATTTTTAATTGCCGTTGTAAATATATAATATATACTTATATTTATTCTTTACAAAGGTGTCATGTTCTGCAATACATGTTGGTTCTGTAAATAATTGGACACCATTAACATTGTGTAAGGGACTTTATTTAGTGAAATATTCCTATTCCTCATTCATTCATTGTCCTTCAGCTTAGTCCTATTAATCATCATGGGTCGCCACAGTGGAATGAACTGCCAACTTATCCAGCATATGTTTTACAAAGCGGATGCCCTTCCAGCTGCAACCCAGTACTGGGAAACACACATACACCACGGCCAATTTAGCTTATTCAATTTACCTATAGCACATGTCTTTGGACTGTGGAGGAAACCGGAAGACCCGAAGGAAACCCACGCCAACACGGGGAGAACATGCAAACTCCACACAGAAACACCTACTGGTCCAGCCAGGACTCAAACCAGCATCCTTTTTGGTTGTAAGGCTGACCACTGAGCCACCGTGCCACCCTATGGGTAAATTATTATTTTGAAAATGTACTTTCTATTAAGTTACATTTTTGCTTCATTGATAGTGTTTATTTAAACATATATTTACATATTTTAATCAAAAGTTTTAGTTTCATTTGTACATGTATTTATTTAAACGTATAACATTTCTTTTTAATGTTTATTTCTTATTTGATTGTTTTAGCATTTTTACAAATATTATATAATTTTTGTTGCTACAATTAATCTATTAAATGCATTTAAAATGTATGGTGCTTAACATATTAATATATAATGTATGTTATAATTTATCCATTTATTTCTAGAGTCGAAAATAATTTTAAAGAAATTGCCATGGTCAAAATACATACAAATATCAGAGGAAATGTGTTTTTTTTATTATTGCACCAATATTTTAAAAGTTTTACGAATGTTTCTATTTTCCTGTCTTTGACTAGTGTTGCGGGCCTCAAGACTATTTCATGAGAGCCACAACATCAATTAAAATTGTAATGTTATTTGAATTTAATATCTGTAAAAACAAAGTCAATTAACAGTTAGAATCATACTACAAGCAAGTGAGCAATTCCATGCAAATGTCAACCTTGTCATGAAAAAAAAAAGGTTTTCACCAAAATACGAAAACCGTTTCTACGTTTTTTGTGTAGGCTTGTATTTTACAGTACTTTAAAATTACTCAAAAATGTCTCTGTAAATGTTTTCAAACAATTATATTTGATTTACCAAAGTCACACAAGTGGAAAGTTCACATCTGTCACATCCATAACGAAGTTCACAAATGCAAAAATGTCAAATAAAATAAAGTCAATCATTTTTGTTTTATAGAGACAACTCTTCTCCTTTTGATTATTATTGTTTTTCTTTTGGGTTTTGCAGTTTAATTCACAGAGTTACTACAAAGTATGTTGTATACTTTAAACTCGCATACTTTTTTGATCACGTCCATGTCACGTTTATTTTCCTCATTTAAAGTACAAAACATTTTTACAGATTGATATTTTTCTGATCCCTTGCTCAGTTGTTTTGGAAAGTATAAACAGATGTTTTAATATAACGTTAACATGTACTCTCTGTGATTTTACCTTTTAATTTTTTACTGAAAATGTCACATCCATAACGCTGGAACTGCTCACATATATTATTTAAATAATTAACATGTGTTTATATTATGTCTAACTGTATATACTTTCAGTACAAAATTATTAGTAAAACTGTTTAATATCTTTAATAAAAGTATTTAAGTATTACAAGGGGCCTTGAGGTCATAAAGTGTAGGAGCTCACAGCATTCTCCTAAAAGTGTATTTTTACAAACATGTAAAAGTAAACTTACAATAAATCAGACCAAACACCATGTATGCGACATTGTTTATTCTGTTGATTGTTTCACTCTTTATGATCTCAACAGACTGATTAGTTTTGTCTTGTAGTACAAAAGGAGCAGCTATGATTAAGGTAAAAACAATTCAGAAACATGTATTGTACTTAAGTCAGGATTTTATCTGGTCCTATAGCGAGCTAACAAGTGCAGGATTGACAATCAGCTCTAAGTGCAACACAGTAAACAGCATGAGGTGATGGTCTACTATGGTTAATGTCCATTTTGCTGGTTCTTCAGCAGGAGGTCCATGTAGGCTCCATCTATCAGATCCTCCTCCTTCACCCCCAGGTCCAGCATCAGCTGATTGGCGATGCTCACTCCTTCTTCTCTGCTCTGGTCTTCTTTCATCACCACCTCCAGCTCCATGAAGTCCCCCAGACCCTCCACAGAGTCCACATGGACCCTGGTCTGTCCCACCATATACAGCCTCCTCTCTTTCTTCACCTGGCCGACCTGCCCCAGCGCGTCCGTCAGAACTTTGACCAGCCCCTGTGGGTCGTTTGTGGGGGTTATGGAGTAGTTTGACAACTTGGGTCCTTCGGTATCTGGCCTCTCATAAAAGATCAGCTGTCCTGCCCCGTCCTGGAAGTCTCTGAGCTTCAGGCGTCCCGCGGGGACTCTGAAAAACGTGTCCTGCTGACGGATCACCGTCCCGTCGGAACCGCTCAGCTCCTTTGCACGCTGCGTGAGGTAACGCATATCACGCAAAACGGCTTTTATTTCCACATTTGACGGCATCTTTACAAAATAAGTCTACGGTATGAAGACGCAGTGCAATGCAAGTGCTCTCGTGTTGTTTTGGCGCGCTTACGCACAAAGATGTACAGCGCATGCGTACTAGAGACGCTTTTGATTCATCCAAGTGATTCGAATCTTTAGAAAAAAAATCTCAAAAAGGAATAAAACGAGTCATTTTGCAGTAAAATGTCTTGTAGTGGTTGAGTTTATAATGAATTTTCAAAATTATTTGGAATGAATTTTATACCGACATAATATTCACGAATTTAGCAATCAGAAGCCTACAAAATTAATTAATTACTATTATGGAAATGGATATTTAAAAATGTTTTATCTACACTTTACTCAGTTTTAAAGAAAAAAATAATCAGATCAGACAGAAGATTATGTAGATGATATCAATTATTAATATAGACTAAGGTAGTAAAACAATGAAATTAAAATAACACTTGACGAGTGATACATCCTTTGCATGATAAAAGTTTTGGAAGTCAATTATTATTTAATTATTGTTATATTATTATTATTATTATTATTATTATTATTATTATTATTACGGTTTAAATTTTCTAAATGTTTTCCTCACAAATATAACAACATTATTATTTATTTATTTATTTATTTATTTGGTTTACAGCTTGGGATAACAATAAAATGACAATCATAATAACAGCCAAAACAAAACGACAAACCAATTCACTATGGTGTTGCTAAAGCACAGTCCTTCATATTTTTGCAGTTAACAAACTGATTTCAATGTATTTAAAAAGATTCAATCTTATGGATGAACATGAACGATTCGTTTAAATTCATTCATGCACACGATTCGAACAAACCACCACTCCAGCGCATGCGCATTTCACACCTATTTCTGTCACTATCATGGAATAAGTCAAATGTTACGTGGCATTTAAATGCATTACAAATGAAATATTAACACTAATTCAGTGTATTGACATCTTCAGGAAAGCAAAAATATATATCAGATATCGGAATAGCACAGCGTTCACAGCGGATATCAGTGTAATTCGTGTCCCTTTGGCTTTCCAGAGACATGTTTACATCCCAGACCTCTTCCTTTCAGGAGTCCATAGACGTGGATGAAAGAGATGCAGACTTCGACAGCGAAGAGATCGCCGGATACAGCCAGAAAATACAACAGATTAACAGCTACTATGCCATATACTACTACCAGAGCACAAGGTACAGTGGTTTAACGTTACCCATGTAAATTGGCATGGGATCGTAAGCTAACGTTGTGCTAAGAAGGCTTTTCCTAATGCAGGGTGCACTGCAAGTTTTCAAAATGCTAGTTTCTAAAATACTTGTTAAATTTTGTGCTTATTTGTAGCGAATGAGATTTATGCAAGGACAGTTATGAGGGGTAATGCTTGATACCCCTGAAGGACATAAATACATTATAGGGGAGAAAGAGAAACAATTTGCTATGCTGTGTGTATAAATAATAATGTTAATAATTTAAATTAATATAAAAAATCAAAATCATAATATAAATATACATTTGATCACCCATATAATGGTTCATACCACTGTGAATGCATAATAGTGATTCACTTATGTGAACCTTGTAAACTTAACTTTTCACAAGAAAAGTGTTTTCTTGTAAAATAGCAGTTTGTTTCTACATATAGCATAAAACTAAAGTAAAATTAGATGCAGTTTGACTTACAGTGACCTCTAAATTAGCTACTGTATGTCAGAATACTGTAGGTCAGAATACACAAAATATTGCACAAAACACTGAAAACCTAAATACATTTTATCTATAAATGAGGTGTAATTTAAACAAATACATACATTTGAATCATTGAAGCATGTATTACACAAACTAACATTACCGAAAAAGTTGACCCCCTCCTGATCGTCTATGTATAATTTGCACCCTGGTTATGTCTAGCTAACCTTATGCATTTTTTCTATGTATATTTGAATTGCTAACATGATATGATATGCTGATATGATAAAAATTAAACATACTCTTTTATGACATTTTTATCTTACAATATCTTTAATTAGCATAGTTCACAATAATGGGTTAGCCAGAAGAAACCATGAATGTACACTGAATGAATTTACCACACGGCTAAAGAAATAATTCAACTAAACCAACTAAACAATTTCAGTTTCTCTGGATTTATTAAATATGGGATAATTTCTTCTAAATCTTAAATTAAAAACAATGTTATTAAGAGCATTTTATTCCCTATTAAAGGACACTTGGTCAGAATAATAAGTGTAGTCTTTTGTTGTAATTAAAAACCAAGGTTATTTCTCAAATCTTGCTTTCTAAACTACTCTGAAGTTAAAACATTGGCTAAAATTATATATAAAATCTGTAAACTTCACCATTTTGTTATTTCGGGGTAAAATGCTTTGAATTGCATTGTCATTTTAAATTTAAAAAAAGTCATTTGTAGTTTACTAGTTAAAAAATGAAATGTAAATCATAAATCCAGAGAAACTGGAAGTAAACTCATTATTATTTTCCTGTATATACCCCAGGGTATCTGCGAGCTCTTACAATGTCCTACATTTCAAAAACTACATTTTAGGCCTCAAAAGGTTCACTGAACTATTGGGTTGTAGGTCTTAAATCATTTTAAACAGGTCTTAATTTCCCTATGTCCAAGTAAAGCTACCCTATCAAGCAAACACCCAATCACCAGTAATCCATCTCAAAACTTTTAGTTTAATATTTAAGTTTTTTTATTGCAAAGAGAAACAATTCACAACAGCTTTTAGACATTTTTACAGCAAATTCTCCAAATTAAATTCCCCAATCAGGGAAAGAAAACTAAAGCAACACATCCCTTTACATGAGCTTCAATTAATACAAAAAAACTAGCTGGCTCATTAGAATAAAAATCCTTGATGTTTAGCCCTGTATACATCTAAAATTTTATTCATACTGGTCTTAAAAGAGTCTTAAAAAGTCTTACATTTGACTTGAAGATACCTGCAGAAACCCTGATAGATGTATATCAGGGGTGCTAAACCCCGTTTCCTGGAGATCTACCTTCCTGCAGATTTTAGCTCCAACCCTGATCAAACACACCTAAACCAAGTAATTAGGACCTGAACCGCACTTGATAACTACAGGCAGGTGTCATTGATATGGGTTGCAATTGAAATCTGCAGGAAAGTTGATTTCGAGGTACAGGGTTGGTCACCCCTGCTAAAGACACTATTGTTATGGATATAAGAAAAAAGAAAAGATGACCATGTAGGCCAATGAGGATACCGGGAGATCATAACATATATATACACGTATAACACATTATCAACTACCCAGATCTGAGGCTTCTGGAGAGAGTGTGGCGTGGAGCCAGAGGAGATCGGACTCAACCACAAGTCAGGAAGACTTTAGGTAAAGAGGGTCCCTCCGTCATCAGTCATTACAGTCCCGTGACTTTCAGTGTTGTTATGAAAAAAGAAATCATGGCTTCGGTCAGAAACTTCACTCAGGATTCTGCGTCTGGCATTTCATCATGTTGGCTTGCACACGTCATCAAAAACCATCCGAAATAACCTGTCTAACATCCATACTCTTGTCTTTCTGTCAGTATGTGTCTCTGCTAGGGGCTGCTGCTGATTCTGTTAACTGCATTGCTTCATGAACTGATTTTCTGTCTGCTTGCTCTTTTAGTCTTTCCTTGTTGGTGCGATGGTTTGTAAGTAACATATATTTTCCCACTCTTAAAGTCTCACACTACTGGATGCCAGTTTGCCATCGGAGGCAGAGCCTGAACTGCGAAGCTACATCTCCCGCAGGCTGAGCAAGGGTGCTCTGCTGGGGGGTATGGGTAACATTGCCACCGTGGAGCTAAGGTGTGTTATATATCAGTGTTGTTGATGTTAACGTCAATCATATTCACACTTAAGAACAATTTTTGATCATCAAAATGGGGTATTTAAAGATTGACTCTTTTATAAACAAAGTGTTAATTCATTTAAAATAAACTTATATACATCTAGTTTAAAAAAGCTGAAATAAAAATAAAAATATAAACATACATAAAATATACTAATAAACAGTTAAAATAATAAAAAAATGGCAGAAGCACATAATTAATTAATTAAAACTGTAAATAAAAATTTAAAAGGAGAGTTCAGCCCAAAATAAAGAATGAATATATATATTTTTTCTCTCTTTTGTGGTTTTAAACCTTTATGATGAGTTTCATTCTTCTGTTGAATAGAAGATATTTTGAAGAATGTTGGTTGCTGGGACCCATTAACTTCCACATTTTTCAAAGTATCTACTTTTGTGTTTAACAGAAGAAAGAAGAGTTTCTTAGATTTAGAACAAGTTGAATGACAAATCAATTTTTCATTTTTGGGTGAACTATATCATTCATAATAACACCAAGTACTATACTGACACACATTATAATAATATATAAATAATACCAAAGTAAAACTGAATCATATATAGCCACTTTAAGTAATGTAAATCTAGTGAACTAACAAAATATTAATATATTTCCATTACTCATTGCTTGTTAACGTGTTTTACTGCAATATCATCATATTTATTAATATTAACAACAATGTTTAGAAAATGAAATTATTACATTGCGTGTCATTCTTGTTTTTTGTAACTGACTGAATGATTTAACTGTGTTCCAGCATCCCTGAGCAAGCGGTGGGCTGTTACTGCTGTCTGCTGGAGCAGGAGAAATCTCCAGAACAGCCTGAGGCTGATGGCAACGGCTGGGTGGTGTGTCTTCTCGGAGGATCAGAGAAAGGCCTGAATCTATATCCTTATATTACAAAGAACTGAGCATTAGACTGCAAGAAATTCAGCTCCGTGGATTAAAGAATCAAATCACTTTTATTGTCACATCAGCAGCAGCACGTGTACTATGATGAATGAAAAGCTTAGCCACTTAAAGTGAAGCCACATCAAGGTTTTTTTGCTGCATTCAAAAGCTTTGCTCTCTAAATAACATATGTTGTTATCCCTAACCCCGCACACCTTCAGAATCGAGCTGGACAAGTATGTTCAGGGTTTGCGAGGTTGTTTGACTCTAGAGGTGAGGGCAGTTTTTTAGTAATCAGACATGATTTTTGGAAGCACACTTCTTTTGATGTCTGTTTACTGTTAATGTGTGGTTACAGATGTTGAATTTGGAGACGGAGGTCAGGCCCTACCTGAACCGCTGGTATGAGGAGTCAGTTATGCACATCCACAGAGTGGTTCAGCTACTGCAGGCCAACATTGGATATCTTCTGCATGCTGTAAGAAAACACTGCTGTCTACACTACCTGACAAAAGTTTTTGTCAATCCCAGTTGTACGAGCAACAAATAATACCTTGACTTCTAGTTGATTATCTGGAAAAGTGGCAGAAGGTAGATTTTTCAGATGAATCATGTGTTGAACTGCATTCCAATCATCACGAATACTGCAGAAGACCTATTGGAACCCACGTAGACCCAAGATTCTCATAGAAATCAGTCAAGTTTGATAAAGGTAAAATCATGGTTTGGGGTTACATTCAGGATGGGGGCCTGAGAGAGATCTGCTGAGTGGATGGCAACATCGACAGCCTGCATATCAAGACACTTGTGCTGCCCATTACATTAGGAACAACAGGAAAGGGCAAATTCTTCAGCAGGATAGTGGTCCGTCTCATACTTCAGCCTCCACATCAAAGTTTCTAAAAGCAAAAAAGGTCAAGGTGCTCCAGGTTTGGCCATTCCAATTACCAGACATGAACATTATTGAGCATGTCTGGGGTAAGATAAAAGAGGAGGCATTGAAGATGAATTCAAAGAAAATTGATGACCTCTGGAGTCCTGCAAGAACGCTTTCTTTGCCATTCCAGATGACTTTCTTAATACGTTATTTGAGTCATTGCAGAGATGTATGGATGCAGTCGTCCAAGCTCATGGGAGTCATTCACAATATAAATTCTTTTTCCACTGAACCATGACTTTACATTCTTTACTGTACATTATTTCTGTTAAGTGACAAGACTTTTGTCTCATCAAAGTCAGACTTTACTGTCCTCATTAAATTAAAAATCAAGGCATGATCATGTTTTATTCTGGTAAAAAACAAGTGTAATCTAGAGGCCTTTGCCTTTTATATAAGCCAATTCTGATAGCAAATGATCAACTAGAAGTCAAGTTATTATTTGTTGTTCCTAAAACCGGCTACAAGACTTCTGTCAGGTTGTGTAAATGATATACATTTTATAAAGTCACTTCTGATAAGAATGACCATGTTTTCAGGAAAATAATTCACAGATGTATGTTACATTAAAACAAATTAGCATTTTTAGAGAGAAAATAAATTTCAATATTTTTTCATATTTCATTTAGAAGTCATGTGAACATCACTAGTAGTCTTGAAAGTATTTAACTTTTACATTCAATACACCAAACAATTTGCATAATAAAACAAACCATACAAATAAATGATCAAACAAACAGAAATTCTAGTTTCATCACTATAAACAACAAAGTAAAGTCTAAACAAATTTACTGAATCGAACTGTAACTGAAACCAAGAAATGCACTATATAGAATATCACATGTCTCTCTCATATGACACCAGTCCACATATTTGCATAGTTTGTCCGTAGTTTGCCTGCTTGACATCAATGCTTGATATTAATAAACGTCAAATGTCGCACCATGTTTCAAATGATAAAAAACGACTTATCCCGCTTTTTGACTGCATGACACGAGTCGCTACAGCCCTACTTCGGGGGATTTTTTCCACTGTGTACAGTACACAGTATGTTATTATTAAATTATGCTAATAACCCTGCTGATGACTGTTTGGACAGAGAGAATTGTCACTACTTGCGTTAGTAAACTTGCGACAAGAGACAGATTTAAATAATTAGTCAGCTACGGTCACTGTACGATCCTTTTAAATGTGACCTTGGACCACAAAACTAGTCATATGGGTCCAGTATTTAAAATTGAGACATATTCTGAAAGCTAAATAAATAGATTGTTATGATTAGACAATTGGACAACTATTTGAAAATCTGGAATCTAAGGGTTTAAAAAAATGACCCAGAATGATGTCACGGCATGTAGAGGTGGCAAAACTATAGTGATTTTTACCACCCACTATGAAGTTAAGTTGTACCATGCACTCAAAAAGCGGCTTTATATTGCAGAAAATACAGGACATTTGCTATGAATTAAAAGAGTGTAACACACCTGTAATTTCTTTTCAGGCTTTGAGCCACAAGCTTGTAGAGGTTATAGGAGGAGATGAGAGGACAAAGGCAGATACAGTGAGGTAAGTGAACTAAAATACCCTTTTTACTCGTGTTTTAGTGTTAAATCCCTAAAGTTATTTATACAGGGACAATGTACAACATAAAATGTTGTGCCAGAGTTGGCTATAAAGCCAATTTACATCTGTAGTCCCTGGGCAGGAAGTTGTAACAAGTTTAACAATATTAAAAAAACATAGCAAATAGTACAATATACACTTGCAGTACAATACATACAATACATCCTAGTCAATCAAATTAAATTAAATCAGTGGTTACATATTAGATTTTCTTTAAACCAAACTTTAAGGACCGTTTTAAAACATTAAAAGTGGTACTCTCTCTGATATGCACTGGTATTTTTGCAACTTGATCCATTGTCTTGATTAGATTCATCAAAGCAGCAAGCTTGCAGGGTTTAGTCCAGGAAGACACCACTACAGCCTCTCTCTGCAAGGCCATTTCAGAAGACTCTCACACTAACCTGATCATCAACTGCTCAACCAGTCCTCCAACACTAACCAATGAAGGTCAGTGTCGTCATCATCATCATCGTCATTAAATCTAGTCACTCTGTTTTCGTAAATGTGTCAATATTTTGATAATGTTGTGTTGGTGTTTTCACCTATGCAGTCAGTAACAAATTCTGCGATGACTGGATCCAGGCTTTCCTCAATGCTGCAGAGCGATTTAACCCTTTCCTCCTCCGGCAGATCCTGGAGAACTTCAAACTTAAGGTTCGCCTGCTTCTGATTGTGTGTAATAGTAGCCTCATGCTCAGATAATACATGTGAAAGTTGATCCATATTTTCAGTTGTTTGTTCATTTAACATTGATTTATTAAAGATTAAATATTTAATAACTAAATTATAAAAGATATATTTACATTATCTACTTAATTTGTCAGAATAAACACTGAAAAAACGTACGTTAAGCAGGTTAACATGATATTAGTTAAAAAGATTCTTTTTATATAGCCAATATAGTCAAAAATAGCCAATAGTGAAAGGGACAGTTCACCTAACAATCCTGTCATCATTTACTCATCAAAGTTTTGACAGTTTTTCTTTCTTTTAAGGTTTGTAACAGCATGAGAGTGAGTAAATAATGGCAGAATTTTAATTATGCTTGAACTGTCCCTTTAAATTCTATATGTTTATTTGCAGTTTTTTTTCCAAGGAATTTAAACCATTAAAAGGAATAAAAACATGACCAAAAATATATAAATGTAAACTTCTGAAAAAATAAGAATGCTCTAAATGGCTTTTTAAGGATGCATTTACACTGCATGCTTCAAATAACTCAATTCCGATTTTGTTGTCCCATGTGGCACAGATGATATATGGCCCACGTATGAGTAAAAAATCACATGGATTCCGATTTACTCAAATCAGATTCAGGCTAGGTTCATATGTGGAAATTTACCCATGCCCTTGTGTGTGCAGTGTAAGCAGGTAGATCAAATTTTCACCTGTCAATGCTAGTCACACGTCATTTAAAACCATAGCGAATGACTTCAACTCTGACGCTTTCATTTCCGAACAGACTTCAGCAGAGTCCCAAACCTCAGGTTAACAAGAGAGAGTGCAACATCAGCCACCTAAATGATATAAACTAATAAAAACATCACCTGCATAAATCTGGTTTTAAAAGGCCTAGATTAAAAGAAGGCAAAAGGAGAACTTTCCTGTCAAACTATAGTAAAACAACTTGTCAAAAAGAGTTTAAAGAAAGACAGATTAAATACAGGAATGGAGTAAAGGGTGCTCTTTTACTATCAGCTGTCAGTCAGCGCCTGTTCTTTTTTTCATGGTCAGAGATAGCCAAAGTACACACACCCTTTACTCAAGTAGAGGTAAAGATACTCATGTTTAAAACGACTGTGGTAAAAGTTGAAGTACTGACTACACTTTTGTACTCAAGTAAAAGTAAAGAATTACAGCCTGAAATATGTACTAAAGTAAAAAGTATTCATTACTACTAAATTACTAATTTAGTTTCACATGGCTAACTACCCACACATAATGTATACATGCACACAAAATAACTTACATTTAAATTTTTTTTTTGTAAAAATTCTATTTCCAATTTTCAGCAGTTGAGCAACATCGTTCTACAATATTGTCCAACAACACTGCCCAAAAAGTTGCCCTGTGTATCATCACCTGGACACAAAACATAACTTTATGGCTGTTTAACAGCTGCCATACTCATCTGTATATTCTAAAACAGTATTTCTCAACTGGTGGGTGGGTCGTGGAGTGTGTGGTCAAAATAACAACAAAAGTTTTTTTTTTTTTTACTTATTTTGCTTATACCGGACTTTTATTTTGAAAAGCGTGCGCGACAACCCTACCATTTGACATGTGAAATTTCATTTAATTATAGCAACAAATATGTCAAAGCGAAATTACGACCACAAATATGTAAAGTATGGATTTACATATATTAACGACAAAAAAGCCTCAGTGTCATATGTAGTGAGGTGCTCTCCTAAGAGAGCATGAAACCCTCTAAATTAAAACTACATTTAGAAACCAGACAACATGTTTTATTAACAGTTCAGTTTAGTTCATGGTAACAGAACCTTTCCTTACCCAACTCTGTTTACAGTATTTGTCGTTTTTACTTTGTAATATTTGTATAATTCGATACATTTTGTTAAATGACAGCAATAAAATATTGTTTATTTGTAAGTCTTGGTGATTTTCTTATGATTTATCTGTCAATACCTGTTTATGTTAACAAATAAATACAAATTAATTATAATTCCTAAAATTGTATTATAGTTCCTAAAAATTTGGGTCGCAGCTTGATGACCATGTAAAAATGTGGGTCCATTGGCCAAACCAGTTGAGAACCCCTGTTCTAAAACATACTTCTCCTGCTTTTATACTGTATTAATAACTAATAAATGTGTTGAATTTAACAAGGAAATAAACCTTATTGCATAAGGTGTTCATAGATATTTAATTGCTTTAGTACTGTTGACAAAAAAAGTACATGACTGAGAGTGTTTTTTTTACCACAATACAACATGGTCGAAAGTGGACAAAAGACTTTGACCCCATATAAATATGAAGGTAAATCAGTAGCAATACTCGAGAGCTTGCAAATCTAAATGTGAGCACTTTTTGCTACCGATTTACCTTCATATTTAAATGTCAGATTTGAACAGGAATGCATCTCTTGTTTTACCTGTGATCCGATCAAACATAACTCAACTTATTACCCGGCATAAACAGGTCAAGAAACATTATATCAGTCATGTTTACATCGTGTACTCTCTCTGTCTCATTCACGTTAGCCATTTCCATGGTAAGCTTAAATAAACAAGACTATGGCACATGATCAGAGGTTGAAAAACCCACGCACTGCAGCACGCCAGCGCACAATGACAGATTGACTAAATACAAAAGGCGTTCTAATTGCGCATTGACGAGATAATATGGATCGCGCCACCAAACGCATGAAAACGAAAGTAATGACCGTGGTTTAAGAAATGAAAGGAGTAAAAAGTACAGATATTTCTGTAAAAACATAAAGTGTAAAAGTCAAAAGTTGTCAGAAAAATAAGTAGTGGAGTAAAGTACTGATACCAGTACAATCCTGTATTTGCACTTTGTTACTTCCTTTGCTTACTTCGTTACCTTACTTTGCAGTGTGCTGTGTAAATACAGACAATCGGATAGGGAGTATGAGACACTTTTAAAAGACGATGTAAGCTGGTCATCAAAAAAATTAGATAGTCACAAAATCGGAATTGACTCAAAATCTGCAGTCCTTATTTTTGTTTGAAAATGTTATAGACTGTTATAGAATAAATAATATAAACATTTCATTAAAACTCTTACCTAATCAATTTGTAGCTATTCAAGAGAAAAGCAGAATTTTCAAATGATATATTTTGATTATCTCATGTTCAGCTTATCGATTTTTCAATCTTCAACTTTTTGCACACTTTGTTCTTCCACACAGGCCATCCAAGACATGAACAACCTGAAGCGCTTCATACGTCAGGCAGAGATGAGCCACTACGCTCTGTTTCGCTGCTGTCTGTTCCTGCAGAGCTGTGGAAACGGCGACGTGCTGCTGCAAAACGCCCGAGCTGAACACAGCAGCCTTCCTGAGGCCTGCGGGATCATAACCGTCCTGGAGGAGTTCTTGAGTGAGCAGACACAGGCCTAAAAGCACTGACATCTAATCCCTCTCACACAAACTCACTCAACTACTGTATCTGTGACACCTTGGACATTGCTGATCCTAAACTGCTATATTGACCTGCATTCAGTAGATTGCACTGTTGTTTACTTTATAAATGTTGGTCAGCTGATAACAAAGCTTTCCTTAAAAAAATAAAAAAAAAAAAATATATATATATATATATATATATATATATATATATATATATATATATATATATATATATATATATATATACACACACACAAGTAATATATAGTAATAATAAATAACAATGAAGAGATAAAAATTCCATGAAGTACTTTAGAATTTTTCTGAGTTATGAAAATTATGTGATCTAGATACTCTATCCAGTAAAGCAGCTCTAAAGCAGCTGTATGTTTCTCCCTCACAGCTTCAATGTGATCCTGACTTCGACTCCCTATAATTAATGCAGTGTAGTTAGCATTTTGTGCAACTTCAACCATCTTGAGTAGAAAACACTAATCATAGTCAATTAACATAGTTTATGTTTTGAAGTTAAACAGAGAAAAAACAAACTTGCAACTAATGAAGTCTACTGCTGCTGATGATGATGTTGATTTGGGGGATTAAAAACTAAATACTAAATAAATCCAGTTAAAAGGACCAATGAAAATGAAATTAGATTTAATTTAAATATTTGTTTTTCTCTGTGTACATACTAAGACAGCACTGTTGATATATGACAGCGTGTTCTAGGATATAGTGTGTAGATCTGTGTTGCTGTCATTGTTTGAAGATTTTTTAAATATGAAGTAGATTATTGAACGCAAGCTAAAATCACATCATCACAAACTTTATGCCAATTAATCGGTTGTCACCATGCTGCAAATGTGAGTAGATTTTAGCAGGAATGAGACAATGACCTGCATTTGCTGTTGTATTTTTTGTGTGATAAACTGGTTAATTTGAAATACTGCATTGTTCTGATTTTATGATAGCTTTGTCCTTGTTTGCTGTTTAACTTTTTTTTCGTACCAAAGACAGACGGAATAATCATAAATTCAAATATCAGATGTGAATATAATGAAACTATAAAGTTGTAAAAACTAACATACTTTAAGTGTGTTTGTGTGTGTTTGTGTGTGTGTGTGTGTGTGTGTGTGTGTATATTGATCCAGCTGTATAATGGCAATAATGTGTATATTTATCATAATGTGTGGTTTGCTTTCTTGGACAGATTAGACAAGATTGTACAGTCAATAATTTGTTCCTGAAACATTTCAGTTATGTGAACGTAAAAATAAAAATGTAAAAGTTCACTGAAAATTGAGTTATTCATACAATTATTCTTGATTCTTGAAGTTATGCATCAAAAACTGAAACATATTACAAACAAAGGAAATAATCACAGTTTATCAAATAGTTGTAATATTAGTCAAGCCATTTATACACTTGAAGTCAGAATTATTAGCCCCTCGTTTAATTTTTTCCCAAATTTCTGTTTAACAGAGAGATTTTTTTCATCACATTTCTAAACATAATAGTTTTAATAACTAATTTCTAAAAACTGATTTATTTTATCTTTGCCATGATGACAGTAAATATTTGACTAGATCTTTTTCAAGACACTTCTATACAGCTTAAAGTGACATTTCAAGGCTTAACTAGGTTAATTAGGTTAACTAGGCAGGTTAGGGTAATTAGGCAAGTTATTGTATAATAATGGTTTGTTCTGAAGACAGTCTGGAAAAAAAATTAGCTTAAAGCGGCTAATAATTTTGTCCCTAAAATGTTTTTTTAAAAATTAAAAACTGCTTTTATTGTAGCCGAAATAAAAAAATAAAGACTTTTTCCCAAATGAAAAAAATATTATCTGACATATTGTGAAAATTTCCTTGCTCTCAAACATCATTTAGGAAATAATAAAAAAAAAACAAAAAAATAATTCTGACTTCAACTGTAGATAGCAGCAGGCTGTTATATCAAAACCATTTTGAAAATGACAGTGGGAAGTTTGGATGAAGGAATAAATAATGTTTTCAACCTATTAGTAATGTTTCAACCTTTTCAATATTGGGAATAACTTTACAACTATTTCCTAAGTCTGTATCATATTTATATGTAAACTGAATTTTACTGAAAGTAGGGTTGCACAGTCTACCAGTACTATGGTAGTATCGCGGTACTATGGCTTCAAAATACTGGTGGTGCCACTGTAGTTTGTAAATGGTAGTATCGTCATTAATGGTTTATCTACAATAGATAATGTTGCACGTGGAAAAGTCACTAAAATGCTCACACGTTTGTACAACAATAGACCATTTTATTTGAGTAGTCTGTGGAGCCCTTTTAGGTTGCTGTATAGAATTCACCATTTTATGGTAGCCTATTGCACGTTTTCTGAAGCTTCAGAATCTGAATCAGACCATTTCTGCTCCTGTCAATATGATTTAGTAGCTACAACAACTGCAGCAATCTTTTTCAAAAAATTTATTTAATTTAATTCACCTTTGCTTTTACAATGTAGATTGTGTCATAGCAGCTTCACATAAAAGATCATAGTAAACTGAAACATATAATAAGGGAATTATTCAATTCAATTCAAGTAGGCCTATTATAACATATAAAATGTAGTATTTCTGACAATTTTCTTTATTTCATGGATTTGATTCATGAATTACAGTATCGCAATACCACTTGGTATCATGATACTTCAGCTGGTGTAATATCATAACATGAATTAATGGTATCGTGACAACCCTAACTGAAAGACACCACATGAATAATGAAATGCACTGGTCTGCTAACCATTTGCATGTTGACACTATTAGAAGGAAATGTCACTCAACAACAATGCATCCTATGAGAACATAAAGTTGGGATTCAATTAAGTCTCAGCTGATACTTAAATTGTTATATATTTTTGCTGGTTTCAACTGGTTTGTCCATATTAACAGTGTTTTGTTAAGCTTAATGTTATATTCTATTGTGCTGCAAAACAGTTTGAAAGAATAAAATATTTGTTCCTGTGATTTAACCATAAAAATCTATTCTCAACTTCAAGCTTTATTGAAAAAATATCTAATCCAACCTTAAATCATAGGTTTATTATGAAATTAGTTTCAGTTCAAGTTTATTTGTATAGCTTTTCAGAATAACTATCGTTCCAGGACAGCTTTACAAAAGGTGCATATTACATTAGTCGAAATCAGAAAAGTGAATAAGTTGTGTATAAGGGTAAACGTTATATTCTGTATAAACATAGTTAATCTGCAGTTATAGTATAGTGTCCTTCCAAACATTTTTTCTTGGATGATTTTGAAACATGGATTTCAAAACTGCCTAGAGTCATTTTCAGAGCCATGAAAGCCCTGAGTTGAGTTTTTTTTCCACACAACTCAGTCTAAAACTAAAAAAAACATCATCAATATGTTACTATACAAACACTGCATAGCATAATTGAGTACACCCCATTTTGAAAATAAATATTTTTATCAATTTTTCAGTGAATATAGGACATATATTTTGGTGTATTTAAACAAAACAGATTTATTAAAGTTATATTTATTAAAATAATAATTATTCACCAAACATATTTAGAAATTGAAAGATAATACAATTAAATTCAAGCAAAATATTTAAAAAAAAAAAATTACAACCTACAAAATTTCAACTACATTTTTTTGGCTTCTCTTGATTTTTCCTCTTTTTAAAAAAAAATTGTATTTAATCTTTTTCTATATCATATAGATTTAGGTGTACTAGTTTTTGGACCGTTATCGTAAGTTGTTAGATAAGCTCCAGATTTGGCTTCAGTACTGACTAATCTAATGTTTATGCACAAATATAATATTGTATAACTTTATATAAACATATGATTTTAAAAGAGAGATTTGTCAGGGGCGTACTTGTATATGCTGGGAACTGTAGATAGATTCCAAAGCTAGCCTGAAAGCTTACCAGAAAAGACAAAAAAAAAAAAGAAATAAAATGCATTAAGTGCAAATGCTCAAAGGATTTAATGTTAATATATATTTTTTTTATTTAGCTTTTCTTAAATCATTTATAAAGGACATAAATATTTTTTTTATTTGTCTGAACAAGTAAACATAAGACTTTATAAAAGACAGCATGTAAGGAAAGAAACCAAACAAACCCATTTTATTCCACAGAATTACAGGATAATTCATAGCTTAGGCTGAAATCTTTTCCAAACCCCTTTCTCAGTCACGTCACTACATTTCAAAATGAACATTATCAACATCTGCAACATCACTAAAATGAGCTTGCTTACCTCTTTACCAGGGTTACAAGATGACAAAAGCATCACTTTTACTACATTCTTCTTTTCTAACCGTGAAAGAAGACATTAAGAAAAAGTGATTGACCGTGTTCAGGAGGAGCAGCCATTGAAAGCTTACTGGCTCAAGACTTCTGGTCTTAAACATATCAATTGATTTTAAGGTTGTAAAAACAGCTTGTTATGCTGACTGATGTTATAAACCAGTATTTTCATATTATTGTATTTTGTATAGTCATAAACACTCTTGTCTTTTGTTATTCCTAATAATTTCCCCAGAGGAAAGTCTTAAAACAATTTAGTAGAAAAGCACACTCCAACATTGTGACATTTATTCGCCCTCTCCTTGACCCAAACTCAAAAACACTTGTCCATTATTGACACAAGATAAGACGTTTATTAAATATTCTGGCATTACTTCTTCAGGCTATAATAAGAACATGTTGGGGTTTTATAGATATTGGAACAACATAAAGATTAAATGATTGTAGAATCTTCTCACTTTTGAGTGAACTATCTGATTTTAATGCAACAACACACATTTACAAATAGGTTTTCTCATAGACATTCACCAGACATTCACAGAGGAGCCGTTTTGACCCAGGCAGCAGATTCACTGTCCAGACAGGCTATCATGTCATTCAGAAGACCACCGCTCTCAGGCCTCGCTCTGCCGCTGTGAGATTCTTTAGCAAGACATCAAGAAAAGACATTAAAATAACAACTAAAACAATAATAATCATTGTTGTTGTTGTTATTATTATTAATAATATCATTATATTACATAATATAACAATGTACAGTCAAGCCCAAAATTATTCATACCCCTGACAAATTTTAAATTAAAGCTACCTTTATTTAATTAGCAAGTTAGACAGCAAATGACACGGGTATCTCTGAAAAGATAATATAACGATGTACAAGAGGCATAAAAAGAGAGCAAAAAAGTTCTCAGCTTTTATTTATATATAAACAAAAACTTAGTCAAAATTTGCCTGGGGAAAATGAATCATTTCAGGCTTGACTAAAAGGGGTAAAAATCAAGGTCTTAAAAGCAATATTAATATTCTCTCTATGCAATTTAACAGAAGCATTTACACTAATCAGATCAAACACCACACAAACAATCATCATCGAATAGTTAGTATTATTTTTTTTTTATTACCAACTGTTTGTTCATTGAATTTCCTAATCAAGCTGTTTGGGATATCATAGATGCTATCAGTCACATCTGTGAATAGAGAACAAGAACAATACAATGCTGAATATATAAACATTTAATAATACTGTAATTCAAAAATAATGTACAATTAATAATCATACAATACTGTAAACTAGTAAAGGGACTGGATTTACCATGCTCTCTCTCATTAGTTGACCTCTTGGATGTGGGAGTGTCATAAATGGCCTCTTTAACTGCAATAAATTAATAATTTAACAAGTCATAGATTATTAAATAGACACTTATTTTAACAGTGAATAGGAATTATACAGCAAACAGGGCAAACATCTCTGCAGTCATGTGAACACTGCATGTTAAAATAGCAATTTTATGCAAAATAAGATCATTATGCACACGTTTTCTAGGTGGTAGAACGTCATATTCATAGTCCGTCAGCAAAAACTCTTCAGTGTTTTGTTCCATTTCATTGTCTGTGGGCAAACCATCTTGTGTGTCATCAGCATCTGAAGAAAAAAAAAAACAAGTTTTTGTTTTTGACATCCACAAGTAGATTGAATTTCAATTTTTTCTCTCTCTATCTGTGCAGTTTCCTACACACAAGTTTGACAAAGATATTGATTTAATAATGAAAATTATTTCTGATGTACTCTGTAAAAAAACACAGGGTTCACACAATTCATTTATATTGTTCCAATATAAATCGATTAAGTTAACTTAACAAATTTAAGTGGATTAAACATAAAACTGTTAAGTTGTCAAAAAACAAATCGCAAAAATTGTAGTTTCAAGTTTTAAATTCATTTGAACAAGCAGCAATAATAACGTTTTTGAGTGTATATTACATCCTAAAAGGAAAACTTAATCACCATTTATTGAACACAATATAATATATTTTGAGAAATGTTGGTAACGGATCCCTAATAAGGGGGGTTACTATGAAACTCAATGGCTATTGGTTTCCAACATTCTTCAGAATATATACAGTTGAAGTCAGAATTATTAGCCCCCCTTTGATTTTTATTTATTTTTTTTTATATTTCCTAAATGAAGTTTAACAGAGCAAGGAAATGTTTACAGTATGTCTGATAATATTTTTATTCTAGAGTCAAGTCTTATTTGTTTCATTTTGGCAAGAATAAAAGCAGTTTTTAATTTTTTAAACACCATTTTAAGGTAAAAATTATCAGCCAAAAAAACAGTTTGGAACATTTTTAAAAAGAAAGAACCGACCAGTGAGCTCAACAGTACTAAAAAAAACCCAGGGCCCGGTTTTTCAAAAGTAATCCACTAAGATTTTGGATAACGGATTGGATCAAATCTTGAAAATGGGTTTTTCAAAAGAAAAAACAAATTACATAATCGGATTAGATCACGTAATCTGATTTTAGTTTTGATCCGGATCAAACCTTTAGTTTGGGTTTTTTTGTAGGATTTTTGATCCAAAAAATCTGGATTAATCTGATCCCATCAGAAGGGTGGATTCAGCGTGGATTTCATGCCCAAAATGTAATGAAAGCTTAAAAAAAATTTATCAAACAAATCTATATCATGCAGTATCTTACAAGATATCCTATTTATCTATAAGGTTTTATTTGTATTTGTTCATTCGTCAGGCTACAGTGATTAGGTAGGCTTTAACGTATTCAACCTTTCAGTGTAGGCAAAGTAGAAAGAGTTTGACCTTATAAAATAATCCTCCAAACAGCTGAAAAAAATTGTTCAAAAACAATTTTATTCTGTCACTAACTGATATACAGTTGAAGTAGAAATATCAGCCCCCCTTTGATTTTGTTTTTCTTTCCCAACTGATGTTTCACAAAGCACGGAAATTTTCACAGTATGTCTGATAATATTTTTTGTTCTGGAGAAAGTCTTATTTGTTTTATTTCAGCTAGAATAAAATAAGCTTTTAATTATTTTATAACCATTTTAAGGTTAAATTATTGCACCACCAGCAATGAAACCCAGCATCTGGTGATGTCTATGCGTTCCAGACGTCAGGCTGTAATTGACTGCAAAGGATTTGCAACCAAGTATTAAAAAGTGAAAGTTTGATTTATGATTATTATTCTGTCCAATTACTTTTGGTCCCTTAACAAGTGGAAAGCACATATGCAAACACTGTTGTAATTCCTACAGCCTTCACCTGATTCAAATGTAAATACCCTCAAATTAAAGCTGACTGTCTGCAGTTAAGGCACATCTTCTTTGTTTCATTTTAAACTCATTGTGTTGGTGTATAGAGCCAAAAATGTTAGAATTGTGTCTAAAATTTGGATGTCCACATTATTTATGGACCTAACTATATATACAGGGTTCCTATAAGTCATGAATTCTGGAATATCATGGAGTTTTAAAAGGTCTATTCCAGACAAATTTTACTTTCTTTTTTCATCTAAAGTCAAGGAATATCTGCGATTTTGTTTGTCGTATTTTACTATTTTACTTTTCATTTATCAAAATGTGACCCTGTGTGTACCGTGTTGTTAAGGAGTTGCTTTATTTGCTGTGCCTGGCTATTTTTCAGTGCCATTTCCCCCCTGCTTGTCAACCGGCAATAACTTGAGTCTAATGCAGTTACCTGGCTGTACCCGTTATAGTACCATTATAATAATAGAGCAATTTTGGTCTGCTCAGTTCTAAACCCAACAGGTGCCTGTTTTTCTTTTCTTAATCCAGACTGTCATGAACACACACATTTGTCAAAGCTGTGGATTGGGTTCACTTTACAAGACCTCAATATATTGTCAGTAGCCATAAGTTATGCTTTTTTATGATTTATCTTTATAAATCATATATTGATTATGATTATTTAGGGCCGTTTATTTGCTTTTATGAAGGTTCATAGATTCAATGTTTGATGGACAAATATAATGTTCAATTAATAAACTATGTACACTTTGTCATGTAATGTTTGTAAATCGATTACTGTTGTCAAATGTTAGCTAATTATCCCTTTAGGACTGTAGTGAAAGCATCATTGTGAAAGACATTCTAGAAAACAGTAAAAATTGCATAGTTCACGTCCCGGATGCAGGACATTACCAGAAAAGGACTGAAATGACTCTTGACCAATGGAGAAGCATCTACTGTCCATTGAATATCTGCTGGACTCTGGCAGCAGCTCCCTAATCTCAAGAACACACAAAGCACATTCAGAGCATTATAAACATCACGCAGAAACAAGAGCTGACATGAAGCTTCTTAAAGAGCAGTGGTACCCATTGGAGATTGATCCAGATCTGTCAGGACCGCTGATCAGCATGGCTTTCCACAGCTGGTCCATCCATTCCTGCCGGATGGGAGCTGACTCTGCTGCCTGTTCACAAAAAATTCAAGCATAAAGAGAATATTCATTCTTTCAGTTTTGACAGTCTTGCTAACTAAATAACATGATTCACAGGTGGCAGATGGTAAACCACATCCTCAAACACAGCTTATAGACACTCCTTTGATTCAAATGGAAACTCACAAGCATTTTTTTCTTCCCGTTTTTCATTGTGATCTCAAACATATAGCGATTGTTGTCAGATTTGTTGACCTCCCGCACAGACTGAACCTGTTAAGACAAGAGAAGTACTCAATTGGTCTTTTACTGACAACCAAACAATGACACTCAGATAATATTACATACTGACTTTACCTCATATATGTAGTATTGGCCTCTGAGATCTAACTGTTGGAGTTTGAGACACAATGGATTAACAACTATATAAACGAGAATATTCTTCAAAATGTAAAATAATTCACTTTATTCAACCAAAGTCTAACATCAGAGGTTTGTTAAAAATGTACCATGAATGGTTAAATACTTACAGCACTCCCATGCTTTTTAGTGTAGAAAAACAATGTGGTATTGTAAAGTCTGAACCAGTAAGTCACCCACCGAAGTTTCTGAGAAAAATATAACCAATTAATGAGGGAAAAAATGTACCAAAAAATGCTGGATTGTTTTAACTTTCCCCCCCAAAAAGGGAAATATATGGACAAACCCAACAATCTTTTTTATTTTATTTTATTAATTTAAATTATTAACCCAACTGTTGGGTTTTGTCCACATTTTATCCAAATTTGGCTTGACATTTTTTGTGTGTACATATAGAGTAATTTCCATTAAAAATTCTTCATTTAAAACGAGGGATTATAAAAACAAAATAAGCTGCAATAAATGGCTTGGAATGGAGTACCATTTGGAGCCAAAAATTGACATCTATGAAATTATACTTGTCTAAAAAAACTTTGTACATTTAGCCTTTCCCTCATATGCCATACACATACTTGTTTTTGTTGATAAACATGGATGTGTACACTCACCAGCCACTTTATTAGGTACACCTTACTAGTATCGGGTTAGACCCCCTTTTACCTTCAAAACTATCTTTCATAGCATAGATTCAACAAGGTACTGGAAATATTCCTCAGATTTTGGTTCATATTAGCATGAGAGCATCACACAGTTGCTGCAGATTTGTCAGCTGCACATCCATGGAGTGAATCTCCTGTTCCACCACATCCCAAAAGTGCTCTATCGTGTTGAGATATGGTGACTGTGGAGGCCATTTGAGTACAGTGAACTCATTGTCATGTTCAAGAAACCAGTCTGAGATGATTCACGCTTCATGACATGGTGCGTTATTCTACTAGAAGTAGCCATCAGAGGATGGGTACAGTATGATCATAACGGGATGGACATGGTCAGAAATAATACTCAAGTAGTCGTGTTGACACGATGCTCAATGGGTACTAATGGGCCCAAAGTGTGCCAAGAAAATATCCCCCATCCACCATTACACCACCAACAACAAACTGAATGGTTAATACAAGGCAGGATGGATCCAAGCTTTCATGTTGTTGACGGCAAATTCTGACCCTACCATCCGAATGTCACAGCAGAAATCGAGACAGACCAGGCAACGTGCTTCCAATCTTCTATTGTCCAATCCTGCCTGTATGAATCATAGCCTCAGTTTCCTGTTCTTAGGTGACAGGAGTGACACCCGGTGTGGTCTTCCGCCTCAAGGTTGGACGTGTTGCGTGTTCAGAAAAGCTCTTCTCCATACCTCTGTGGTTATAAATGGTTAGAGTTACTGTTGCCTTTCTATCAGCTGGAACCAGTCTGGCCATTCTCCTCTGACCTCTGGCATCAACAAGGCATTTGCACCCACAGAACTACCACTGACTGGAGATTTACTTTTTTAGAACATTCTCTGTAAACCCAAGATATTGTTGTGCGTGAAAACCCCAGTAGATCAACAGCTTCTGAAATACTCAGACTACCCCTGTGTGGTACCAACAACCATCCCACGTTCAAAGTCACTTAAATCACCTTTCTTCCCCATTCTGATGCTCGGTTTGAACTGCAGCAGATTGTCTTGACCATGTCTACATGCCTAAATGCACTGAGTTGCTGCTATGTGATTGGCTGATTAGAAATTTGAATCAGTTGCAATGGTGTGCCTAATAAAGTGGCGAGTAAGTGTTTTTCAAACCACTACATCATAAAACAACCACTGTTTTTTGCTTAAAGTGAAGGTTAAAGCAAATTTTCCTACTACAAATACATTAAAACTTTTTGATTAGTTATATACATTGCTAAAAACTTAAGGTGTACAACTTTAAAGGTAATTTATATCAAAAATTAGATTTTTTATTTAATATTTTAAAACCCTCAGGTTGTATCATGGCTAACATTGTCCTCACAAAGCATGCTTGAATGGCAAGCCTATTTATTCAGCTTTCCGAGGATGTAAAAATCTCAATTTCCAACAACTGACCCTGGTTTTGTGCTCAAGGATCACAAATGATTCCTGCGAATAAATACAAAGAAGATATTCATACCATTTTGTCTTTGCGTTTCTTCAGGAAGCCCTGGCAGAGCGGAGCCGGCACTCCTCTTCCAGTCGACGACATGCTCATGCTCACTTCTGTGTGCTGAAAGGGTTCATACTTCATAATACACCTTAAACAACATCATGACTTCCCCCTGAAACTGTCACATCCTCACTTCTGATAATGTATAATAAAGAGATGCTGTGCTCAAAAAGGCCAAAACATGGGGGAGGCTCATGATCCTCCGCACAGCACTTCTCAGTTTTATTCGATATGTAAATCCATTTCCTATTATGGCAAGAAACAAACAACATATCCATGAAGCGAGCTTCAAGTAGAGCAAATGAAACACCACGTTTATTCACACCATTATTTATTGTAAATGACTGAAAACCCACAAGCGCAACAATCCCGTGGTCTTAAAGAGGGAAAAACTGCACTCAAAAGTTACATATGCATAAACATCAGAACAAAAAAAATGATGCGTCTCTACGTGATTGTTAGTTGGGAATAATTCATACCGCCTTTTTGTAATGTAATAAGCAGGTCCTATTTAGTCTGGTTGAACACAAACCGGTTACGGCATCTCATCACTGAACATAAAAAGGTTTTATTTGTGTGCATATTCTTCATGAAGGCCATGGGTAGTAAGGAAATTAAGAAATAAATGCATAACTTATCAAAATAAAACTAAATATTTCATAAAAAAAGAATTCCTTGTTCTTACATGCCCAAAAAGAGAGAAATAAGGCTGATAAACGAACACAATGGTGATGTTTAATGAGCAAAATGACCTCGACGTGAGAAATGGCTTGGTTTCAGTGCTTCTCCCTCGAGCACTATGGGATAAAATATGGTTTGTTCGCTAGCTAGAGACAATCGTAGAATGTCCAGTAAGATAGATATATATATTTACATACATATAAACAGTGTTCAGTCACCTATCAGGCTTCTCTGCCGTCCCTCTCCAACATAGGTCACACCAATTAATACTGACCTGAGGAAAACATCCGTGTGCATAAATTAAAAACCGTCCCATCAGAAAAAGAGCAGAAGCCTCTTCGTAAAATCCCGTCCCGTTCCAACAAATAGAGTTCCTGTAACACTTGGTTTGGGAAAGGCAGTTTTTACTCTACAAAATGTACTATGCTATTTACTAGGAATCTTTTCTCCTAAATGAAACGAGGATGGAATGAGGGATCATCGTGGGTCTGGGTTTGCAGTAACATGCTGTTTAGTTTTTTTTTTGTATTTGCACTGATCACCGCTGCTTGAGGAGAGCTTTGTACATGGCAAAGCCCAGAACAGCAAAGACAGTGGCACCGACGCTCGCCCTCAGCCAAAATGTAGAGTTTTTCAGGTCAGCTTGGGTCATGTGTCTGTAAAAGAGCACAAGTGTAGAAACAACAGGGTGTTTGTTAAACTGATACAATTGGATGGATCATTAAGAGAGTAAATGACGAGCTAGTACATGGAATTTTTATTACATTTTTTTAAAGAAAATGTTTATTATTCTTCCTGAATTGTATTTGTGTTATTTCCTCCCCTCTTTTTATTACATTTATGGACCATATACTTGAATATATAGTTTCATTGTTTATTTTGTGTTCATTGAAAAGAGTCTGTATAGATTTTGCATTTAATTCTCGTTCCTCCCAAGAGGAATGGGCTCTATTCACAGCTAGAGTCTTAACTTCCGGTGAAAGCTTAATGTGGCTATTTTCAATTTCACAAGGTTGTTTTTACAGCATCAATGTTGTAATGCAATTACAATATCTTCTGGTAAATAGAATTAAGCATTCATTTAGTTGTTCAAGCGTAAAACGATATGAAAGAACGCCGTCAGTAGCAACAGGCTAGTGCAGAAATTTCATTGAAATTACTGAGGTAAAATAAATGTTCATATTGATTTAGACAAGGTGGAGGGAAATGGAATTTAATGCTGTGCTTCTTGTCAGATCTGAGACCCACCTTATGTCATATATCCAACAGGCAGTGAAGATCGCTGATTTTTAAAGAAATCAGATCTTAAAAGTGACTATTTTCTAATGGAAAGACAGTTCACCGGAAGCCCTTGGGCACCCTGGCTGAAAATAAAAGTCTGTGTGCATATAGCCCATTGTGGGTGGGTGTGGATACGTAATGTTGGATAGCTCTAGTTTGAACTTGGTTAAAAAAAAAAAAAAGGAAAAATGCAGACAATGTGTTGTTTCTTATATGTTACCTGTCTCTGCAATAAAGATATAAGAAAATGGTCATTGATCAAAATTTTTCCATTTACTGCGATATAGAAATGTTATTCTGCTCTCAGAAAAAAAGTTACTTTTTAGGAAAATAAACTTGGATAATATGGGCAGTGTATAAAATCAGAAAAAAATCTTGTCAGTGGTTCTGAGAATAAAACAAATAGTGATTTTAGAATGGCTGAAACATTTTGCGTCTCAAAACAAAAAACTTGAAACAGTTTTGAACACAAATTAGATTAACTTATCTGCAAAAACAATGTCTGTATGTGTAATAAGGGACATTTTGTCTCAAAATATTACCATAAAGATGATTACCCATTTAAGGGGTCTTTGAATATATTTCCATAGCTATTTACGCATGGGTTGAAAAGATTCATGTACAGTATATTATAATAATTGTAGGGGTTGAGCAATGTGTAAAACAATTATAATTGCCATTTTTATTAAAGTCCGATTACTTAATTGAAAAATACAATCTACTGTAGCAATAAGCTTCATTTAAACAGTAAACACCTAAAATGCATAAATCTATATAAATGTTTTTTTTTTGTTTCCTTATGTTATTATTTGCCATGAAAATGTCCTCATACATTATATATGAAATATTTTATTTATGCAAAAATATTATATTCATATTCATATTCATATTCATATATATATATATATATATATATATATATATATATATATATATATATATATATATATATATATATATATATATATATATAATTGTTTGTGCATGTAGTAACCGTCACACAACATTGCATTTTGTTTCAAAGTTTGGACACGCAATGGCATGGGAACTGCTGAAATTGAGAAAGCAGCAGCATGGGAAAGCATGAGAGAGCCAGCTTATGTTTTCAGAGGCCAAAAGCTAAACACACTGCTCAGGTGATATAAGAGATGAAAGAGAAAGGAAAGGTCAAATCAAATTCTAAATTCAGCGTTTTAAGGTATGAGAGCAAGAGTTTGTATTGTGTAAAAGATATACAAAAAATGTAAGGTAGCTGGGGAAACAATGCAAATTGAAGCAACAAAGGTGATATGGAATACATATATTAACAAATGATTCATTTGAGCACATACTGAGCAGTCTACATTAATAAAGTCCAGACAACATCTGAAAATATCTTGAATGTGGTGAGAATAATAGGATAAAAGTGAAAGAGTAAAGAATGTGGTCTAAGCACCTGACTGAAAACAATTCCTTTTTTGATCCTATAATCTCATTTAAGGTGAGACACTGCAGCCAAAAGGTTTATGCAATTGTTATTTTTGAGATTTGGGGCTTTTTGTCTTTGAATAAAGTGTAATGTAAAAAAAGATACACATTTAACTATCATATTAACTATCATATTAACTATCATATTTTACCAGTAAATTTCAATTACAATCATCAAAATGAGTTTTTTAACTGAACTGAAGCATAAATCTTAACTTTAGCAACAGTTACAAACACCAAGCATTTAACTATGCTATGCATATTTTTTTTACAGAAGGGTATAATCATACATAATTTACCTGACTAGATATCTCATTTTATCATACAAAACACTATACATTATATTATACAATTTTGAACTGTACTTCATCTAATGTTCAAATATTAGTAATGAAAAGAATATAAACAAGCACATAATTATTATATATAAACACAATATTTTAGAAAAATATCCTCATGTAATCAATACATTTTTGAGCCAATTGACCTGCAGTGTCTGGCCTTAAAGTGTGCCAACCCCAGCTCTTTCTTTACCTGTTACAAGCGGGCACAAACGGGTCGACAGACGACTCCATGAAGACCGAGTCCTCAACAAAGCTGACTGCATGAACCTGATGGGTGAGGCTGGACTCCTCATCAGCCAACAGAAATGTGCCCAGATCTTGTATAAAAGGTCTCAACCTTATGCACACATGCACACAGCATGGCAATTCAACAACCACACACCCGACAGAACCACCCTAAAACACCCACTGCTCACCACATGCTGGACACACGCACACTTTCTCTCTCACACACACACTACTACAACTCTGTTCCTGAAATTAGACAAACGTTGAATGCTTTTGAAGGTTTATAACTAAATGGTTTAAAAAAAAAAAAAAAAACATTGATTAGCATAAAACATTATTTAATATTTTCACATTTAGTATAGTTATTTATTATATATAGCATTTAAATATAGTTTATATATCTCATCTAAGATCTTCTTTTACTTTTAGGCCACAATAGCTTTTATGGATGCGGTCTTTAGATTTTGTAATTCCATTTTAAATGACAAACATAAGGCACATTTTTAAGTGCCTTATTTGTTTGTTTGTTTTCTTTTTTTTTTAATTATTAATTATTTTAAATGACTAATAGCCTTTTGACATGCAATTATTAAGATATGAAAATGATCCATTTATAAGATTCAATTGATTTATATTGTAAACTAAAATACTTCGATGACAAATGGAAAAAGTATAAAGATTTAAATGACAGTCGATTAGCATTTTGAGACTGCACTGACCCATAGATAGTTTTTATTATATTATCAAGATAATTTAATTCCAAAACCCCCTTATTTTGTTTTGCAGTATGTTTATATATATATTTTTTATTTTCTTTTTGATTTTGTGCTGGATAAGTTGATATGCTTATACATTTATGTTCTGTGTAATATGATTTAAACACAGATGTACTCACGGTAGTGTCTTTACAATATTTCCTTAGACTTAAATAAATCAAATATGTGTATATGCATATAATGTAATGTAATATAATATATTGAAATGTAATGTAATATAACATAATATAATAATGCAATATAATATATAATGTAATATAATACAATATCTCATAAAATAATGGCATGGGCCAGTATAAGATTCTGACGGTATGATAACTTTGGATATAAATATCACCGTTTCACGGTAATAAGATTACTGCTCTAAAGTATATTCTTTTTAAATGTCTGGATAATCCTTTTTCCCCTTTGTACACAATATATTTTAGTTTAAGAAACATTTTAAATATTTTGGAGCAGTAAACATGTCAGGCTAAGTAATTCAAATGAATCATTGACTTCTGCTGTCTTTATTTTCAAAAACACAGATTGTTTTTTTATATTTTAAAATGGCCACTTTGTATATCTTTTCTACTGGAGATACTACTGTACTAAAAAACAAATGAAAAAAATTAAATAAATAAAATCTTACTCGTACCTTACGAATGGTATAGTAGAAAATTTTGAGGGTTTTAAAACCTTGACTTTTCCAAAACCTGCTATACCTTGAACACGATTATCGTCCCATGCCTAAATATAATATAATATATAATGTAATGTAATATAATATATTGAAATGTAATGTAATATAACATAATATAATAATGCAATATAATATATAATGTAATGTAATATCGCATAATATAATATATTGCAATTTAATGTATAATATAATAGTATAGCACCTTTAAAAACATTAAAATACCTAGATTTTACATTACATTTTTAATTTTTATTGTAATATTTCTTAAGAGAAATTAAAAATAATAATAATGTTTTAATATAAAAAAAGCTGTTAAAGTGCTGCAGGTCGAACCTGATTACAGAGACTACTACACTCAATTTAAACATCTGACGGTCTGTTAACGGTTGGCTAAATGACATTGACGTCCACACAACAGATGTGAAACACTATCCATCAAAGCACCAAACAATAAGGGCAAGAGAAGCTTGTGTTTTGGATGAAACATTATATTAGTAGCAACAGGTTAGACATGTTAGCCATTCAAAAACAAACACAAACTAAGCCCATTAGTTGTCAAAACACTGATTGTGAAGCCCTGATAAAGCTTTCTGAACTAACGCTGGCACATGGTTAGAGAGAGTGGGACAAATGTCCTGTTAATAGCATGTGAAAAGATGCAAAGCAAAGAGGAAAAGGGCCAGCCAAACAAATGAAAAGGAACACCTATGGAGGGACAGAACAAAACAATTCAAATAAATTAGGTTTACAAATAAATTATTTGTGCATCAAGAGATCAACCAAAAGATAGAAATAGATGTTTTGTTTTGGTCTTGCATTAACTTGGTCTTGGACTAGCTTCAGTCATAAAAAAGGAGAATCGTGACAAAAGAATTAAGGAGATCGTTCAATTCACACCCATGCATTCTTCTGGCACTACATTTTAAAGGCAGTAACAAACATTAGAAGATCTACCAAATCAACAGCTCAGTGTGAAGAAAGATCCAGGAAGAAATGCAACCAAAAAGGAAGAGCTCATATGAACCTTGTGGCCACATTTGTCCCTGAAGCAATGATGAGTGAATTAGTGCAGATTTACTACTTGCATATCCACCTCAACTGACCAAAGAAAATGGTTAAGAACAATCACAACATGAGGACAAAAGCAGATCTGTCCTAAAGGAAGCATCATATTCAAAGTTAAAGACATGTTAAATGTTTTCAAATAGATATTCTTAGTTATAACATGACACAATCCACACAGAAGCATTTCTTATCATCAATGCTAAATAAAATTGTGGCTTCTTTTTTGTGAAAGCGATGATATGCCTTTTGGGTTTTTTGATAGAAACAAAAACTTCAAAATAAGTTTAATAAAAATAGAAAAAATGATCAAATCTGCACTGTAGCGTTTGGTTCGATACGTCTCTTTTGGGGGCTTTGGTACTTTAGTACTTTTTCAGTAACATCTCAGTTAAGGCTCCAAATCAGCTGCACTGTTTGCAAAAAGTGAGTAATAAACACTGCTGATCACTGAATGGTTCGAGAGAATTGACAATACCAGCGACACTGATTCTGTGACACTAGACACCCAAAGTGATATATTTGGGGTGCTTCTCGATTCTTATTTGTGCATAAATAAGAATAAATAAATAAAAAATAGCATAAATAGCATTTTGGTCAGTAGTGTAAAGGAGCAAATCCAGCGAGAGCTAGATCAGACGACCCAGAGTTAAAAAGCTTAAGGAAGCAACGGCAGTAGAGAGGATGCAACTGTAATGATAATCTACCCACTGTAAGCGATCTTAAACTGCAGTGGAAATGCAAACGGAGCTGAACAAACCTGAACCATGCCGTTAACATCATTCCCTGTACTACTACAATTCTTTTTAAAAATAAGAACTGCCCAGAAGGTCAAAACTGCTTACTCCTTTTAAGTAGACATGCTGCTATTCAATAATATCATATATTGTGATAATGAACACGAACAAAATTGATTTGTTGGATATTTTAAATTACTGTGAATAATTAATTACCTAAACTTTGTTTTAAAGGTTTTTAAAGAATGTTTTAGTTTGCAGTGCTATTCATAACAGCACTAAATGCGTGCAGACTTATATTGTTCATTAGCTTAATAGTCTACATATAAACATTTCACATTTTAATCTGGCCTACTACAGGCTGAAATTGAAAATTCTGTAGCTATTTACAGGGCTTTTGTACTCTAAACTTCTGCATGCTGTTTGTGTTGCTCTGCAATAACACTTCCAAAGTTTTTATGTTCCTCTGTTTTTTGTTTCTTCGCTGGTGTTTTTTTTCTTTTTCTTTTTTTTCCTGAACACTACCTTAATGTACAAGTGGCTCAAACTCAGATGGGGGAGGGGGGGCAGTTGAGGAGGGGGATCGGTAAAATGAGGTGCCAGATCCGGATCCGGCGTGTTCCGGCACAAATTGACCCTTTGCTAAGCCACGCCCAAAAACCACCATCCACCAATCATGGCTTAGCAACTGTAGTTACGCGCAGGGGCTCTGACAAGCTTTCGAGCAAGTGTATATGGATTGTGCAAATCTGATACCCGGTCTCCTTAAAGTTTGGACGGGATGGTGGAATTTTTCTCCCTAAAACCTAAAACCCAATCTATTAGGTTTTTTGGTAAAAATAGATAAATCACGGTTTCATTTATTATTATTAGATTATGTTTAAATTTCACCTCTCCTACTGAGCATGAGCTAAGCTGTTGAATGGTCAGCGTATGAGGCAGCTAGGCTAAGCTAGCTTCAGTTTTGATTGATTTATTCTCTAATCGATTGCCTATTATGTGGTGAATATACCCCTGTAATGCATACTGCAGTCCTTTTTTGTCTGGCTTTCTCGGATATCTCACCTGTTCACCAAAAATGACATTATATCCCTGCCAATTTCTAAAACCGGCGCACACACACTGAAAAAGCCGTGCCAGGCACGAAAGCTTGACAGGCGTAGCAACAGTAACTAAGGAGGGCGGGGCTTAGCGATGGGTCCATTAAGCCCTGATTTTAATGCATTAACTAGTGTTTACTAATGAGACTTTATTGTTAAGCCTTACTTATTGTATTTACAATCCTTTTGCAAATAAATATTTTTTAATGTTTGTTTGGTGTGCTATGAGAACAAACAGATTAAATCAGACAATCAAATTTGATTCCAGGTTTTTTGTAAAAACAACTGCAAGCAGAATTTAGTTGGCATTTTGCAGACTGGGTTGAACAAACTGTTAAGATCCATCACAGGCTCAAGCAAAAACAAAAAATGCAATGCCATGCTCAATATGCATTACTGATGCTTTGAAGATCAGTTCACCTATAAATCAAACTTCAGATTCACCCTGGTGTTTACCAACGCCATTGGCCCTTTTTAACCAATAATTAAATTTTTTTACAAGATGTCAGATGGATTTAAACTTTGATATCTAATGAAACAGATAACGGCAAGATTTTTGATTAATAAGGCAATCATTTTTGGTTTGTTTTTCACCAAATCCAACTCAAGACAGAAGGCCAAGCAGCTCGAAAACAATACCAGTGTGAGGATATCAAGCAGGGGTCACCAATCTCGGTCCTGCAGGGCCGGTGTCCCTGCAGGGTTTAGCTCCAACTTGCCTCAACACACCTGTCTGTGTTTCTAGTATACCTAGTAAGACCTTGATTAGCTTGTTCAGGTGTGTTTGATTAGGGTTGGAGCTAAAATCTGCAGGACACCGGCCCTCCAGGAACAAGTTAGGTGACCACTGATATAAAGTGTTCATTCTCAGGTGAACTACCCTTTTAAATGAGCAAATGCTGAACACTGCATCAATAAACAGAAGCTTTTAAAAGGCCTCATGTTTGTGCTTTGCATGGATGAAATGACTATTGCTTTAAAATATATAGATGATAAATTTCTACCAATGACTACCACACACAGCCAGAAAATGTCCCAACATCCCTCTGTGGATATGCAACGTAAACCTGCCAGGCCAACATCAAGTAACAAAGAGGGAAAGATGTGTTAAGAAGCCGAGGTTAGATATGGCCCAGCGCAGGGAGAAGAGGATGGGGGGATGTGTAGGCTATACTCAGAGACCTGTTGAGAACAGCGCTGGAGAATTTGGCCTTTACCGAGCGCACCAGCTCAGAGTTCAGGAGGTTGTGACAGATGCAATAGGTGCACCTGTTGCAGCCGCACATGCAGCGTAACTTGGCGTGGCTGCAGAAACACACATAGACAGGAAGAGTCATTGTCATGTGATGCAGTTTAAAGAGGGCTCCATCCCAGGCTCACACCTCCGACTTGGGACTGGAGATGGAGTGCAGGAGGCAAGCAAAGTTACAAGTAAAAGACGACTCGGTAGCTGGATGTGGAAAATTAGCTGGATGAAAGAACTGGAATAGAAAAGCACAATGGTAAGCCTTGCGATGAAAATAATAAAAGGTTTGCTACAATCCAGCAAAAGAGACTCAAGCAATAGGGCTGCACGATTGATCTAAATGAACCAGATATCTCATATGGCTTTTAAATCCAAAAGGAAATAATGTAACTGCATACAAACTTGTGCTGCATGTTTCAGAGTTAATCGTAACCTTTTGTTCTTTAATACATAAGCAACTAAACTGATGGTTTAAGGGTGCTTTTACACCTGTAGATCGATTGTTTTGTCCTGAAACAGGGATTAAAATGTTGCACTTGTTCTTGATGCGGTTAGTTTTCACACAGTAAAGATTCTTATGAGGCTAAATTTCAAATTCCAAAACGGCTAAAACAAGTCACATTCGTGTAAACTCTTCCACAGGGTTTTTTTTTTCAATTCTGGGGTGTGTTTCCCAAACAACAATGTAACTCGCGGCTGAACTATCATAGTACGATTTATCGTTTGGGAAAAGTACGATGTAATGACGAGTGTTTCCCAAAACCTGTAGTTTCTCTGTCACATATCTATTGTTTGAACCACATTAGTTATAACGTAAAACGGCCATAATGAGGCTTTAAACGGGGCGGAGTAACAACTTCTTTGGAAAAAAAAAAACCATAATTTCTGTGCAAATTATGTTGTTTTACACGCACACGCATTTAAAAAAAAATTCAATACTAGTTTTGGTAAAAATATGCACTTGTTTTCCATATTGATTGAAATGCATGTAAACGGCACATACAGGGCCTATATTACCTTTACAAATATTAGGAATATGCCACATTCTATTCTAAAACATAAAATCACTTACAAAATCTAACACGTATTCTAATATCATATATAAATCATATAAATAAATACATAGAGGCTATTTATTAAGAATTGAAATCCAGCATTTATTAGGAAATTTAAAAAAAATCATACTTTAATAATAATAATATTAATGATGATTATTAAGTAGGATATTGTTTTTTGTTTTTTTGTTTTTTTTAAGTCTACTTTTACAATTTGACACATGCAAACCACTGCAGAAATGTTCTAACTAACAGGCCCATGTTATATACAGGAGGCTACATATCTTAATAAATAGTCTACTATAGAATAAAAGCATTAACGTATGCTATGTTTTTTGTTTTCACAAGCTTTGGAGCAATGACTTTAAAAATATATACTAACTAATACTAACAAATTCTGCTCGGCTGTGTTCAAAATGACATCAATGTTTTCAAAGTGCACTAGGAGGGCAAAATAAACAAAGATAGCTAAAACTGAACTGTAAAAATACTTTAAAAGCAAATTACAAATAAAGAGCGATGAAATTATTTTTTTTAAAGCATTAAAGTCAAGTTTAAATGTCAGAATGTTTTAAATGAATAGGGCATAGGGGGGATAACTGGGAATAGAACACAACCAGGAACTACAGTATGTTTCTAACTACAGCTCCAGAGGTGTAGTTGCAAGCATAGAAGTTTGCGACACAGTTTGCGAATGTTTGTTGGAACGACCGATTTGGGAAAGTCAAATAAATGAACTATGTTTGTAATGACGGAACTTGCGACCTTAGTTGGCTAACAATGGTTTTTTGGAAACGCACCCCAGCTCAGCTGTCATGCATCCTTATTTAAATTTATGACGGTGAGCAACAAGACTTAAGCGAAAATCTGCGCTTTCATCATCAGTTCGTCACCAAATATAGAGGCAAGACTTTCTCATACATAGCCTTGGCTAGAATTATGCATTATCGGCTTTACGTTATAGAGAGAAATAACAGATAAACCAAAACTGCAGTGTACTCAATTTTCCCAAAAGACAAAAAGCTCTTGTCAATATTTCAGCATGCTTTCACTTTCGTATTTGACATGAAATGCATATTTACTGGAAAAAATTATGATATCCCACCCTAATCATCATTTTATCTTCATACAATCAAATATGCCTATTATCCATAATACACTGTGTTAGAGCCTGGTTCATTGGCTGGTTAGATTGTACTGCTTTCTTGCTACAATCAATCTGCTCCAGAGTTCATTTCACTCAAGCAGAGACCACCTCATTCAGGCGATCTTCAACCGATTGTTTTGACATGGATCAGAGCGCGATTGTGGGATTCACATATGCCAAACGAACCGCGCTAACTGGGGAAATGCACCAGGTTCCGAAACAAAAGTCTAGGAGTAAAGGCACCCTAAGTGTCTTTAAACTGCAGGGTTCCCAGTAAATGCTGCTCTTCACAAACCTCATCTTGCTTATTGTTTAATTAAAATGTGCATTTTGGGAACAAATTATTATCTTAAACATGTAACAAAAATAATCAAACACTTTCCCCACTGGCTGCCGTCAACAACAAAACAAATGTTCTAGTAGCTTAAAAGAAAAAAAAAGTATTTAAAGGTTTGGGGAGAAGAAATTAAGTCAGCTAAAAACAGTATGGGAACTTTAGAGTTATATTTAGAGCTTTGGTGAAAAAAATCGTCAGAAAAATCAAATCTGCGATTTCTAAAATGCATCGTCATTCTCTCTTGAGACGGTTTTGAGCTTAGTTTATAACAGAAATTGGTGATCTAGGCTTTACGAACAGTCGCACTCTGCTTGCATCCAATTCCTTACAAATACCACTTGAACCTAAATGAATTAATAAAGTTAGCGAATTACAAGACTGCTCATGGTTAGCTGTGTTAACGTTAATATCATCACATAAAAGTCAGCTTACATAAACACCCAAATGCACAAGCGATCTTATCCACTTATCATCAATTAACAACTCTGAATCAAATCAAGAGAAAATAAGGATGCACTTAAAAAATTGGAGAATCGATCGAGAATCATTCATTTACTTTTTAGCTTAGTCCCTTTATTAATCAGCAGTCACCACAGCGGAATGAACCACCAACTTATCCAGCATATGTTTTACACAGCGGATACCCTTCCAGCCGCAACCCAACACTGGGAAACACCCATACACCCTTGCATTTACCCACATACACTACGGCCAATTTAGCTTATTCAACCTTTGGACTGTGGGGGAAACCAGAGCACCTGGAGGAAACCCACACTAACATGGGGAGAACATGCAAACTGCCAACTGACCCAGCTAGGGCCCACTGTGCCACCATGTCGCCCTGATGGAAAATCAATTTCTTAAAAGATATGCCACAGCTCTAGTTGCACTGCAAAAAAAATGTAGCATTTCTTAAAATACCTTTTCTATATTCATATTCTATATTCCATTCAATATTTTTATTTGTAAAACTACTTAAAACTATTACATTTTATTAAGATTGTGATACTGAGATATTCTTTTTTCCTTTTTCCTTCCTTTTTCTATTCCTGAGATAATCCTTTTTTCACAATTTTGAGCCAAATTGTGCAGCCCTGCAAAACAAGCAGAGAAAACCTGAAGCTTTTACTAAAACTTGGCGGAAAGAAAATTAAATTTGTTAAATGAAAACCGTTCTTTCCTAAGATTTAATCACCAAAAACAAAGCTGACTACTATCCTGTATTATACAAACTGTTCCAGACCATTAGTAGGCACTTTCACACACAAAAAGCTTTTTCTTACAAATAAATAAATAAATAACAGTAATTTCTAATGTCATAATTACCATTTAATTTAAAGATCTCATACAAACAAACTTAGGAAAGAACCGTTGCATATCGAAGATCATCAACAGCCACTACAAAATCACATTTACTAGAAACTGTAATGCACACACTAAGGTTCAAGTCAAAGAAACAAATAATACTTGATACTCTCTGAAACTCCTAAAATGTAGAAATAAAAAAAAAATGTAGCTGCTACTACAATCTTGCCGCTAAAAGGGGACAATAACTAGACAATAACAAGGGGACAATAACTAGACAAACACAAAAGAGATGAGCAGGGAGAGCTGGAGAGGCCAATCACCATCTACCAAAAGAAGCAGTCAATGGGACAGAACAAAGGTCAGGGTTAGAAGGGTCTGTATACTCACGGGTACATGGCCATAGTGGTGAGTTTGGTGTAGAGGTCCTTGCTCGGAGCTTCGGTGGTGTTGCAGGTGAACAGCTGCGGCGGGTGAAGCTTGTGTTTTCGGCAGAAGTCCAACGGCGAGAGACTGTAGTACTGACGGGCTTCATGCAGGTCAGACTTGGCAGCAATGATCACACATGGGGTCTTGCTGTCCATGAAGTGTTTCTGTGGATGACATTACAGTGTTAAATAGAAATACATTTTAACTGTAGTTTTGTGTGTTTTATTGGGCTAATAAATACATTTATTTCCATTGTATTTTTCCCAAATCTCATCCTAAAAAGGTCAAATGTTGATGCATAAACATATTTGCATTTAATAGCAACACTGAGCTTAAACAGTAAATTGACGACAACACAAACTATATTGTTAGAATGATGATAATACTACTACTAATAATAATAAAAATAATGTTGATAATAATAAGGATGATAATAATAGTAACAACAACAACCACCCAAATAATCATACAAATACCTAATAATGGAGTTTTTGCAATGGAGAATCAATCAAGTCATAAAGTTATCATATGTAAGAGACAATATAAATTTGGCCTGCACGATTAATCGTTTTTTAAAACGAATCCGAAAGCTGCGATACTTACTACGGTGAGGGAGGAGAGCACAAGTAGCCTAATTAAAATGCTGCAACTACTTAAAAAGCAGACAACTGTTACAGCAGAACCAATGAGCCCCCAATGTCACAGCTATGGAGAAAATGAAAGCTGTAAACAATCTCTCTCTGTTTAGCCTTTGACATGCTTGCATAATAATAACAATAATAATAATTCCTTACATTTACATAGCGCTTTATTAGACACTAGAATCGCTTTACACATTGAGGGAATCTCTTCATCCACCACCATTGTGTGATGATGCGACGGCAGCCATTTTGCACCAGACTGCACACCACACACTAGCTTAATGAAAAGGAGACAGAGTGATGAAGCCAATTACAATAGGGGGATGGTCAGGAGGTCATGATGAACAAAGGCCAGTGGACAAATTTCTCCTGTTTCCTGGGATTTTTTTTACAACCAGAGAGTCAGGACCACTGTTTTACGGCTCATCCGAAAGACCGTGTTCACTGAGAAGTATAGAGTCCCCTTCACTATACTAGGGCGTTAGGACCCACACAGACCACAGGCCGAGTGCCCCCTGCTGGCCTCACTGACACCATATCCGGCAGCAACCTAGCTTTCCCATGTGGTCTCCCATCCAAGTACTGACCAGGCACAGCCCTGCTGAGCTATAAGGTAGCGTTTCCTGTCCTCTCTCAGCTGTTACAGCAACACTTGTGGAAGGATCCACATAAACAAGCATGTCAGTAAATGTCATGAAATCAATATGAAAAATGTAATAAGCTAAATGTAAAGGTTTTAAAAGGTTTAGATATCTATATAAAAGATGTTGTATGGGGAAGCAGTGGCGCAGTAGGTAGTGCTGTCGCCTCATAGCAACAAGGTCGTTGGTTCGAACCTCGGCTCAATTGGCGTTTCTGTGTGGAGTTTGCATGTTCTCCCTGCGTTTGCGTGGGTTTCCTCCAGGTGCTCCGGTTTCCCCCACAGTCCAAAGACATGTGGTACAGGTGAATTGGGTAGGCTAAATTGTCCGTAGTGTATGAGTGTGTGTGTGAGAATGTTTTCCTGAGATGGGTTGCAGCTGGAAGGGCATCCGCTGCGTAATACACGTGCTGGATAAGCTGGCGGTTCATTCCGCTGTGGCAACCCCGATTAATAAAGGGACTAAGCAGACAAGAAAATAAATGAATGAATGAAGATGTTAGATATGATTAATATAACTGAATTTAACTTTATCTTCACACGAATTAATTACAATATTAAATAGATTTTAATTTTACTGTAAAAAATTTTACAGTATTAAAGATTTACTGCACCATTAATGAAATAAACATCTTGATGAGCAAATTATAACTTTTTAAACCTATTTTTGACAACGTTTAAACAATAGTCAGTTGAAACTTTATTTTACAGTGTCCTAGTCACACAAGTTCCATATACCTACTAAAATAATAATAAATTATGCATAACTACATCTAGCTATAATGATAATACTCAGTACTTTTATAGATAGTCTCGCCTGTAAATACATTGTATAAATGAACTGACCTTGTAGACTTTAGCGCAGTATTCAAATGAGCGTGGGTTGCTGATGTCATAAACCAGACAAACAACATCACAAGCCAGATCAGCTTCAGAAAGAAACTCCACGTCTGGAAGCACCTCGTGAAGCTAAAAGATTTAAAAAAAAGAAAAAAAAAAGAAAAAAAGGTACTCATCACAAGCCAGATATGAAGATGGCGTTACTTTGAGCGTACAAAATTACAGAGCTCAAACTTACGAGCAGATATTTCTCCTGTCCATAAACATAAGTAGTGCTAATGGCATAATAAGACTTGTGGTCTTCTCTTATCCTCTTCTGGCGCTGCAATATAAAGAAAGAGAACGTCAAATCTATCTGAAATGAAAACGCTGGATGCTCCTGTGAGGGATTTGTACTCACCACAAGGTTCCTGCCCAGGAAAGCCTGCAGAAAGCCACTTTTACCACAGCCTCGAGCCCCGAGGACATTACATCGGAAAACACTGCGCTGGGTCTGCTTCTTCTGCAGGTCAATACGCTTGTTCCTGGTGACTGCACAAACAAGGACGTATTAATGGATTATACTCCTTTTTCTTATGACCCATGAAGAGTTGCATGAATTTTGGGAGTAACTAGGGTTAAACTATATTTATTTATAAATATATTTATAAAAATATTCAGTTCATCTATCAAATATTAAAAGACAACTATCTGAATTAGCAAATAGCTTTCAGCAGCAAGCTTTTCACAGCAGTATTATGGGGTTATATTGAATAATAACTTACAGCAGGAGTACAAAGAGAAATAATCTGGAGCAACTAATCTCAAAAATATCTCAGACCACAGATATGCTTGTGATAATAATAGTCACAAAATACCAAGTGTAACATTAACTTCATGATGGATACAACATAAACAAAATGCCAAACATACCTCACACTCAGTTTTCACTATGTATATGGTTTATTTATTGCATAACCTGATTCTAAATTATGTGCATGAGGCATTGCTTCCACAGGCAAGTTTTGCAATGGTTATGACATGCGTAAACTACAGCATCGCGACCAATGAAAATAAACTGTTTTGAAAACACTGAAGACCCAGTTTTAGTTTAGAAGAGACTGGTCTTGTGAACTACCGCATATTCTTTCCTGATTTAAGAAGCCCATCTCATTTCACCATAACACAACCGATAAATGGCAAGTATGGCCAATGGCAAATATGCACATTACCAGTGAGTGTAAATGGTTATGTATCATGTAAAGGGTATATACAGGAATCCAAATTCAACACCTTTTCAAAAAAATTTTAAGACCTCATCGGCACTTTAGGTTTCAACTGGTTACATTAACTTATAATATATTTAATAAATACTGACTGTAAGAAACTAATCCTAAACTAAACTGAATAAAAAAGCTAATCTAGCAGAAGCCACCTATGAAAGCAGGAATAAAAGTTTTGCCTTGGTTACTGCAGTAAACAAAGCAGCTTGACATCAAATCTAGCAGGATTTTAAAGATTTTATAAACTATACAACATCCCAGTATTTGCAATTAGTATTTTAAATTAGGGTGGCACAATATTGGAAAAATTTGATATTGCAATACTTAATTTTTCTGCAGTTAATATTGCGATATGAATACAGTTTCACAAAATAGTTTGAATAGCACTATTTGATGGTTTTCTGGGGAGTCTAAAGGGAGTCGCACAGCGGATGCGCCGTTCGGCGACACGCTGCATTGCGCCATGCAGCACCATGCATTTTAGAATTCTAAACATAGACTTCTATCAGAGTACGCAAACCTGCTGTCAGCAGCGCCCAGCTACGACTCAGGACACTGTTCATATTTCTGCCACACCACAGAGTGCCATTAGAATAGTTTAATTTAAAATAGCATGTGAATGTGCACGTCTGGTGTGTGTGATACTTTCAACTGTCTTGCGCGCGGAGCTATGTCGCGGCCATGTCATGTCGCGAAGCTAAGCGGCACATCCAGTTAACAGTATTCAGGTACAGAAGTTGAATAATCACAATGCAAAAAAATGCTTTTCATACATTGTTTTGTTTAATTTCTAGCACAAATATCAAAAAAAATCTTACAGCAAGAAAAAAATTGTTTAGTTTTCACCATCAGAAGAAATTAGCCCAAATTAAGAAATTTTTCTACATTATCTGCCCGTGGGTAAGTGAAATAGTCTTGTAGATGTAGATATGTGGACTAGAAGACAATTTTTGTGCATAAATCATATAAATTCCATATATATCAAGTAATTAAATACAATTCTGTAGCTCCTGGTCAACTAGGACAAACTCTCTATAGCAACTGACTCAACATTGCATATCTTTGCGTTGTGACTATTGCGGACGCGCACATTGTGATATCGATGCTGAAACGATATATTGTGCAGCCCTCGATTAAATTCAGGCTTTAATTTAGCATACTGATATAAATATTAATACCTTGTAAAATAGCATTTAACACTTCTTAATACTTTAAGGGCCTTTAATTTCTGTAAATTAATGAACTTTTAATACTTTAAGACCTTGTGGACATCCTGGTGTATTGTATGCAGTATAGTGAGGATGGAGATTTTTTTTTCCTAAACGCAGTAAAAATGCCAGTCACATGTGGAAAAAGGTAAATAAATTAGCTTCCTAGACAAATGAATGAATCAAGACATCTTTGAAAACACTTTTACCTGTGATGGCAGCTGCTTGTGACTCCTGCTCTTGAATAATAGAGTAGCCGAGATATCCCAGGTACTCCAAACACCGCTGCACATCTAGGTATGTTGTAAGTCTGCGATGGAGATAAAGCATTTAATGAATGACTGACCAACTTATAAGTAGGTATTTTTAGTATGTTTTTCCAAGTAGAGTTGGACGAAGGCCACACTCACGTCCACTGGGAAAGGTAGCCTTGGTAAGTGATCCAGCCTTGCTCATTGGTGCAGACTGTGTTGTTGACATCGGGACCCCAGGGCATGTAGGGAAACACCTTGAACAAATCCTTCAGCTCATCTGGAGACAGGGCACAGTCTCGATCCTGACACAAACGTTCAGAATAGGAAAAGAAAAATATAGATTAATTATACATTGGGGTAAATTGTGAGAGATACAAAAAATGATTATAGTGCATAATTAAAGACTTCCTGTGAATATTCTCTGACATCTTGCCAATCAAGAGTGCTCTATTTAACTCAAGTTTATTAGTAAAGTGCTTTTAAGAATAATTATCATTCCAACTGATGGCCAATGCAGTTTATACAAATTGAATTGGAAATTGCCCAAAAAAGGGCAATGTGTGGAACACACCAAACAAACTAGCCCAACAGACAAACACAGACAGCGTAACGCTGCCCAAAAGCCGACTGTCGCTTTGTTGTGCACCAGGCTATTTTAACTTTGTTAATAATTACTTGAACATTGTTTGCCGACTAATAAATAATAATCCCTCGCAGAATTTAAACTTCTGTCTATTTTCACTAGTGAATTGTATTTGTTCCTCACACAAAGTGATCACATCACTGCGGAAGAAATCCCTGTGATTTTAATAGAATATTTTGTAGGGGTGTCACGATTCTCCAAATTCTAGATTCGATTACATTTTCGATTCTTAAGTCACGATTCGATTCCATTCGATTTTCGATTATGAATAATTAATTAATTAATAACAAATTAACTATTTGTAGCCTACAGTTTAAACTACCTGACCTGTATGGTCTTTGTTTTACCCATAAACAAATCATACAGTAAATGAATAAAGGCAAGTTACACACATAATTACCACCTGTCAATCACTTTTCTTCTTGTGAATAGGCAGTGATCTCTGTCGTTATTATGGCGTCGGTAAAAAAAGGTGCACAACCAACAGGAACCAGCCAACAGTATCTGAGGTGTTTGCTAAAATGACTAAGTACTAGTGTGAAAGTAAAAGATTGAAGCAGTCGTAACTAGGTTAATTAGGTTAACCAGGCAGGCTAGGGTAATTAGGCAAGTTATTGTATAACGATGGTTTGTTCTGGAGACAGTCTGAAAAACAATTAGCTTAAGGGGCTAATAAATTTGACCTTAAAATGGTTCATAAAAAATTAAGAACTGCTTTTATTCTAGCCAAAATAAAACAAAAAGAAAAAAACAACAAAGGGGGGCTAATAATTCTGACTTCCACTGTATATATATTTACAGTAAATTTTTAAATGTTTTTAAGAAAACTTATTCAGTTCATCAAGGCTACATTTATTAAATGTAAAAAATGTTAAATTGTTAAATATTTATCAAAATTTTAAATAACTGCTTTGTTATTCTGTGTAGTTTCAAAAAAAATTATTACTCCAGACATTATTGCTTTTATTACTATTACCATTAATAAATATAATAATAATTAATATTAGTGATTTCTGAAGGATCATGTGACTGGAGTAATGAAGCTGAAATTTCATCTTTAAAATCACTGGAATAAATGAATAAATTTAATGATAAACTACTTTTGAACAGTTATTTTAACGTGCAACATTTCATAATTTGTATTTATGATGAAGTAATTGCAGCCTTGGTGAGCAGAAGAAGCTTAGTTTAACATATTTAACAATCATACTGACCCCAAACTTTAGAGCACTTGTGTATACTGTAGAATATTTTATAAGTGAAAATGTGCACTTTAATTTTAACAACCCACAGACATCGTCACCGAATATAAAGCAGAGGTCAGACTTTCTCATATATACAAAGCCTCATTTCAATTTTTAAGTTTTTATAAAAATCGATCTATTGAATTATTCAATCTATTAAAGAAACGTTGGCTAGAATTCTGCATTATAGGCTTAAATTATAGAGAGACATAGCAGATGAACCGAGACTGCATCAGATCAATGTAAATCTTTCTTTCGAGCTGTCAGTGCAGAAATGAACAAAACAACTTGCCTAATTCAACATATTATACGATTAAAATATTGAAAAATTAACAGATAGTAATTTCGGTCAATTTTCCTGACGGATAAACTGAGATCAGGCTGGATAAACAGCTCTCGGTAATATTTCAGCATGCTTTCACTTTCGCATTTACCGGTAAGAATGACATCTCACCCTTCTCATCATTCTGTCTTCATTTAGCCGTATATATGGCTATTACACAATCATAATACACTGTGATATAGCCTGGGTCGTTAGTTCGTTGCATTGTTTTGTTTTCTCACTACAATCGATCCGCTCAGTAGGGCAGAGACTGTATTTGCACACAATTGACAGACAGTCGCAGCACGCAGCTCTGGCTCAATCTGTCAGTCAACAAGGCAGCAATGTACACTGGCCCGAGCGTCTTGCACACTGGCCCCGGGCTATCGGGCAGTCCTCATTGTCAAGCCCTGAAGGTTTAAGCTCTGTCGACGGGTCTCCTGCTTCTGCAGTTTAACAAGCACTTCAACAAGCGTATTTTTCCCCGCTTGGCAAGCCAAGCTGACGTGACATGGGGGCGTGGCAGCATCGACGATTCTATTTTTTGATTCGATAATCGAAATCGAGCATAAATTTCGATCGATTTTCGATTAAAATCGAATAATATTTTGTCATCCTCAAGGAATAAATAAAGGACTCATAGGTTCAGAATGACATTGCTTCATGCTTGTCTGAACTAACCCTTTAAAATTGAGCTTGAGCATTTATCTCACATACATTTGATCTCTTTACAAACATCCTGAAGTGTAAGAGAGTCAAAGATGAATCAAGATTGTACAACAGAAAAGCGGAAATCCCTCCCATTTCATTCAAATCTTTTCATTTTGTCTTCTGAAGATTGAAAAAAAAGAAACGCGTTGATTTGGATTGGCATAAGAGCGAGTAAATAATGACAGCATTTACATTCTGGGGTAAACACCGCTTTAAAAATGTTTGATTCTAGAATATTCCATTTGCCTTAGTGTATGAATGATCAGAGTGATTACTGAAAATTAAGATGCGCTATGTCAATAAAATCCACAACTGCAGTCTTTGTGGAACAGTTCACGCAGTTTATAATACAGCATGCTCAATCGTTTTCATTTAAACTCTGACATATGTTACATAACGCTCTTTAACAAACGCAGATGGGCATTTTTGCTGAGCTTACTTTGTCATGTTTGTCAAACACACTCTGGAGGAAGAGGTAGGCATTGTGATTCAGCTCTGTTGTGCAGTCTGGAGGTATTTTAAACCTGGAAAAAAATACAAGACTAAATCAGATTAAATCAGTCGATTAGAAAAATCACACTATAAATTTTCACATTTCTGTAAAATAATAGGAGTCCTTAATAATGATTGTGCAATCGGGACATGATCATGAAGAGCTAGATTTGGGCGGCACTCACAGTGGAAACAGGTATTCTTGTGTAAGCTCCAGATCATCATCATAACCAAACCTCCTAAGCACGGTCCATGTGGTCTCATGCCTCCCCCTCTGAATGAAGAGTGTGTGAAGAAACAGGAAACCTAGAAAACACAGAACAAACAGAGCATAAAGGATTAACAGAGTAACAGAAATAAACAGATTTTAAATGCATATTATAAATAGAAAGATTGCTGCTTACTATTATTATTATTAACTATATACAGTTTTCTTACACAATGTATAAGATACAATGTGCATAATACAACATTATACATTTAATACAATTTTGTACATTAATCTAACTTATAGAATTCATTATACATCTTAATATACTTATAGATTCCAAAAATAGATCATATTTATTAAAGGAGTAAATAATGGCAACAGTTTAGCTTCCCCCATCTAAAAAAACCTAATTTGCCCATCATAAAAATGATTATAATTATTATAGCAAATAACAATTTCTTATGTGTGGAGTCCCATCACAATCAAACTTATCAAAAAATACATTCATTCATTATTCAAATAAAACAATCATTCTGATTATAAATAGCTATATATATATATATATATATATATTAATGTTACATAATAATACAATGATATCATCTATTTCACATTCTTTAAAATAGTATTGGCTTCTTATTACCATTATATGGTTTCAAATAAATATATAAATATTATTGTAATTACATAATACATTTAATTATTCTTTCATTTTCCTTTAGTTTAGTCACTTTTTTACCAGTGGTCGCCACATTTCAGCACATTTTACATAGCGGATGCCCTATCAGCGACAACTACTGAGAAATAATACATTTATGAGTAATAAAGTTTTGTTTTGGTGTGTTAATCTTGTCAATAATATTATTCAAATGGTCAAGATTCCAACTCATTAAATAATTACTTTGGATAGTTTTTATTTCACATTCTTCAGGTGATCTAAAACACAGACGTTTCGGCACAATGCCTTCCTCAGTGTGACACAATCCTCTCACTCCACCTTTTATCCCAGTCAATCACATTACGTCATTAGTTAGATGGCCTTTCAATAGTTAAAAAAAATCCCATTCTCATTTTAATATACTATAATTAACCACACAAGAAATATTTACCTTCACCATTAAAAACATTATTTCACAGGAAAATAACATATCAATAATCATCATTCACTTATTCATGTCTACATCAAATGCAGTACAATTTTGACAGTCCAAAACATTAATAAATACATTTTCATATCATTATTTCTATCATTACATGTTAAAAATTTATCAATAAATTCATTGCATCTCATTACATCAATAAGGAATTAGACCTTGTTGTGTTTTTTTAATGGTTTGTTGTTTAGCTATAACATAGTGAATCATGGATTTTGAGCATGTAATGATACAAATGATGTAATGAAAATTTATTTTTTAATGCATTGATGTAGACATGAATAAGTGAATGATGATAATTATTATATTATTTTCCGGTGAAAAAAAATTTTAATGGTCAAGGTAAGTATTGACCTTGTGTGGTAAATTAATCCTGGCCAAAGTCCCTCAATCGGCCCTTACTCATCATGGCCTCCCAATCATACCCATCCACCGAATTGGCTCTATCACTGTCTCCTCGCTCCACCAATAGCTGATGTGTGGTGAGCGCACTGGCGCTGCTGTTCTGTGGCTGCCATCGCATCATCCAAGTGGATGCTGCACAGCGGTGGTGGTGTGTAGATACCCCCCTCATGATTGTGAAGCGCTTTGGGTGTATGGCCATACAAGATAAAAGCGCTATATAAATACACTTCACATTACATAATTATAGTATATTAAAATGAAAATTAGATTGTTTTTAACTATTGAGTGGCCATCTAACTAATGAGGTAATGCGATTGACTGGGATAGAAGGGTGGAGTGAGAGAATTGTGTCACACTGAGGAAGGCATTGTGCTGAAATGTCGGTGTTTTGTATCACCTGAAGAATGTAACATAAAAACTATGCAAAGTAATTATTTAATAAGTGTGAATCATGACCTTCTGAATAATATATATATATATATATATATATATATATATATATATATATATATATATATATATATATATATATAAAATGTTATTATACAAATTTAAATTTATATAAATGGAAATGTCACAGTATTTTTTTATATGAAAGGTTGATGGCTTCTGTCTTTGTTTTCTGCTCACCCTTCAGTGTAAGGCCGTTGTCTTTGACTCCATCGGTCATATTTTTCCGCACGACATTCTTGACGTCCTCCAGGGCTTGAGGTGCCAGTGGTATGTTAAAACATGTTCTCTGTGAGGCAGAACCACAGAACATCAACATCATCTGACAACCATCTTTCACTCTCATTAAGATGCAGTCTGTGTACATCTATGTACATAAACAAGCTCCCCCTGTCAAAATGCCACAGCTAATTGAGCACTAAGTGTTGAGGAAAACTGCGCTCACCTGGAAGAAATTAAGCTCGTTATCATTCAGAATGCCATCATTATCCAGGTCTGATATTTTGAAAATGCGAGTGAGTGCTTTGATGCAAGACGGCTTCATCTGAAGAGCAAAAAAAAAACAGCAAGAAACTTATTAAAGCAAACTCATTACTGAATGTTTGAATATTTGGATGTTCTTTGGAATATAAAGCAGTGAGATTAACAGAAGTGCTAAATATCTTGCCTCTTTCTCTTCTGGCGAGTACAGAGGTCCTGTGGGGTGAAGAACAGCCTTCTGGGCATAATAAAACAGCTCAGAGATATTCTTCAGGTTTTTGGCAGAACACTAAGAGAGAGAAATTGTCATTTAGTGTCATAATCAAAATATGATGTGGTTTCTTGATTTCTATTTTCAACAATCTATTTTTTTTTTTAAAGAACGTTAAAAAAAAAGGAAAATAATTTCACAAATTTTATAATGCCTACATTGCAATATCTTTAAAATAACTGGGTGGTAAAAGACATCATCCAAAAAAGTTCAATTAAATAGCATTAGTTAAAGAATAAAATATATTTATAGGGTTAAGCAGTGTTTCTCAACCACATTCCTGGAGGACCACCAGCACTGCATGTTTTGGATGTCTTCTTTGTCATCACCCATCTTTTAATCTCTGCTAATGAGCTAAAGATCTGAGTCAGGTGTGTTCGAATAAGAGATATGGAAAATGTGCAGAACTGGTTGTCTTCTAGGAACATGGTTGAGAAACATTTAGTTAATGTACAGATGGTTTTATTTATTTACTTATTACATTTTTACTGAATCAAGATTTTATTTTTAATCAAAACATGTTAGTAGATGCACATTTTTCAATGCATCCCTTTGTTTGTCAGGTATAAATAAGAATTAATAAAGTTATTTGAATAAATAAAAGGCTATGCATGTAAATAATTTTTTTATCAATTTCAGTTTTGATAGATCAGTGGTTCACTAGCTATGAGAGAAATCTTCTAGATCACAGCGCTTACCTCCACACAGGTCTCAATCTCTGAGTACTGGTTCATGATGGGCAGGATGGTCTCCATGCTGCTGTGCTCCACCAGGTCAGATTTATTGCCCACCAGGATTAGCGGCACTCTATGCAAAGACAAAGAGATTTAAAACACTGTTCGGCTTAAAGCATGGCATAAAATCTATGCTGCCTAAATCATCGTACAGACCACCGTGGAGCAAAAGCACAAAATAACAAGCAAGATTTCAAACATTTACAACGATATTATAAAGTACTTTCTTACATTCAGTTTTTCAAGGCTGTAAGTTTAGTTGAATGTTTATTTTGTATTAAGAAGAAAAGACGCTGCACATATTTATACATTCTTTTCTATCTATAAAATCTAAAGCAGATATTTGAAACTTACTTTTACCCCTGAATTGATAAATAAATGAGTAAATCGAACACATAAAATGAAAGTTTACCCAAAAGTCCAAGTTTCTTTCTTCTGATGAACACAAAAGATGATAAACTAAAGAATGCAGAAAACTGGTACCCATTGAACTCCACACTATTTAGCTTTATTACTACTGATACGACCAGTTATTAACATTTTTCAAAATATCTTATTTAGGAAAGAATTTTCCTAAATTTCCTTATTTAGGGAAACAATTGCGGTGAAATACTCTTTTAAAAGCAATTAAACAGATTAAATAAGAGTTATATAATGATCACATGGATTATTATTTATTATACACAAAACTATATTTAACATTGAGTAAATAAAATTGATAAAATTATTATAAAACTACAAAAGAGCGTACACAACCATAATAATGGTTTAATTATTTTTGCTTATATATATATATATATATATATATATATATATATATATATATATATATTTAGCAGACACTTACGCAGATATATTTGCAGATTCAATATTTAGCAGATCTGATATTTACATAATCATATTTATTCAAATACAATTAAAATCTAAATTATGCAAAAAAAATAAAGTGCATGTCATTTATGCCATACAGGAAATGTCATTACATTACATTACATTATGTAAATCATGAATAATCAAATCAAAAAATTATTTAGCCTGGTATAATCAAGTCAAAAGGCAACTCTGGCTAAATATTAATATAAATATAATTATTGTAATAATATTTGCAATAATCTATAGCCAGTCCTCTAAACATTCTACTAACTACTGAAATTTGAGTTGAAATATTTATTTATACTACAATCGTTGATGTTCTAGTTTTTTGTTGAAGTGCTTAGTGTGTATGTGAGGCACTAACGTGACACTTACTAAAAGAATTAATATATCAAAGATACAGTATATAAATTGTTGCTTACTTTTGATCTCCACTGTATATAAAGGTGACTTGACTTTAAAAGCATGAGCAAATAAGATTTACAGAGACCAGGTTCTCCAAGAACCTGTCAGAAAGCCACACACCTGCTGTCCTTATCTGTTCTTTCATTGATGAGTGGAATCCAATGACTCGTCACCTACAAGAAACGCCAAAATAATGAGACCCAACAGAACCATTGAGCAAAAAGCCATCAAATGCTTTTTATTATTCACTTTTATACGAATAAAAGTGAATAATAAAATAATAATAAATGACAAAAGTGAACAAAACATACTTTTTCGATTGATTTCTTATTGTTCACTGAATAGACGATGCATATAACATTAGCCTGTACCAAGAAAGAAAAACAATGGAGTTAAACAATAAGATTAAAAATAAAACAGCCTTTAAAAATATTAAACAATCCCCACCTTTGTTATTTCTTGGTAAAGCTGCTCATCTGACTGTTCTGCTTCTGTTGGATGAATAAAACCAATAATAAAAGGAGAGAATACAGCAGTATAATCAGAGCTAAACATCAGTATTTACATAAGAACAGCAATGAAAAAGAACAGTTTATAAATTTATTATAGATTTGTATTGTGTGATGTGTTTTTGTGTATTATGTGTGACATGCTGCAACCAAACTGCCTTCGGGAAATGAATAAAGACTGGCTGAAGGCAAGTATTATTATATGGAGATGTGCATACCGGAGTAATCTACTATATGAGTGGGCACTCGCTCAGGTGTGACGTCTGCAGGAATAGTAATCTCTTCGGCTCTTGGAGGAACCTTCAGTGGACACACAATACAAGTTTGAGAAACACTCACAAATTAATTTGTCCTTCAAGTCCCTTAATGGATTTAATGAATGGCTGTACCTCATCAGGAAATTCCTCGCTGACGAGTGACATGATAAGAGAGGTCTTCCCCACTTTGGCTGCGAAGAAAAAAATTCAAAATGAGCGCTATGTTCTGCCTGTATTCATAGCTCTGAGATTTAAATCCCTTTACAAAGGGGTAGCAGCTGATAGGTAGGGCCAGACGGAATCTGCAGACTTTTTTTTTCTAATTCTGCTGAGAATTTTGGTAAAAATCTGCGGATTTTTGCTGAATTATTTTGAGAGCATCATAATTAAAACCTTAATATATGAAATAAAAATAATATTTTTTTATTTTATTAAATGTTTAAAATCCAAATCCTATTAGATTCACTTTATTTGGTATATAAAGCTGGTTTGTCATATAATATATCTAGTAAAAGACAGAAAATAACATTGTACAAACTGCATTGTACATAAATCAGATAAACATTTCCACATTCGTCAATAATATAACTGAAATTAATTAAAAAAAACTGAATAAATACAGATTTAAACACATTTACTCAAGAAAATAAATAAAATAATGATGGGCTAAAGATCTGTGGAATTCTGTGCGCGCAGATTCCGGGTGGGCCTACTGATAGGACACTGAATTTCTACTGTAAATGTAATATTTCTATGGCTTCTATAACAATAATAAAGATTAGTTATTTCCAAAATTAAGCTCATGTTAACCATTTATATTTTCTAAAAGATTTGTAACGACATTTGGATGTAATTAAAGCCTTTCATTTTCAAACATCATGCCTTAATAACTTCATACTAGCAAAATGAATTAGCAAACAGCATTTAGAAAGTTGAAAAGTTAATGATGAATACAGAAATATTAGTTAATAGAATTAGCTTTTACTTTCAATTCACTTTTATATAATATAACTGATATTTTTCTATTTTCAGATTCATTTTAATGTTAAAGCAGTCATGTTGAGTGTCTTGTCAAATTAGCTGAGTTTTTACGGTTAAAATTTAGACAATCAGCTAAATGGCTTAAACTTTTTGTCATGTTTTTATGACAAATATGTCTATTTTCCATTTTATTACTTAGCTTATTTTAGGCGATCCGGGTATGTTAAGTGATGTCCGTTTTTTCTGTTAGACTGATGAAAACTAATAACATAAAATATAAATTATATATGGAAATATTAATTAAAAAGTAGATAGTTTTACCTCAGCACATATTTTTTGGTCCTGTGTTCAAATTCAGAATTTTTGGTTAGAAATATTTCAGGTATTTGCTAAAGTTCATGAATGTGTTTTACTCCCTGACCCAATGATAGCAATTTTTGGCTAGTCAGATTTTCTTGATACTCTAGTCTAAACCGAAATTTACGGTTACCTGTTCAGTATGGCATGATCATGGCTAAAAAAGTTATCCTTGGTTTTTGGAAGAAAAATGTTAGGCCTCTTTTTTCTGACTGACTTCTTGGACTCAACTTCACTTTACATTCGGAAAGAATTAGATATACGCCCTCTGGGAACTCTGAAAAATTTGATAAAACATGGGATCCAGTCTTTTTTTTTTTCTAAAACAGCATAAAGACTAATAGTGTCGTCTAATTTTGTAAGATTTATAAGTTTTTTTTTCTCCCTTATAAAATCCATTGGTGTGTTTTTTATTTTTGTGTAGGTCATTTGTCTTGTATGTCACCATTTTCTCATTTCATGATGGGTCTGTCTGTTCTTTGTTTTTCTGTCTGCAAAAAATATGATAAAAAAATATTCAAAAAAAAGTAAATGGTTTTGTTAAAGACATTATATTGAGTGTATTTTGTTTTATTGGGTAACATTTCCCATTTTCAGTATAAATATAGTTAAAGCATAAGCCTTTTGGCTGACTGTTTTAGTCATGCTAAGAAGAAAAATATGTATATTTTGCATAATTTTACTTCTAACATTTTGGATGTTAGACGATGTTTACATATATTATACAAGTTATTTTTTTCAGCCAATTTAGATATTAGATGATGCTTAAATATTTTGTAAGTTATTATGTTAAATCACTTTATTTGTTATCTTATATACACTTTATTAAGATTTTAGCATGTTACATCATAGCGTAACTATAATAACGCTTGTTTGTAATATTAATAACTATATAAAAACATTTAATCATAATCAATATTTTCTGTTCAATTATAAATTAAGAGAAATACTACAGCAGTCTGTTTGGCATTGGAGAGCAGTACGTTTGCATAGACACGTACTGTTTTGGATGACCCATCTAAAGTTTGGCAGCTATTACAGTCTGGAGGCCCGTGAGAGCTGCCCCTAAAACTGCTATAAATAACCCTGATAAACACGAGTGAAATTAACTGAAAGATGAAGGATGACACTCCCAGCATTAATGCCAGGGACTGCTGATTTGGTCAGTTATGGTGATGAAAAACTAGTCCTTTCAGCCATTTAACACCCACTGAACAAGCATTAATATAATGTATCTGATGACTCTGGACAACATTTAAAAGAAGCACAGAGAGGGATAACTTGTATCTGCTTATTCCGAGTCAACAGCCTTCATTCTGTCACTTGTCAATATGATGCATTGACGTTACATAACTGACTAGGAGCATGTCTAAAATGTTAATCTACAGAATTGAAGATAATAATCAAGCAAGAAATAGTAAATATCTGTGCGATTAACTAATTTATGGTAGGAAAAATCAATCCAGCAATTGCATTCATTTGACACTTATATAACAAACAAGATGAAAACACTAAATGAATGCACTTACGTTCTCCGACCAGTAATATCCTCACGTCCTTTCTCATTGTTGCAACTTTAATGTGATCAAAATAAAAAACGGACGAGTCCTTTGTCGAGGATCATTGATCCTGCTGCTACATGTAACAGCGCAGGCCTCTGTAGGGCAAAACGGACGGATCAACTATTGCCCGTTTCTGTCACAATAAGACTTCCGCTCGCAACAGTTTACCACACAAAGGAGATTCACGCCATGAAGACAAAGCGATTCCGCGTAAATGAAGGCACTGATTGCTTTCTTCAGATTCACTTCATGACATTTCTGGGTTCACATTTCAAGCTCACGCCACAGGAGGCTGACCTCCAATAACCGGTAAGTACGGAAAGCGGCTACCGACAAAACGCGGATCTCCTTTCGCTGACATTTTCTTGCTTCCCGCTTGCAGTAATGATTTTACACCGCCTCCTGTAGGACTGGGGAAAAACACGAGATAACTGTAATAGTACAGGACTATTTTATTTTCCTTCGGCTTAGTTCCTTTATTCATCAGTTGTATTGAGGCTTAACTGTTCAAGACGACCAGCTTAGGTTCAAATTGAGTAGATTGGATGAAAAAATACTCACTTTACTCGCCCTCATGTGTTTACAAACCATTATAAATTGTTTTTCTTTTGAACACAAAATAAGATGTTTTGAACGTTGACCATGCTATTTGAGCAGTGAACTTACATCTGAGGTCTGCAGAAGACACAATGTTTACTAAAGAGACTATTAATTAATTTGTTCATACATTCATTTTCCTTCTGGTTAGTTCCTTTATTCATCAGGGCCATCACAGTGGAATGAACCGCCGACTTATCCAGCATATATTTTACATAGCGGTTGCCTTTCTAGCAGCAACTCAGTACTGGGAAACACCTATACATCTCAGATTCACAAATACAGCCAATTTACAGTAGTTCATTCTATTCACCCTTGTCCGTCTCTTTATGACCAGTGCACCCATCTTCTGATTGCTAGCAGGATAATGCACCGTGTCATAAAGTGTGAATCATCTCAGACTGGTTTCTTGAACATGGCAATGAGTTCACTGTACTAAAATGTCATCCACAGTCACCAGATCTCAATCCAATAAAACACCTTTGGGATGTGGTGGAACTGGGAAATTCACATCATGGATGTGCAGCTGACAAATCTGCAGAAACCAAAATCTCTGAGGAACATTTTTAGTACCTTGTTGAATCTATGACATGAAGGATTAAGGCAGTTCTGATGGCAAAAGGAGGTCTAACCCAGTGGGTCTACTAGTAAGGTGTACCTAATAAAGTGGCCGGTGAGTGTATATCAAGTGTAACTTGTGATTCAAACTAAAATTTTTCATTTTTTTCTGACTATGTATTTACAAGTATTACTGTACTTTCAACTACTTTGCATTTATTGAAGTTAATTAAAAAACAAAAATAACCTTATTTATTATTTATAACATGTCTTTTTTTAAAGTAAAATGCAAAGTTTACCCAAACAGCAGTTTAGTGATATAGGCTTAAGCATTATTATATTCTTTCATATTATATTACTGTAAAATGCACATGTTAATCAGAAACATATAGCAGATTGTCAAATTGCTTGCTTTATAATTAATAAATTAATTAGGATCATTGTCTTGACGTAAGCATGAGTATGTAATTGTTATTACATTATTCAAAACATTGTAAGATGTGGATATGTTACTTAATCAAACCCAGAATTAATTTATTTTTAAATGGTGCAAAATGTTGCAGGATTCCTTTTATTAAAATTCAACAAAACATGAACATGGATTGTGTGAATAGATTAGACAACAGCTATGTTTCTAGTTTCAGTAAACAGCAACCACAACATTATACGTTCATACTTATGAGAGTATATGGAACTTTAACAAAATAATATAATTCATCAGATTTCATGTGCAATAATTTCTCTCTCACACACATTTTTCAGAGTTCTGATTTAATGTGGGTGAAAGGCTTTTTCATGAGTTTTTCTTCAAACTTCAAACATTATTTGATGGTCAAACCTGATTCAGATAGTGTTGAAGATTCAACCTTTCCATTGTTGAATCAATGTTAATCCAGTAAAGGTCTGCCGTTGAATGAACTTGAATGTTCAGCATGAAATCAGCATTTTTCATAAACCTTATTTATTTTATTAAGACATTTTCAATCCTCTGGAGAGAAATTAAGGTATATTTGTAACAACTTATTTGTTGGACCACTTCTAATGTCAACCAAATGAATTCAATGGTACTCTATGACATTGTAGGTTACTACAGTGGGCTCTAGGACAAATAAAAACACAATTCAGGTATTGTGAAAGAGAACTTTATTCTGTTTGATTTGCAAAATCATCTGAAAACAACAAACCGGAAAAAGAAGAATGGAGAAACCATTATCAATACATGCATGCACATATCGCAGTTGTCTTGAGCGTGTTGTTCTGAGGGCTTTTTTGCTCAACAGCCCTGGCTTTCTGAAAAACAAAACAAAACATTAAACAGTTCACACAAAGGCCCTATTGTCTATTTTAGACTATAGTAAACTAAAGTTTAAAACTATAGTTTAAAATAGAAGCTAAAGTGGGCCATGCTGCTCCCACCCACCATTACCCTAGCAGCAGGTCCCACTACCGGCCTCCCTTGTTTCCTTGAGGGTCCTCACAGCCCGTTTTGCGCCCTACCTTGGGTACACGAGCTCGAGCTCGAGCTGCCTCACCCAAGGGAGTGCACGAGCTGACCGGGCACCAGTCCGTGCCGGATGCCCGGAATGTTGCTCGGCGGCTCATTTCGAGCAACAAACACTTAATATTCCTCGCGATGTTGCGTTTATGTACGCAAACCGCGAGGAACTACAGCACAGACGGCCCGAGTGAAGCTTCACGAAGCGGACTTAGTGAGATTGGCGTGGCTCCACTCGTACCGTCGGTATTGAACTCACCTAGGTCAAGTACAAACAGCAACACCTTGACAACTGACAACACTGAGAGAAAGCACGAGAGCTTTATAAGAATGATGATGGAATGTTTAGAACGAGACGTCACTGCCTGACAATGAAGTCATGACGAGCGCTGAAGAAAGCTGCGTCCAAGATGGCGCCCTAGCAACAGGTGAATGGATGTGCTCTGACAACTATAATAGCGCACGCTGCTGGTGGTATATTTTGAAAGCTTGAAGCTCTTATTCTTTTCAAGAAAAGATTATTATATAAATACTTACTAGACTGTTTTGTGTCTGTGACAAAAATCAGAGAAAAGAAAGTACAACACGAGAACAACAGAAGTGTGTCTTTGGGGAAGGCAGGCACTTTTTTCCAGGGGTTTCAGTACAGCGTAACCGCTAGAATTAGGCAAAGGCTAATTCTGCTAACGTTAACAATAACGCGAATGAAACGTCTGAAGCTTCTTGTAGTTTCGAAACGGAAATACTACATAAATATTCGAGATAAACATGGACTTCGTACCTACTACACTAAGACTCTCACAAATATATCCTGATATTGATGAATTGTGTGATCGATGTAAAAGTGACAGGCAGACTTTCTCCATATGTTCTGGCCTGGGCTTGTCAAAACTTGAGTGACTATTGGACACAAATATTTAAAACACCGAATGATGTCTTTAATTTAGAAATAAAACCTAGTGTTGAAACAGCTGTTTATGGCGTATTAGAACAAAAAATATCATTGATAAACAAAAAAAAAATGTCACTGTGGTAATCATCACGGTAAATGTGAGCACCAATATTGTTTGGTTTCATATTTATGTAGAAGACCAATATAAATATGTCAGATTATTAATTTAGGTTTTATTTAAATTAGTGTTACAATTGATTTTGTCTAATGTAAACGTCTACAACACTGTAACGTTTATTTTTTATTTTATTCCATTTTGCTTTATTTGATTTTTATCTGTTTCTGTTGCATATTTCAGCAGCAAGGGTCATTATAGGGAAAATTACATCCTTAATTGTACAAAATGTTTTCTTAAAGCTTGTAAAAGAATCAAAACAAATCAACTAATACAAGAAATGACATGTTTAGGGAAGAGAATATACAGTTGAAGTCATAATTATTAGCCCCCCTGAATTGTTAATCCCCCCCCCATTTCTATTTAACGGAGATAATTTTTTACCACATTTCTAAACATAATTCAAAACATAATTCGAGCAGAAATAAAACAAATAAGACTTTATCCAGAAGAAAAGAATATTATCAGACATACTGTGAAAATTTACTTTTAAACATCATTTAGGAAATATTTAAAAAAGAAAAAAATCATTGGGGATATATATATATATATATATATATATATATATATATATATATATATATATATATATATATACATATATATAACCATATGACAATACTGTTATAGGTTTTTTCTCAGTACTTGATGAAATGTTGACACCTACTGTCAGCTTTCATAAGAGCAGATTTGTAGTTATAAAGGCCAATATGATATATTTTGTATTTAGTATATTATTGGTGTTTTTTCTGAAGGGATGGGGGACCTGAGAGGACCCCCGTCTGCAGAATGATGGAGAGAGTCTTACTGTAGGTTATTATATTGGTTATGGACCATGGTCCAAGACGCCTGTTAAGGCAAATCAGCCATGCACCAGAATGTTCCTGAGGGCCACCTGTCCAAGGTAAGCATAAAAAGAAGGCTGTTGATCTGTGATATATGTACAGTTGAAGTCAGAATTATCAGCCCTCTTGAATTATTAGCCCCTCGTTTATTGTTTTCCCCAATTTCTGTTTAGCGAAAAGATTTTTTTAGCACATTTATAAACATAATAGTTTTAATAACTCATTTTCAATAATGGATTTATTTTATCTTTGCCATGATGACTGCCATGATGACAGCACATAATATTTTTCAAGATACTAGTTTTCAGCTTAAAGTGACATTTAAAGGCTTTACTAGTTTAATTAGGGAAGTTGGGATAATTAGGCTAGTCATTGTATAACAGTGGTTTGTTCTGTAGACAATTGAAAAAGAAATATTGCTTAAGGTGGCTAATATTATTGACCTTAAAATGGTTTTAAAAATTTTTACCTGATTTTATTCTGGCCAAAATAAAACAAATAAGACTTTCTCCAGTAGAAAAAATATTATAGGAAGTACTGTGAAACATCATTTGGTAAATATATAAGTAAAAAAATAACATCACAGGAGGTGTAAAAAGTTTGATTTCGACTGTATATGTCCATATTTTTTAATTTTCTAGTCAAGGACTTTTTATAAGGGTTTTATTTTAAGTTGACGCTTATTGCACCATATATTTTTTTTATATGCTAGTGACCTTCTTGCTGTGAGGCGACAGTGCTAACCACTGAGCCACCGTGTCGCCCTTAAAAGACTTCTTTTTGGTAAATCTTAAGTCTGAGTGGGCTATAAATAAAAAAGGATTGCCGAGTATCATGTACATTGATAAAACTATGCTATGCAGTATTGCAGTATGTAATCACACATGCTCACAGAAAACTGAAAGGTGTAAAAAGATTTACAGCAGTGTGACAAGAAATGTGTTGACATAGTAGCTGCGTCCCAAATCGCATACTTATGCACTATTCTACGCCATTTTGTAGTATAAATAGTGTAAGTAGTGTGTTCACACTGAAAACTCTTAAAATAATAAGTGCACTTTAATTACCCGGATGATGCACTCATTCAGCCGCTAAAATGAAGTGTGTATTGATGGACACTTCACGCACTCAACGACCGCAGGTTTGCTTACGTAGCGAAAGGGGCGGAGCTATCGGACGCACATGTTGGATAACTTTATTTATTTTGGATGGAGAAAGCAAAATTCTCCTACGAGAGTGATTATATCGCCTCCCGATGGTGAATGCGGCAATACTCACGATAGGTATTATTTGATAATTCGGTCGTTTATTTCACTAATTTGGCAACTGTCAAACGTCATCAGGGAAACGGTTTGAATTTCCGTTTAGTAAAAAAACATTAGTGTGCCATTTGGGACAAGACTACATACATGTACTATCCTGTTGAGTGTGTAAGTGCATAAGTACATAGTGCATGAGTGCATAGTGTATAGTGTGCCATTTGGGACGCAGCTATTGTGTCTTACCACTGTATGCTCCAGTGCAGCACATGTCTGAATCCTGTGCCACAAATTTTATTTTGTCATGTTTGTGTGCTTTGCAAACATTTGTGCCAATAAAACAATTTGAAACCCATTTGATTTTTGGTCAAAGATGTAACTTTTTTTTTACTTAGTAGTGACTTTTGCCATGTGGATTTTTTTTAAATCTAGCCTGCCTTTAATGAAACACTAATGCAGAAATAAATGTGGAACACTGGTGAATCTGACTCTGATTTATATAGTAGTGGAACGACTATTAATAGCTTTCAGCAAAGGGACTTTGACCACAATGTCATGAATTATATGAAAAAATTGTTGTTATAAATATGCAAATCACAAATAATTATTTAAACATTCAGAAGTAATTTTTAATGACACCAATGCCTATTTTAATAGCAGGTTCATCAAATCAATACTTTTAAAACAAATTTATTATTAGTTTATTGACGTGTATGATGCTTTTTCATACGTTTGGGTTTTTTTCTCATGGCGACTGATCATTTTAAAGAAAGATAATTGTGTTTAAAAAGCAAGTATCTTATTCTTTTGTCTTGAATTATCTTGAATAGCTGCATTTTTTAGTCATTTGTCTATGGATTTCAACTGCTCGCAGATCATTAATTACAATAAAATATGTCTGGAGCAAACATGTCTTTTACGGTTTTATTTATTATTTTAAATATATACATATAATAAATTCTGCTATGTGTAATGACTATAAAATAATAACAGGAAAGCACCAAATTGCTGAAATGTATTTAATAATTTGTATAAAATGCTTTTTTGGTAATGAAAGCTACAAGATGAATTGCATACATTGCTCAGATGTTGTTTTTTCCCCATACATCAGCAGTCTAAACATCTTGACTGTTCTATGAGTCTTGTCTATGAACTGATACAAATTAATTTTTAATAAAGTAATATCAGATTCCAGTCTGTGATTGGCTGGGCCATTCTAGCTGCTTTATTTTCTTTTTCTGAAAGCTGTAGAGTTTCATTGGCTGTGTTTTAGAATCATTGTCGTGCTGAAATATCAACGCTGGTTTCCTCTTCATCATAAGGGTAATATAGATGTTGGACTGAAGCAGCTAATATTGATATACACTGATGAGGGGCAGGGCTGATTGTTAACTACTGAAAGATTTCAGCTGCTGCCTGGCCTTTCCATGACTTATTACACCTCCCTTTCTTCGTGTGTTTAATATTTTATTCCTGTGCAATTTCATTGTATTCCACATAACAAACAAAAAATTATTCTCCTAGTTTTCTTTGCATGTATGGATTACATTTGAGGTTACTGACATGTGGGGAAAACTTCACCTTGCCAAATGTTTTCTGAGAAAAGTTGTGACCAATACTTATTTTACGTCATTGAAATAGGAAACATTTATGCAATATGCAATTTTAATATAAAAAAATTTTTTTTAAGTTTGAGCATCCTATAAAAATCAGTTTCAGTCACTCATGTGGTTATAAATCAGGGTAAAAAAAACAGCCGAAATGTCAGTTAAATAAAACCCAGGTGTTCTACAAGTACCCTCTTCGTCACACTCAGTCCCATGCAGTTCTATTTCTATACATACGTAATTCCTTATTTAAGCTTGTATTGTGTGTCTTAGCTCCTGCATGAGGACTCACACGTCACATGAGTCTAGTTCAGTTCTCTCTCGCCAGACAGAGACAAGACTCCTCAGTCAAAGCTTGTGTCTGGATCTCTCCTTGTAGATCTTCCTTCATACCTTCGGAAAACTCAACCAGTGGATCTGTCCTCACTTGACCTACTTCAATTTTGGTTTCACATCCCAAAATGCACCAAAAAAGAGAAAAGCAGTCACATTCCTCCAAACTTCCCTTTGAATAAAATATCTCTGGTACTCAAACGCTTGACCCTATATACAGTCCAGCAGTGTCCTCTGAGCGTACTGTCCCATGCAGTCTTATATTCACTTTCGTCTACGGATATTGGCTTCGGCTGAAAGGAAGCAGAGTATTTTAGTTCACAGCTCAGTCATGTTTTGCATTATTTAATTCACACATCTGATAAAGATCATTACAGTCTTACTGGTGTAATCTTGTGGCATCATGGGTTTCGAGATAACGGTTTTCAAGGCCTCCACCCACTCTCTTTGATCACGCTCCTGTTCACACATGAAGACAAACTGCCGGTCCGGCGTCTCCACAATTACCCCGCACTTCCATTTGTTGCCTCTTGTGCCTTTAGGAACACACTCCCTCACTGAATAGCCATGATTCTCTGAGCCAATGAAAACAACCCCAAGCTCAATGGCATCCTTTAGGATAAAAAAAATTAACGTAAGAGTAACGCAGATGATAACGTTACATAAAACTTATGTTTTTCTTTTGCTAAACATTACGAGAGCTAAATCTGGTTCTTTAGGAAAGAGAGAATACAAAAAAGCAAAGAAGAAAAAGTCATACCAGCTGTGTTTTAAAATAGAGTAGTTTTCTGTCCATTGAATCCAAGATGAACCATCTTTTCTTGAATGGCTCTCGCTGCTGTTTAACACACACAAACATTCACTCTCAACATACAGTAACTGAATGTCTTTAGTTGTTTGAGCAACAATACTATTCATTAGAAAACAGAAAAACAAATCAAAACAGAAAAATATAAATGATATAATATGCTGAATCATGCAGATGTTTAGCATATTATGTAAAAAAGCTTTACATTTGTGTCTAATTTATATTTGTTTGTTGGTTTTTCTGAGCAAAAATGTTAAACATTAGTTTTTAGACCACAAAAGATTGTGATTTGTTCTGACATACATATATGGGTAACACTTTACAATAATGTTTGTAGTTAATGTTAGGTAATGCATTTACTAACATTAACAAACTTTGAACAATTATTTATTACAGTATTAATAGGGTATTTGCTGAAGGACCTTTACATTTTCAATAACTTGGGTCAAACCCTTCCGGTGAACTGTATGCCGTTACAAAATCGGCGCGTTTAAGGTCTATTTTCTTTAAATTAATGATTTTCACTGCCTGATATATATGAGATATTAAGTGGGTCTGAGAATGTACAAAGAAGCACTGCATTAAATTAACTTTTTTCCACGCCATGTCTTTAAAATATGAGCATTTATTTTACTCCAGTATTTTCAGTAGTTTCTGCACTCGCCTGCTGATCCTGACGGGCGTGTTTTACACTTCAACAACTAAATGAATGCTGAAGTCTATTTAACTGATTATATTTTAATTACATTACAATATTGATGCTGTAAAAGGAACCGTATAAAATTAAATAAAGTCACATTAACCGTTCACCGGAGTTTCATTAGTAAGGGAAGAAACACCAGACCTGCATATACCCTATGTATCTTTGTTAAACTTAGTTAATAAGAATAAAGTTGTTCATTGTTAGTTCATGTTAAGGCAAGCACATCTTTGCATTTTAATATAGTAAATTGAACTATGATTAATAAAAAGCTGTACAAGGACTGTTCATTTTTAGTTCATATTACTAAATACATGAACTACAATTAACTAATGGAACCTCACTATAAAGTGTGATTAATATATTATTATATGCTTTCTATGTATTTTTCATCACTTTCGACAGTTACATTTCATACATTTCATAAGAACACCAAAATGGGACATCTCAACTAATCCATGTACTGTACACACGATGGTGTTAAATGGTGTATTGGTGTGTGTAAATAAAGTGTGTATAAAGTGTTTTCATGATTTGGATGATTCATTTTTAAATGCTTGTGCAATTTACACATATACGCACAAAAAAAACCTTGCTATATTAAAAATGTAGATTTTTAAATATGCAAAAAAATTATAAAAATAAAGAGAACCACGTGCAGGAAAAACAAATCCTCTTACCAGTGGACCAGTCTTCTCCATATAACCTTCTTTGAGGTAATTTCTGCTGATCCATGGAATTATCTTGAAACAAAATAATGGTATAGGAATTTAAAATCAAGGTGATTAATACGAAAAAAAATATTATTAACCTATTAACCTAAGAAAACAAAGCTATAAATACTTGCCTATCAAATATTCTACTGTTTCGTTTTCAATATATTTTGAGTAAACTGTGGTGTTCACATTTGTGTGATGTTATTTTGTACCATTTTAATTATCATTCCAATAAACTACAAATCAGCGTTGGGGGTAATGCATTACAAGTAACGCAAGTTACGTTATAATATTAAGTAACAAGTAACGAGAAAAGTAACACATTACTTTTAAAAATTAAGTAAAAATACTTAAGTTACTTTTCAAAAATGGAATCCAAGTTACTTTTTAGTTTAGTTTATTCTTTAAAAAAATAAATTACTGAATTAAAATAAATGTAGTCACAGTGAATCCTGCACGCAATGAGATAACACAGGAACAGACAGAAATGAAGACAGCAGAGCTTTACATTGCAGCTGTAGAAATATTCTCATTATTTTGAACACATGGAAGAAAATCAAAAGAAGATTATCTGAATAGACACCCATTTTACTTTTTATTAAGACAAAAAGTACAAAAGTAACAAATGCATTGCTTTAAACTTTCGTTAATCTGTATATGTATATATATATATATATATATATACATATATATATATATATATATATATATATATATATATATATATATATATATATATATATATATATATATATATATATATATACGGCATCTATAGCTCTTGGGTCAGAAAGTTCTCCGAAGATAACAATAATTCCCAATCCTACATTCATTTTTAATAATTGTTTTTAAAGGTAATGGAAGGTTATACAGTGTGTTGTTATTTGCAGAGCTCCTCTAATAAAAAAAAAAAAAAAGATTTAAAAAACCTTTCCCAGTGGACCTTTCCAACTGGATAAGTTGGTGGTTCATTCCGCTGTGGCGACCCCGGATTAATAAAGGGACAAAGCCAACAAGAAAATAAATGAATGAATGAATGAATTTAAAAAAACCTTCAAGTTTTCTGACCACAGTCAGGTCAAAATAAAAAAAAAAAGTAAAAACGAAAAAGTAACATCGTTTTATATAACATAAAAATTAATGAAGTAACACAACTAGTTATTTTTTGGGGGAGTAACTCAATATTGTAATGCATTACTTTCAAAAGTGACTTTCCCAAACACTGCTACAAACTGTTTAATGCTAACACTACAATCCTAATCCAAACAAAAGTCATTCAGTAAACTCATATTCTCGATCATTTGGTTTTGATACTTACAACTATTATAAAAAAAAGTCTGTTTATATACTACAAATGTCTCTATAGTATGAATTAAAATTATACATCAATTATTCTATACGCTAAACAATTTCATATGGGCTTTTTGTTTAGCATACACAAAACCAAAACTACTTTGCCGTGTCCTGTTGACATTGTAGTGGTGTGGGGTGTATGTTTGACGGTCATTCATGTTGTGAAACATGAGGGAAGACAGGCTTTAAAACATTAATGGTTTAAGGAAGTACAATCGTTTGGAAAAGGGGAAACTTGCAGTACTTCCCTTTTATGTGGCAATGTGAGCACAACTATAACAGGAGAAGGATCTACCTGTGTTTTTGACATGTTTAAATGCAAATTGGTGACACACTGGACCTGTTTACACCTGGTGTCTGATTGGACAGCTATCGCTTCATTTACATTTGGCCACATAAATGTGTCTTAGCTAAACTGATGTGATTTTGATCTTCAAATCTTATACTATATGCAAATTAACACTGGTTAAGGTTACATTTGCTAAAGTGTCAGATACACTGTGTTTTATTTAATTATATTCAGTATTTTTTTTACAGAGACTTAAGCTATGCATCTTATTCAGCATATACATGATTTCATTTTCACTTAGTTCTCCACTCATGTTTCAGTATATCATCATTACAAGCAGTGTTTATTTTGACAGCAAATTTTCATTTAGTCTTAGACTTTTAACTAAAATTCCATTTTAATTTGTCATATTTTAGTCCTCTGAATCATTTTAGTTTCAGTCAAAAATTTAAGTTGACTAAATTTACTATAGGTTAAGTTGACTATAATATATATTTGGTTTAACTTAAGTGTAATTTATATACATTTATACAAAATATTCTAACGTAAAATTAAATAAAACAGTCTTTATAATATAGCCTTTCCATTGAAGACCAAAAATTAGATAGGCATTGTTTATTTATATCATAAATAATATGTAAAATGATGTGTTGGCGATCAATCCACATGTAAGAACAGTAGCCTACTAATAATGCAGGATTGTGCAATTATTTAGCAAACCCTTTTTTTATTTAGTCTTTTTAACCGGTTTGTTGAACAGTTTCAAGCCATTTAATCTTTCAGAGGGCTTAAAATAGTTAAAGTCCGCTTTGCAATGTCATTCTACCAAGCTTTACTCTTGTAGTTGGTGTTACAGTAGTTGGCGCTCAGCTATAGCACTGATTAAATAAGAAGAGTAATGACATTTGACTGGCAAATGATATTGTGTTATTTATAATACATCCCTCAATCATATTCTCATCTTGTTTTTATTAGTCGACAAAAATAAAATTCATACAGTCATTTTCTTTTCAGCTTAGTCCCTTTATTAATCTGGGGTCACCACAGCGGAATGAACCGCCAACTTATCCAGCATAGGTTTTATGCAGCAGATGCCCTTCCAGCCGCAACCCAGCACTTGGAAAACAAAATATCAGTATATTTAAATTATAGTTGTCGTCCTCATCACTTACTTTTAATTTAGTTTTCGTCTAGTTTTTGTTGATAGAAACTTTTTCGTCACAAAAATTATGTAAAAAAATATTGGGCCGGTCTCCCATTTACTTTCATTGCAAGCAAAATGAAACATGTTTTGGTCATACAAATGTCTACAAGACATCATTCAAAGCTGTAAAGGGTTTACTTTAACTGTGTATAACTTACTCTCACAAAAACAAAACACTGTGTCTTTTACATTTTTTAAACAAAATAGATTTTTTGATTATTTTTCCTCTCCATAGGCTACTACGTGTGCTTAATGCTTAATGCCATTTTTATAGTGACTTATCATTCTAATTCTCTCATTTCATAGTCAATGACCAGTGAAGAAATCATTAAACTAATCAAAATCCCAAACTGTCATGTGTGGTGTTGCATTGGATTTTACATTGAGTTGTGTGTTGTATTTGTGCTGTTTGGTCTATAATGTTTTTGAAAAAAAAATTTGTCCCCTTTTATTTTAATTTGGGTGCTTTTCGCCTTTATTAAGATAAGATAGTGGAGCATATAGAGAGGTGAAGAATCAGCAAAGGACATTGAGCCGGAGATCGAACTCGGACCCCTGTGAGCACTTAACCACTAGTGTAACCACTAGTCTATTGATATAAAATTTACACGTGGTTTCAACCAAAACCACTTAGACCTGTCTGGTTTTGTCTGTAGTGCATCCCAGACCACCTTCTGAGGTCAATTGCATGTATTAAATCAAATCACTTTATAGTCACATCAGCTGCAGCACATGTGCTATGATGAGTGAAAAGCTTAGGAGCTGGCTCCAGACAGTGCAAAATACAACGACATCCTCCTAAACTGTACAAAAGACATTAAATATGTTAGATGTATTATTTGTATGTAAATATCTGTGTCGAAATTATTAGACCCTCTGTTTATTTTTTCCCCATTTTCTGTTTAACCGAGAGAAGATTTTTTAACGCATTTGTAAGCATAATAGTTTTAATAACTCATTTCTAATACCTGATTTATTATTTCTTTGCCATGATGACAGTAAATAATATTTGACTAGATATTTCTTAAGACACTTCTATACAGCTTAAAGTGACATTTAAAGGCTTAACTAGGTTAATTAGGCAGGTTAGGGTAATTAGGCAAGTTATTGTATAATGATGGTTTGTTCTGTAGACTATGGAAAAATATAAAGCTTAATAGAGCTTATAATTTTGACCTTAAAATGGGTTTTATAAAATTAGAAATTGCTTTTATTCTAGCCGAAATAAAACAAATAAGACTTTCTCCAGAAAAAAATTATTATCTGACATACTGTAAAAATTTCCAGGCTCTGGTAAACATAATTTGGGAAACATTTTAAAAAGACAAAAATTCAAAGGGGGTTTAATAATTCTGATTTTAACTGTATTTCATGATCAGATAGCATTCCAATCAGAAAAACCCAAATTTAGCAGGTGTAAGCAGCCCCACTTTAGGTGAAAACCAAGTAAATCAAAAATACTTACATCTACATCACTAGCAGTTGGAAAGGCTGTTTTCAAGTAGGCATGGCGAACTGCTCTAATTGCATTAAACCAGTTGACAATCTCCTAAAATGGAGGAATTACAGAATAAATGCTGTTAAGTAACCACGCTCCCTTTGAATCAAATAAAGATGGAATACGAGGTGGATTTTTTGAATAAAGCAAAAACAATATGACAAAATATGTTTACCTGTCCATTTTTATGGTAAACAAACAGGTTTCGGGTGTGATCTTCCACACAGTAGGTGATCTGGAGGCCGTGAGCATGACCAATTTTCTCAGGCTGGAAGGTTGCATTCAGGTTCTTTACATAAATAGTAGCCTTTGGCCCTTTCGATTCCTGAAAAAAAATCAATATAAGTTATTATTAGATTTTATTATTGTAATATTTCTTTAAATAGTTTAGTTATGGTCATCATTTATTCGCGTATGACCTTTTCCAAACCTTTATGAGTTTCTTCATTCTGTTCAACACAAAAGAAGATATTCTGAAGAATGTTGGGAACCTGTAACCATAGACCTCCATTGTATTTGTTTTTCCTACTATGGAAGTATTCAGCTTTTTTTAAAATATATTCTTCAGTTTTCAACAGAACGAAGAAACTTATAAAGGTTTGTAACCACTTGAGGGTGAGTAAATAAAAAATTAGAGGTGAACTATCCCTTGAATGCATGGGATATTAGATTAGCAATGCACAGAAATCAGGTTTGATTAACTTCAACATCAACTCATATTCCATTTTGTGCGGCGTTGTACAATACATGCTTTTAATAAAGTATAAAGTTTGTTTCTCAATGGTGCGCAAACATCATTGCTCAACAAAAAGTCTTTTCTCACATCCTCCTTGTAGTATTTCAGGGTAAAATCGTGCACTGAAAGAACAAACTTCCTCTCCAGGAACTGTCCATTATCTCTTCCTTTCTTCCACAGCATGCCCTCATAAACATCTAGAGTCAGAAAAAAACATTTTGTTAAAAGATTAATTAATAGTTCATGTTGACAGAGAGAAAACAGAATAATGTTATAAAATTAGAATTATGTAATAAAGTGTCATAGCAGCATAACCGATTTAGTCATTTGAAATCAAAAATGTGTTCCGACAAGTGCTACAACTATAGTCTAAATGTTAAACTGTATTTGCAATACTTTAAATATAGTTTAAAATAGATTTGTTCTTTTGATGGAAAGATAAATGTGTTATCGGCTTGGATCATTTAAAATCAAAGTATGATCTTCAATCCTCTGAGATTTTTAGATATTTACAAATAAGAGATTTTACTATGAAAAATTGACCTGGTTTTGAAAATATAACCTTACACCAGACACTTATACATATAAAAAAAACACGACCCAGTAGAAAAAGGTACTGTCTCTTTTTTATTACTTATTATTTAGATGAGGTTAATTCAAACACTGACATCAATACAGCTTAATAAAGAGATATCAGATGATTCATGGAATTTCTTTTCAAGATTCGTGATTGTTTTATCAACGCGAGACAAAGACTGATTCAATTTAAAGTTATGCACAGACTTCATTATTTAAAAGTAAAATTACATAAGATTTTCCCAAATGTAATCTTATTGTGCAATAAATGTAAAAACTTTGAAGGTACACTGACTCACTTATTCTGGTCATGCCATAAAATTTGTTTATTTTGGCAGAACCTTTTTGATTTTCTATCTGAATTATACAAGATTGATCTGTCACCAGAGTCAAAATTAGCACCTCAGAAATAGGAGATAAATATTTATCCCATGCAGTATTTTTGTGTATGATATTAGCAAAGAAAATAATTTTGAAAGTCAGATCACGTGCCTGTCTTTGAAACCTGGATTAGCAGCTTAAGTTATGTGTTGCCCATGGAAGACATGCGATATGGGATGGCAAACAAACAAAACATATGTTTTTAAATCTGAAACCCCATTATGTTTTATATTAGTAATGCTCACTTCACTTGTAACTCATTATAGGTGGGATTGGTTTGGCATATGTCGAGTTGTGGAGCCTACATTCATTCATTCATTTATTCATTCATTTATTTTATTTTTGGTTTAGTTCCTTTTATAATCTGGGGTCGCCACAGCAGAATAAACCGCCAACTTATCCAGCATATGTTTTGCGCAGTGAATGCCCTACCAGCTGCAACCCATTACTAGGAAACACCCATACATTCATTCACACACTACACTACAGACAATTATAGCTTACCCAATTTACCTATACCACCTTTACCGCATGTCTTTGGACTTTGGAAACCGGAGCACCCAGATGAAACCCATGCAAACACAGGGAGAACATGCAAACTCCACACAGAAATGCCAACTGACTCAGCTGGGGCTCGAACCAGCGACCTTCTTGCTGTAAGGCAATTATGCTATCCACTTAGCCACTGTGCTGCCCAAGCCTACACATTTCTTTGTAAATTATTTTTTATATTAATACATTTTTTTCTCTTATGCTTTCTGGATGATATTGTATTATGTTATGTCCGACTATTTATGTATTGTGAAATGGCCTTTGTACCCTTTTTTTTTGTTTGTTCTGTTTAGGTTATTGTTTATTTTCTTATGCTAAAAACAATAAAAAGATACATTTTAAAAGTTGTTATCGGCTGAAGCTGATGCATTACTCTATTACTCTCTAGTTTTCAGTACATGAGCCAGCAAATATCATTCTAATATACTGATATGCTTAATATTATTGCTCAGTTATTAAAATTTGTTGCTATTACATAATTTGTGGACTCGCTTTGATAAAATTTGCACAACCATTTGAACAATTTTTACTATTACTGTCCATTTAATGCATATTTTTTTAATAAAAGCAATACTTTCTATTGAACAATGTTATTAATTATTAATATAGCATAACACACAGTTAAGTCTATTTTTAAAAGACTTATATCAGCATATTAGAATAATTTTCAAAGGAACATGTGACCCTGAATACTCAGCTCTGACAATGTTTTTTGAAAATTTGAATGACATTTCACAATATATTACAATTTTCCCAATATTATTTGCAAACTACTAACAGCACCCCAGCAATAACCCCTCAAAAAACAAGCAACAGCTTAGTACCAATGCATATTCACTTAGTAACTGCTTAAAAATACCCTAGCAACCATATCAAGCAACTCACATGTTTCTCCATAAACTGTACATCTCTAGATTTGTGTAAAGTAACACTATTTCACAATAACAGTGTTTTAATGTATGTTTGAGTGCATAAATGCTTCATTAAAAACATAGAAACCTTAATGTTTTAAAAAACTTTAACCAATACTCTACATATATAATATGTTTTAAAATACTATGGCTAAAAGCAAGCATATGGGAACTGAAACGGATCACCTGCTGTGTAAGGTCTTTCAGTCTTTTCCTCTGTAAACTCCATTCTTTCATATTTAGCTCGAATCCATTGTTCTCTGAGGACCCTATAGAGTGTACATAGAATGCATTGTGTTGAGTTACATACTGTAGATCACTCATGTGTGAATTACATATACATTTGAGAATAAATGTGCTTTATACATAGTTTTGCTGAAAAAGACAATATATTCAGCTAAGTGTGCAGTGTGTGTAAGCATTAAAAGAACCAGAAACCTCTTTAGTTAAATCAGTAGTTCCTCTTTCTGTGACCAACAATAGCACACAGACTTTTATTTTCCTTGCCAGTAAAATATTTGCTTGATCAGCCTTTTTAAAGAGATAGTTCACCCTAAAATCAAAATGTACTCACTATTTGTTCTCCTTCAAGTGGTTTCTTTCTTCTGTTGAACACCAAAGAAGATATTTTGAAGAAACTGAAAGCCTGTAAACATTAACTTTCATAGTAGGAATGGAAGTCAATGGTTACAGGTTTTCAACATGTTTTATTTATCTTGCTTTTGTGTTCAACAAGAAAGAAACCCATAAAGGTTTGGAACAAGTAATTGAAGAGCAAATGATGCCAGTATTTACATTTTTGGGTGAATTATCCCTCTTTAAAAATATAAACACATCGATCTGTTCTATTGTGGTACAAACTAACAGAGTATGTCAGGTGTAAAATAATGCAGGACTTTTAGTCAGGAAAGAGCTGGACAACTTACTCGCAATCATGTGGATGTGGCCTGTAATAAAAGACAGGCACGCATTTCTCATAGAAGTTTTTGGCAGAGCAGTTTCCATTGGCTTTCATAAACTTCTCATCCAATGATGCATTGAAAGGAAACAAAATAGTGATTATAGTTCACATTCATGACTTAATGTAACCACAAGGTTATGAAATGTTAAATAATGATAACCAAACAAAAATGAACACATCATCTGAGCTAATCATTAAAAATCGTAGCGCACAAAGTCATTTTTACCTGCACAAGTTCATCATCCCAGAAGTCTAAGCGAATGGACTTGATACGACTTATAGTGGGAAGATTGCGATGAGTTCCGGAGCAGGTTAGACACACAAATATTCCTAACTTACATGAAGCCCAATCTGGATCTTCAAAAGAAAAAAAATGCATGCAAATTTATACATCAGAGTTAATGAAAAAAAAAAAAATATATATATATATATATATATATATATATTCAGAATTAAGAAGAAAGTCAGAATTATTCGCCCCTTTGATTTTTTTCCCCATTTATAAATATTTCCCAAATGATGTTTAACAGAGCAAAGACATTTTCACAGCATGTCTGATAATATTTTTTCTTCTGGAGAAAGTCTTATTTGTTTTATTTCAGCTAGAAAAAAAGCAGTTTTTAATTTTTTTTTTAAACCATTTAAAGGACAAAATTATTAGCCTCTTTAAGCTATATTTGTTTTCGATAGTCTACAGAATAAACCATCATTATACAGTAACTTGCCTAATTACCCCAACCTACCTAGCCTTTAAATGTCAATTTAAGCTTTATGGAAGTGTCTTGAAAAACTTCAAATAAAATATTATTTACTGTCATCATGGCAAAAATAAAATAAATCAGTTATTAGAAATGAGTTATTAAAACTATTGTGTTTAGAAATGAGTTGAAAAAAATCTTCTCTCCGTAAACAAAAATTGGGGAAAAAAATAATTCTGAATTCTGACTTTAACTGTATATTTCCTTCCTTCTTTGTGTATGTACTTCTTAGAAAAAAAATACTTACAATTGCATTTAAAGGGATAGTTCACCCAATCCATAGCAGGAAAATACATACTGTGGAAGTCAATGATTACAGGTTTTATTGAAGAATGTTGAAAACTTGTAATCATTGTCTTCCATGGTATCTTTCTTCCAATAAAACCAATGGTTATCAGTGGTGGAAAGAGTACTGGAAAATCTTACTCAAGTAAAAGTACAATTACTTGCCCATGAATGTAAAGCAAGTAGAGTAAAAGTATCTGTTGTGAATATTATAGTTAAAGTAGCGCTTTTAAAAAGTACTCAAGAGTTATGAGTGGTGAGTTTTATACTGTGAAGTCTAATGCCTTTTCGTGCAATATGTGCATGCATGTGTGTGAAAATGTAACATTCTGTAGTGAATTTAGTGATTGCTTAAGGCCTTTTCAGACATCATACACTAGTCATCCAGTTCAAACAGTGATGCAATGATGCAATTTAGATTCTATGTGTGATTTGATTGGACAAGAATCACAGAAATGATTATTCTACTTTAGCTAGCCTATTGCCATAGACAGGAACAAATAAAGTAGTGACTGCAGGTTGAAGTAAAATAACAGAGTAAAAGTATTGATACAGCACTAAAAATGTACTCAAAGGAAAGTAAAGGTACACTTTTTTAACTATTCAATTACAGTAATTTGAGTTTTGGTATTTGTTACTTTACATCACTCATGGTTACTAGTTTCCAACATTCTTCAAAATATCTCTTTTTTTGTGCAGAAAACTGGATTAAAGCAAGTCAAGGGTGAGACGTTTCATTTTAAGTATTTAAGTATTAAATTCCCTTCAAGTATACCTGACTTATGAAAGTTATTTACTATAATAGTATCCATGTTTAGGTAATTAAGTTAGCCCATTTAAAGTATACTTTGCTATATATATATATATATATATATATATATATATATTTACATTAAGTTCTAAATTCATTTCAAGAAAGTGAATCACTCAAAATGTCGAAATGATGGCTGAGTGATAGAAAAAAAATCAGCAATATAAATAAAAACTAAATAAAAGTAGAAAGAGTGTATTTCAGGACTTTGGCCCCATGACTGGGATTGCGGGCCCCAAAATCACTGAATCCCCCCTATTCACCAAGTATGGGGATACATTCTTAAACCTTTAAGGTGTAGCGTATGCTTCAAGGTTTACTTCCATTCATTGTTACAATTACTTAACAAGTAAACAATCATATCTATATCTTAACGTGTAGTGTATATATATAACCATATACATATATATTTATATAAATATAAAATTGTGTATTAGTGATGTGCTAATTAGCTTAAAAATATACCTCTAAAAACTAAAGTGACCCAATTCAGTCAGCTGTAATTGAGAAACATCATGTAGGATGAGTTTATTTTTGTACAAGAAAAACAAGTAATACAAAATAAGTGTAAAACTGCGATTTTTTTTATGAAAGGTCATATAGAAATAAATTAAAACTGTATATTCTTATTATATTATAGGCTAGAATATTTAAGTGCGATTTCAGTTGTTTTTGAAAGGTGAAACAATGAATGACTTACAATAATGAAAATTTCAATGAAAGCTTTTGGGTTAAAAATCTAATTTTAACTAAATGCAAATGTAAAACAAGTTCGAGTTTGTTTTTATTGAAGCCACTAAAGCGCACTAGACGAATATCATCCATTGAGGCACTTTTGTGAAACCATGACTATGACAAGCTGTCTACTGTTAACCCCTACAATATTTTAGATTTCAACTTTAATAATCGAGATGTTAATGAACAATATCAGAGAACATTCTGACAATTCTGTACACTTCCAATAGACTGTGAGTGAATGCAGTTTACAGCAATGGAGAAACAATAGCCGTTAACTGTACTCACCTGCAGCTCCACAGTCAGCACAGCAGTTATTCTCTGGTAGCTTCACCAATTCTAGAAGTATCTTTTTGTTCTTTTCCCGATTTGCCATAGGCGATTTGCTTTTAAAAACATAAAGGTAACGTTATTAGTTTCTTCTCTCTTGCCTGTGACTTTGACGTGTGGAGGGTGCGGTTTCGCGGTTTACTTCAGTCACTCGGTCGCTAAAACACTCCTGTCGCGTCAGAATCGACAGTCAAATGCGCCTCTAATGTTGTGGTGCAGCGGCTTCAGCGAGGTCTTCCGCAAGCATTCAATGGGCCAAAAAAATCCCTTCGTGTTCACTTCCTGGAGAAAACAACAAACACTGAGCTGCTGCTGAAATACATGCTATTTTAATAACAGCATTGACACCGTATGGTAATATGACGTTATAAATGAGGACTGGTTGCTAATGATAGCGAATTGTACACAGTGATTGACCGCTCATAACACCAGTAACGTCTAATTAAAGGTTTAAACCATTTATACAGTGTCCTGACTACAGTATAACTTAAGTTTACTTCCTAACTACACAGCAAACAATTTTAGTGTTTAATAGATGTCAAACAGACATCTAAACGTAGACAGCTTGGCTATAAAACAAGGCTAAATTGGGCTGTCAGTGAAAATCTAATAGACATCTAAAAATAACCCAAAACTAGACTTGTAGTCAAATAGACAGACTTTATATGTGTAGTCATTCATTTCTGTTTATATGATTGTTTTGGCCTATTTTTAGATGTATATTGGATTTTCACTGACAGCCCAAGTTAAGTCTTGTTTAAGCCAAAATGACTATGTTTAGACATCTATTAGACATCTTTTAAAAACAAAAAAAATTCTGCTGGGTTGCCTAGTCTGGTTGATCAGCCTGGTTTTGGAGGGGTTTTAGCCATTTCCGGGCTAATTTTCAGCCTTGTCTTAGCTGGTCAGGCTGGGAAATTATCAGCTGAAACCAGCTTGAAAAGCCTGGTTTAAGCTGGACATAGGTGGTTTAGGCTGGGCTCAATGGCTAGCTTGACTTATCAAGCTGGTTTTAGCTGGTTATCCACCAGCCTGACCAGCTAAGACCAGGCTGAAAATGGTTGAAACCAGTCTGGAAATTGCCAAAACCCATCTAAAACCAGCTTAAACTAGCCAACCAGCCTAGGCTGGTTTAAGCTAGTTTTTTTTTTCAGCAGAGGTAGTATACAAGACAAAGCCAATGAAAATGATATTGTCATCTAGATTAATAATTAAGTGATATTACTTATAATCTAATCTTAAGTACATAGTTGCATACTAAAACCACATACAAAACATGCATGTACTGCTTTAACAGGTATAGTTATCTTCTAGAATTCAAGTAGACTATAAAACCATCCCATTTTGGAGAGGTGGAGGTGAGAGTTTGAAAAATGAGCAAGGTAAGGCCTTCACTCACACTGAATGTGCTGAAATGTATATGTTAGAGGAAAATAAATCATACACAACCTGCACACAAATTCCAGTAGCACCATCATGTTTAAAGATCTTATACAATTTACATACATATTTTGAGGAAAACATGTTTGCTGGCAAATAGCAAATCCAAATTTATTACTTGATAAAACCTTTTGAAAAATGCATGACAAATTACAAAACATAAATGATCTTCATAATGAGCAACGGCAAATTTAAAACCGTACAAAATCCATGCTATCCACACAACAACATAAAAGCACACTCCTTCTGAGTATATATTACTGTACAAATGCATATTCACAGCAGCCCTCGACCGGCTGCCTGAAGATGCATGTCATTTAAGGGAAATCGGATGCCAGGAACTCCACGGTGCTTTTAGGAAGAGTGAAGTGTATACCATCCAAATAGTGCAAGAACCTGCAAAAAAAGAACATAAATAATTGATCATTTTATGCAATAAGTGAATTTTTTTATGCAACGTGAAGAATGGGACCATTTGAAACGTCCACAAAACAAATGCTGACAAAATGTAAAAGGCTTACACTGACACAAATATAAATATGAAGAAGTGAAACAAAACCTCGTCTGTCAATTTGCGATCTCTCGTGTCATATATAAGCTTGCTAAAACCACATCCTGTCCCTTTGCCGTTTCATTTTTACAGACCTTTGCACTCTGACCAAATTGAAGTGTCGCCGTTTTCGATACACCCAGGCCAAATAAAAAAAACAAAACTGCATCAGTTAACACATTTATTTATAGGTTGTAAATATTTGCATAAAGCACTTAACCTTTATTTTTTGTTATTTGTCATTTTTAGTTTATTTTAAAGCTGTTATTTTTATATTTTTTAGTTTGCCCACTGTAAATTTAGAGTGCAATCTTTACTTGTGAAATGTGCCCAAGGGTGTTTCCCTCTGAATAAGTGGAAGTGATCTCACTTTGGGAGGGAAACAAAGAACAGAGCCACTGTGCATAAACAAGGGTGTGACATGCATTAGAGACCCCCAGCGGTGACAAAAATGTCCTGTTTTAAATTATTTAGGTCTGCCTCTGCCAGAGTTATCGATTCATCATCTGATATCATTAATGTGAGACAACAGTCATAAACTAGAAACATTTATGTCTATAAACAATTAAGAATTGGCATATAATATTGGTATAACATTTAATGATTACATATAATGCTAATGCTTAATTTCTGATGTCAAATAAGCCTACACATTCCTAAAAATATCCTGATGTACAGTATTGACAGTTAGTTTGTGTGGTCTTTGTGTCGCCCCTTCTCCACTGTGATTGGCCAGTTGGCTTAAAATGACATTGATGTGCAATGCGGTTTAAACACAAAGCCCACAGCACTTTTTGTATTATTTATAGTTCTCTAGTGATAGAAACTGAACTGAGGTTTAATAATAATAGTTTAGGAGGCTGTTTTCCTCACAAAATGCATTCATATGATCTCATAAAATAAATAAATCCCTGAAGCCAGTCATGTTTTTCATGCATTTATGGCCTTGAAAGTAGTAGTTGCGTAAGCGGTCAATGCTTGGATGGACAAACCTATCAGAATGCATGATAAATAGATTAATTTGTGTTTTAATGAGGAATAAAAGCCTTATGGGTTTAGAAGCCCATGGGTAATTAATAAAAGAATATTTATTTCTGGTCTGATCCTTTTAATATCGGAAGAAGCATTCTCCAGACTACTCTCTTGTGCCCCACATAGAAATTGAGTGAAAGCAGTTATAATTAATTATACAATATGCCTGATATAATACATCAGCAATAAGAAAATAAACCTTTGTAATACTGAAAATGAAAGTAAAAATATAAGTGTGGTTAAGTGACCTGCGTTTGATCTTTCCCTGCTCCTTCAGTCTTTCTGATCTGCAGATGGTGCGCAGACAGGGCAGGTAATCCAGAGCCACTGCTGCTCGGCTGCCCAGTGTTCCAGAAGACCTGGTGGAGAGGACTGACTTCAGCACCTCACTTCTCCTCTCCATCACTCTTTACACAACAACACAAACAGGATTACCTTTTAATCGAACGGTAAATGAAAATGAGAGATCAGAGTAATGTAATAGTCAGCAGATGCAATGATTTTTCTATTTAATTTTTAACTCTTATTAAATTGTTTTGCAATTAATGAGAAAATGCATACTAAAAAAAGTTTTTAACAAAATGTTTAACAATTTATTAAACACTAACTTTTCAGTTTTACTAACTTAAGAAAATGCATGCATAAATTCACAAGCTTGATCTTTATGTTTCATGTTTGAAGTTTTAATGATTTTTTTATTTATTATATTATTTTGGAAATATACAGCTATCAGTGTTACTGCAGGTTTCACCAAGTTCAATTTAAGACTTTTTAAAGACATTTTAAGACCGTTATGAAGGAAATGTTTTAATTACAAAGAGCTATTTTCAAATAGATTTTCACTTGCCTTATCAAACAATGATTACAATTTAATACATTTAATAATACAATAATAATAATAATATTAATAGTTTTAATATTTGTATTAATTTTCAAATAAATCCCTTCACAACCCTATAACCCTTAGCAAGAACAGAACAAAACATAGCTGTCAATTACTTCAGTCTAGAATACTAAGAATAAAAAATATAGGGTCAGTATCCTCAACAGTAAATAAATGTAGAACTTTTAAGAAAACGTTACTGTAAGAAAAGTAGTTTTAAATAAAAAGTTTTATTGAGATGGATTGTTGGTGATTGTGTGGGTGTTAATGGCCAGATTAGGTAGCTATAGATGAGCAAAGGAAAAATAAGAAAATTAAAAAAGATTTAAGATCTACAACACAACCTTTCAGTAGATTTATGACTTTTTAGGGCCTAACATTTGGCTTTTGAGATTTAAGATGTTTTAAGACTTTTTAAGACCCAGTGGATATTCTGATAAAGGCAACTTAAGACTCAGCGCTCCTTAAAAACAATCCAATAGGTGTGTACAATTGCTTGTCACTTCATCTCGCTTGTGTCTTTCTGATTTTTGAGTGTGCGCAGATTTTTTTTCAGTTAAGATGGCTTCCTGTCCTAACATGGATATCTTGGCATTGACAATGGTCAAGGTAACCGAAACAATTGCCTATTTTTCAAGAAATTTTTCTTGCTTGTCTCTTTTTGAGAGTTTACAGACTTTTTTAGTTGCTTCAATATGAAATTATTTCTTCAATGATATAGCCTAATAATCCTAACTAAATCAGCCACTAGTTGTGCAACATATAACGGGTGGGCAACATATAACGGGTAACTCATTCATTCCGAGGAACACTGCTTTGCTAATCCATTATTTTTTCCATGATGAAAAGATATATATAAATGAAATTAACCCAAAAAAAAAAATCTCATTCCTACCTTGGTTCACAAGGTGTAGTCTGTGTGAGGCTGAAGCTCTGTCTGTGTGGAGCCACGGAGAGTGTGAGCTCCTCCTCAGCTTTTCCTCTGATCTCGGCCTCCAGCTGCTGCACTCTGTCCCAGGCATCAGACACTACAGCCTTGCACTTCTTAAAACTCAAATGCTCCAAAACAGCATGCACTTCTTCAACACTAACACTATTGGCCTGCTTGACAGACTCTAACCGAATATCATCAGTCATCCCGCTCTTGATCTCTGCACTGGTCCAGCCAGAATCCTGGGGTCGGCAAAACCCCTCTGACTGCGAGGCTTGATAGTGTAGTGAGGAGTCAAGGAAGGACATGTGGTCTAAAAACTCTGCCAAACCACTCAAGCACTGCATCACTGGCTTGCTCTTCTTCTTTTCGGCTTCAGTTAACACAATACACCTTGATTTTTTGGGGGCAGCTTCAGGCACGTCGGCTGTTTCTACATTAGTGCTTTGAGCAGGATCTCTGCTGTTTTTTGGCAGTGGGAGGAAGTCTTCCTCAGACTCTGAATCAGACTGGAAAACATCTTTGTGGTTAATGCTCATCTTCTTACGCCCCTTCATTCTCGCGGACACTTTGAGAGGACTGCCGTCATCAGAGGGCTCGTCCAAACTTTCTAATCTCACAGTTTGAGGTAGTTGCTCAGGCTGGGACTGTGGAGCTGGTGCTGCTTGTGGTTTAAATGTGGACTGGGGTAAAAGACGAGTTGGCAGTGGAAGCAGACTCTCCATATTCGAATGGAGAAGATTCACTCCTCTTCTGTGGGCCTCAGAAAGAAGATCCCAGGATTTAATGCTTTCTAGATCAGAGGGTTCATGCTGTAAAATATGAAGTCTGATCAGTAACAAATTGTATAAAGCTTATATACATAAAAAGTGCTTGACAATAACTTTGTTAATGTTGCTGATCTAGTAGTTTTCTAACATTACTAGCCACAATTTTGTTGTTGGGAAAATATATGTATTTATTTGACTTTGGCATGCTAAAATGACAAAAAAATTATGTGTCTGTCCACATGCCTTCTCGTTCATTTAAGTTTTGTGTGTTGTGTATGACCTTACTCAATGAGCATAAGCAAATGGTTTGTGGTTTCATAGTGTTCCATTGCAAAGACCTCAATACTAAGAATTTACCAATTTTTTCTCTGGCCACACCAAATGAATTATTTTCTTGCCAGAAATTTTAAACGCGTCAAAACAAGCAAAGTATAGTTGTATACATTGCATTTTCATGGTTGATTTGCACAAGGAAGTGGGAGCATGCAAGCTTTTTAAACACTCACGCGCATCACATCAGCCCTCGTCAGTGAGTAAGGATAGCCTGTGCCTCATCATGCTTGGGATTATCTCATTTAGTAATTACCTGCTTTCCTTTGCGCAGTTATTTTTGACGATCGAGCTGCTTCTCAATTATACAAACACATTTGGATGCATATTGACAAACGGTCATAAACTAAAATTGAACTGAAATTTAGGTTCAACCAGCCAAAATGGCAAGTGGGGGTAGCTGTGTAACCCGCCACAGCTGAAACCTACCCACATTGGCGAGTGCTAATGTCATTTTATATATATATGAAAACATAACACACTAGTGCTATATCAGTTACCATTTGTCAGTGTGGGCTCATTCGTCCAACATTCATGTAAATTACCTCTGACATCAACACCCATTAAATTATTATATATATGAAAAAAACACTAATCAAATTAAAAGCACTTTTATCACATTTATTGTATATAAAATTTTTTAAATTATAATTTAATTATTCTACTTGAAGCCTTAAAGGTTATTGATTTAAAAAATATGTTCATAAAAATAATGTTAAATATTCATTTTCAAATCTATTTTAATATTCAAATTAATGATCTGAAAATAAAGTATGCATTAGCGCAAACTTTTTTATATATATAATTAATTAATTTTTGGATGTCTGCACTTCATCTGTGCATACATATATTTAGGAAGAGAAAAAAAAACTCACCTTAAGCAGTAAATCTGCAATATTTTCTGTTTGCATATTGCAGACCCCCAGCAAGCTCTCTGTAAACGCAGTGTGGCAATGTGGCAGATTTTCCTCCTTTACATCCTCAGCTTTCACAGGCTGAAGATCAGTGCCACTCTTGGGCTTCCCTTTGCTTTCTATAGTGCGAAAACAGATGAGTGTCATATTATCATACACAGCCAAAAAGTTTCTGAAGCATGTTTTCTCAATTAAACTAAATACATCCTTGCCTGATGAGGGCAGAGGCCTCTGTATCTGCTGTACTCCACCACTGCAGGCCCAAAACTGCAGCTGCAGAAGACTCTGCCGAATATCACAGCCGTTCCACTCCAGCAAACAGGACACATCCTTACTATCAGTTCTCAGGTTTTCTGCCAGACACAACAGCCGGACGTAACTGGAAACATCCGCCTGGAAAAGCCAAAGCAGTAAATATTACAAAACCAGACAGATCACAAAGAAAAATAGTTATGAAAAGAACAGAATTGCTGTTTAATTACCACTGAAGGAGATTTGAAATGGATCTCCTCGAATTGCCCATCAAACATGGCACCGAAAGTTGAATCTGCACAAAACAAAATCCCATGATGGCTAATTCATAAACCACACGTTATACATTTATTTTCACAGTCAGCTTGACTCACCACTCGTTGTCAGAATAACTGGTCTCTTAGTGGTGGTCATGAAGGTTTTGATTGCAGCCAGGAATCCCAAGTCATCATCAAAAACAATGTCCACTTCCTCGAATAAGATAAGGGACGTGGCCGTCCTTTTGGCCTGGTCTTCAGAGGAGATTTTGCTGCCCACTGAAGTTCCACTTGGGCACACTTTACTTTTATCATCAGCCTCTTTAGCTTTGGCAGACTTTTTTGGACATGCTTTAAAAGAAAGAATAAGTCTCAAAAATGATGCTTGAAAACAAAATATGACATTTCCATATCAATTCAACATTCGAGTTAGGTAACATTGACTTCTGCATTCTGAAATACTATTTACCAGGTTGTGTTTTCTTGTCTTGATTGTTTACTTCTTTTCCAGAGGATCTTCCACCTGCTTTAAAGAAACTGGTTAAAGATGTTGGCGCCAGTCCTCCTCTTCTGGATGAAGCACTTCGAGGAGACTGAGGCGGCTTTCTTGGAGATGATACAACCCTTCTGGGGGAGTTCAGCTTCCCTAAGATAAGAGAAGACACAGAAATATTCAATCAACGTGTCATGCGCAGTAAATGTTTTGTAGCATAGATAAAGAAATATAAATGTACATATTATATAATGGAAAATTAGATTTATGAGCTTGTATCATTTATGAAAACATTATTATAGTACAAGGAATAATAGTAGTTGATACTCTTAATAGCCTGTTTAGAAGAGCCAACAAACCCTTAAAATATGCAGAATGCATACATCTTAAATTCCAGCCCATACTGTATAATGCTATCAGATGACGTCTGACATTTGAGAGATTACTTTCAAAAATACTTTTGCCATGTGTTTGCAGAAACTGGCTTTACTGTATGTTTGGTCTGAGGTTTTGTTGCACTTCCACAGTGTCAACCAGCAGGTGTCCCTAGCGTACATTTTATCAAATACCTCAAAATGTTTTTTTTTTTTTTTTAAAGCAACTGATTGAAAAGGCAACAAAAATGACACACTCTTATTATTATTATAATTTTTTAATGGTCTTGTTTATTTGTTTGCTGTGGTCAAACTTGTCAGATTACTTGAAACAGCCAAATCATTGTCATTTATGAATAAGATCGTGTTGATGTCTGAACTGAGATTGTCATCTTTTAACAATGAATCAATCAGCTCTACCAATCATCAAAGAAACGGAAAATCATACTAGGAGAAGTGCCGGGTTTGACGGTGGCGCTGTTGCTGCTGTAATTGCTGAAGTAGGACGGTTTGTGAGCATTGACACCCTGGATGTCCACCTGGTGGGACTGAGTGGCTTCCTTCAACTGGGATAAGATCTGACGACCACTTCTCTGAGAAGAGGAGTTTACCTCAAATACCTTAAGGAAGGAAACCAACAGCAAAGGTAGAAACATTACTTTTACAATGACAATAGACTTCATAAAGGGCATCTATTTTACCCCTTTTACAAGATGTAAGATAAGCATTTGGTGTCTCCACAATATGTCTGTAAAACTTCAGCTCAAAACACCCATCAGATTATTTATTATAGCCTCCAGAATCTGCCCATTTTTGTGTCTGAATGGTAGCTGGTTTTGTACCCTATGGCTTTAAATGCAAATGAGCTGCTATTCCCCACCCACCGTCTGCTTTTCATCATGCGTTACGTCAGATAAACAGCATTAGTGACAGACTCGGCTGAAGCTGAAATACAGTTCATTTGTCAAAAATACCAAGTTTATTTCATGTATTTGTGGTGGAGTTTATTCAAGCCTTTCTGAAATAAGTCACACACACATATATATTAGCGTTTATTGACACCATGGGGTCGTGGTGACTATAGCGGTTAAGAATTAGTAATTTTACTGTCCTCATTACTAACATGCGCTGTTTGAAAAACTTTTTAAACTTATAAAATGTATTTTTTTTTTATTAAATCACAGAGAGTTGTAACATGTTTTAATCCCAGTTTCTTTGCAAATAAAGTTCTGTGGACATGTGTATACATGTTATTACAGAAACATGGTGTCTGTCAATCAATTTGGTGGGTGGGGAAAACCGCACTCCTACATCACATTGCGGTGGGTCTCAAAATCACTGGGATTTTGGTCCTATTTTAACGTCAGGAAATTAAAAAAAAGACACTTGTTGGGATTATATCACTCTAATATGACACACTATACCTAGAGGCAGTTCTGTCCAAACAGCAAAATCAACAAAAGTTGATTTTCTATCATAGATGCCCTTTAAAACAGAGAAATGCATTGAAAAAGTCAGTCAGACCTTGAATCCCAGTTCTTGTGCACAGGCATAGACTGCAGCAGTTTTGCCCACTCCGGTGGGTCCAGTAATAAGCAGTGTGTTACACAGAAAATCTTCAGTCTCATCCAGGTCTTCACTCATGAGCCAGGAGTCTGCATAGAAAAAGTTGAGATGATGATTGCTCAATACAGCAAGCACAGCAGAAAATACAGAGTCATTTAGCATCTTCATATACCATTACTGTCCTCCTCGTGCTTCTTTTCCTGCTGTTTCCTCCTCTCTTCTCGGTCAGCTCTCAATTTCCACTCTTTCAGCCAGCTAAAAAAATAATTAAAATAAAACAGAACAAAACAAAAATAACTCATTAATGACATGTCAACTAGTGAACAAGATCTTGCAACATCTTTGATAGACAGGATAGCAACCTGTGTAGTCTCCGGACAGACTCCATATTCCCGATTATTTCACTGGAGTGCTGTGGCTGATATTTCTCTGTCCAAAGCACATCCTCTTTAATTCCATCTAGAAATAATCGCATTTAAAACCATGTAAAAACAACAACAACAACACAGTGCCAACAAATGTATAAAACAAGTATATATTTTACTTAAGTATAAACAGATTCAATCAAAAGTGACAAATCACATTGTTTTAAAAAATGTAAGCTCTTTTTAATACAAACGCTCTTCATTTAAGCTTTTCTCTAAGGGTTTGAAAGAAAAAGTATGTTTCTGCCAAAATATTAACTGTTTTCAACATTAATAGTAACTGTTTTTAGGAGCCAATGAGCATATAATAATAACAACATAATATAATAATTTCAGTATGATCATGTGACACTGAAGACTGTGTACTGAATACTGAAAAATTATGTAAAAACCAAAATCAAAATCTTAAAGTTTTTCTTCATTTTTGATTATTTTTTATTAAATTTAGGTTAATTCTTTGCTCACCTTCTGTGCTTGTATTTCTGGAGACAGCTGGTTCCACAATCATGACATCATCGTTCACAGGTGAGGTCTGGTCTTCTGGTTTGGACTCTTCTTTCTGCTTTTGTCTCAGTGATCGACCTCTTCGACCTCTCCCAGATGGCTGTGCTGCTTCACCTCTTGATGGTGGACTTACTTCTATCACTATGACATCATCATCTGTATGACTGGATTTAGTTTTTTTGCCTATTTTGCCGGTTGCCTCTCCTTCATCCACACGTTTCCGTTTTCTCCCGACAGCATCGGATGATCCAGCATGACAGGACTCCTTAGACTCATCTTCAAGATCTATAAACAATCACAGAGCAAAACCATATGAAAGTCACTCATAGTTACATATCTTAAAATAAAAGCAAAGTTAAGCTAATAAAATATTATTGTGTCACCTGCTGCAGAAGCCTGGAGGATGTAGTCTTCACGTCTCTTAATGAACCGAGTAAAGAATCGCTGATGAGGGAAGGATGGATTGGAGATTCTCATCTTCTCCAAAAGACACTGTCTGATTGGCTCAGAAAACTCGGTCTTCTGACAAGAAACCTAAATGACAAGATGAAATGTTAAACATATATCATATACTCACATTCAGTAGATTTATTCAATTGTACAACTGTGAAAAGATCATAATAATATAATTACTTTTAGAACACATAAAAAAAATACATTTATGGCGCATTTCCATTGAGTGGTACGGTGCTGTACGGTTTGGTAGATTCATCAACCCAAGCTCAAACAAACCTTGCTGTCGTATTGATGAACAACCACAAAGCCAAAAAAAACAGAATCTGCCCTGTGTCCTGTTGTTGTTTACGAGGTCGTCCAAAAGGGAGAGTGGTTTCACTTTCTCCAGAGAGCTCGCGTGCGCATCTATATATGAAATAACAAACTTCTTGAGCTGATGAAAATAATGTGTGTGTGATTTGATGAAGTGCTTCTGATATTTGATCCTTTCAGAAACAAACCCAAAAGTGAAGTGCGAAAAAACAAAAGAGAAGCTCTAAAAAACAAAGGAGCAAATGATTCTTTCAGCAACCTAAAGCATGAACAAACTATTATCATCGCCTTTTGGACTATTTTGACCTTGGAATGACAAGACGTTAACATTACATGTGCTGGTGAAGAATAAAAATGAGAGGTTTGTACTGACTGTTTATGTTTCGTATTGTTTGTGAACACCTATAAGGCCTAAATGTATGTTTTGGGTTTTTTCCTTTGTAATTGGTAACTTTTCAGAGACTGTGAGGCTCTGTATGAGTTCATATTTGTTTTATTTATTTTATATAATCACAGACGTTACAGTAGGCTGTTTCACATTATCCATGATCTGCAGCTATAATCAAATCCTGTGCATAGAAAGGTTAGTAATTAGGATTTATACATAAGTATTAAGGATGCTCCGATCGATCGGCATTGGCTGATAATCACATTTCAGAACTCAATAGGTACTCGCTAATCTGGCCGATCTCATGAACCGATAACAATGTTTACAAGCTGAGGACATATAAGAACTAAAATCTTTTTGTATATCAGAACTTAAAGTTCTGTGTTTTTAACAATATTGAAAGTTTATTAAAACCATACTGGAAATATTACGGAAATAAAAAACTAAAATATTTTTAAGTTTAATATTTACTAATATAACTTATTGTGATTTATTTATTGCAAAAACAGTAGTTTATGAATCTATTTCCTTTTAGTAAAGAAGTAATAGAGTTATAGGTGTGCATTATAACTTCTTATGCATAAAATATGCTCTTCAAACTTCATTTAGACATGTTGAATAATTCTTCCATCATTTGCAATGTTTCCAAATTGCTTTGTTAGTAATTTTTCTTAACAAATTTTTGGTTTGTTTTATTAATTATTTAAAAAAGCTGCTTCTGACCATTACATTTCCACATTAAATGGTTTAAGACAGTGGTTCTCAAACTTTTTTCACCAAGTACCACCTTAGAAAAAAATCGTCTCTCCAAGTACCACCTTACGACGCTATTTTTTTAACCAGTATTAAAAAATAGCGTCGTAGGCCTAATTAAGCAACTACAGGTGTGCACAGTTTTAAAATGATGCAGATTACTTCCTATTATTAAGAATATGTATTAATGTCAGTCACTTTAAACATTTTAAATAGTCTGAACATTAACTGTGCTTGCAGATAAAAAAAAGTTTTAGTTAAAATGTGCTTTTAAAAATTCGCTGTTCTTAAAAAGTAAAAAGAAAACTGCTGTACTTAAATCTAAAGTATTCATAGTAGCCTATTCATCAAAAGCTGGAAATGCTGCTTGGACCTTATAAATATAGGCTATATGTCACATTCCTACACTTTCAGACAAATCTTGAAATATATGTTAAATGTACATATGACAGGGTTCATACAGGCACAGCCTAATGAAAATCAATTCCAGCACCTATTTTTTTTTTTTCAAGACTGACATGCTATGTATTGAAGACCTGAAATGTATTCTCAGCAACCCATAAAATATTGCATAGGAATAGATACAAATAAAAACCATTAAAAATAATATTTATTAATCATATATTAATAATATAATAAACCTGCACTAAATGCTTGTGAAATTTTTTTTGTACTCAAGTAAAAATACTATTACACTGCTAAAATAACATTTTTAGTAAATAATGCTAATATTTGGTAAAAGTACAACGTACTCTTTTAAAAAGTACTAGTTGGTTACTTTTGAATAAAAAAAAATCAGATTTTCATTATGAAATCACTTTTTTAAGTGTAAACCTGATTTAATGGTTTGATTGCTTAAATCCCAAATCTACGTGTATAGGAATATGCACTAACAAAGGAAGTATGGTCGATTTTTCCTTTCATGACAATTAATCTTTTTCAATAGCACTGGTAAAACTACCAAATAATCTTTAAGGCTATAGAGACACTTTTTGCCCATTTTTTTTTAAAAGATATTTTTAAGCTTTGAAAGGTTAAAGTAAATGGTAAAAAGATTTTTATTTAGCCGTTTATTTACATATTTTACACTATTTTTCTTTACAATATGTCAAATTTGTTTCTTAAATAGCTGTACATCACATGTAGATTTTATTTTACACTTGATCTTAATCTAAAATAGAAACGTAAAAAAAAATACAAGTACACTGTCAGTAAAAATATAAAACAAATGACTTCATTTTACTTGAGGTATTTGAAATATGACGACACTACATTTATCAAAGCAGTGCTTTAAGAGCCTTATTGTAAATTTTGATAAATAAACAATAAGTAACAATGGATTGCTTTGATCTGTAATGCTTTAAGACAGATCAGAATACAGCTAAATGTATAAATCACACAAATACCTCATCCAGAAACATTTCCAGCATAATTTTTGTCGCAAAGAAATAAAAAAGTTCCACCTTTGCTAAAAGTAAGTTTCACTTGACAACACAGCCAAATAAGAAGACCATTAGCATTGTCATCGATCATGTATCAATCTATTTCTAAATACTTGATAACTTTAAATACTTTTGACTAAATTTAGTCAAGGAGCAAAGATAAATAATGTCTACTTTAATAGTGGAAAGATCGCGATTGTATTCAATCTGAACACACACACGATCATGAGAGGACTTGCAGTTCATTTGAAAAAAGCCTATTTAAGAGCTCGCATTTCTGTTTTAGTGATTTGCGTATTTGAATGCGCTCTCGTGTTAAAATAGAGCACTCGCCACATTTGCAGAAATGAGTAATTGCGCAATACCTCCATTCCCGCGCCGCCATTCAGAATGTATTAGAGGAGTGACAGGTCAGAGGCGAGTCGACTGGCTGTCGGAGAGCGAAACGTGTTTGTAGATCATCAAAAAGGCAGGAAATATGTCCGCGGTTTAATTACTCTGCTAGACATCTCTATAGTGAAAACATCCGAGAAGCATTAATCCAACAAAACATTTGTTTTTAACTCGTTTTTTCTGTCTCTGCAACACAGAAAGCATTTGTCCCGCCCTTACGTTTCACGCAACTAGACAAGGTCGACTGTGATTGGCTACTTTTCATGTCATGTCAGTCAAATCACGCTTCAGAATCAATTCTTAAACTTCGGAAACTGATTTTCAGCAGCTTATGACACAATTCACTAAAATAAACACTCTAAGCACAGCGCTGTGATCGTACACTTCACAAAACAGCCAATGCTGATCACATCGATGTTATATTACACATTTGAGGATTAAAAGTGTTAATTGTTTCTTTCATTATTCAGCGATTCCTCCGCGTACCACTAGGAGGAAGCCCGCGTACCACTAGTGGTACGCGTACCACAGTTTGAGAACCACTGGTTTAAGAGATGCGTTTAAGAAGTTATATGCAGCATCATTAATTTATTCTCTTAGGTAAGGAGAGATCTCCACTTAAGTATCATTCGTAGAGGAAAAATGTGCTTTATGCATTATAAAGCTTAAAGCATCAGAATCCATACTTGGTATCGGTCGATCACCATGACAAGGAATTGGTACTCAGTATTGGCTGCAGAAATCCTGATCGGAGCATCCCTAATAAGTATTGATGTGTGTACAGCATTTGTTTAGTAAGAAGTGCTTCTCATATAATAAGAGAACTTTGAGTGAGAATGACATTGACTGCAACTTTCTGTTAAACACCATGCCGACCAAAAGGGTATCATTGGTCCCATTTGGCAATGGAGACACAGTGGTGACCTGTACCGAACCATACTGTACCACTCAGTAGAAACGAGGCATTATATGATGGCAAAGCTGAATTTTCAGCATCAGTAGTCTTCATCTCCAATCTTCATTGTCACATGATTCTACACAAAACATTCTAAATGTTGTTTTAAGTAAAACTTTGTTTTTAGAAATGAAATTTTGTGAAAATTGTGATAAAAGTTTAAATATTTAGACATTTTAAAAGAACAGCGTTTATTCGACATTTTTGTAGAATTAACATTTGCATTATAATCCAATCGATTCTGCCTGAATAAAAGCATCAGTTTACTTCAAATAAGTAAACTTTAAAGGTTAGGTTCACGCCAAAAGTCAATTTACACATTGTTTACTCACGTAGGTGGTTCCAACCCTTTATGAGTTTCTTTCTTCTGTTGTACACAATAAAAGATATTCTGAAGAAAGCCGAAAACCTGTAACTATCAACTTCCATACTATATATAGTTACAGGTTTCTTTAAAATATCTTGTTTTGTATGAGAAAGAACTCATAAAAGTTTGAAACAGTACTTTATTTAAAGAAAAATGCAAAACCTTAAATCTAATAAATGAGACCAAAACTCCACCTACCTGCTTGCAAAATGTTCTCTTAGCCGGGACCGTAGTACACCCTAAAGACTTCTCCAAACACATCAGTGGCACCGATGGTATATTACAGAACTCCTTTAAGCAACTCAGCAAAGGGTCTGTGGGCCACTGGAGGCTCCAGACAGAACAATCTGCAAATCAGAAATCAGGCCATTAGTCTCAAACACAAACACACACAATGCATGCAGTACTATAAACTGGAGAAGGTCTCCAAGATCACCTGGAGTCTTCTGCTGGACGTGCACCACTGTCTGGAATGAAGCACAGGCCTGACTGTAAGCCTCTCGATTGGCTGCTGTCTTTGCAATCTGCTTTTTAAAAGACTCTGGAAGGCCACTCTTCAGAAACTCTCTCTTTGCTCTAAACTGTTCATCGTCTTGCGAGTTCTCAGAAGCTTCACGACTGAAAGGATTGGACATTCATTTAATTGGATTTTACACTAGCAAGCAAATGAGAGAATTCAACGGAAGTCAATTGAATTAATTTTGGATTTTATAAACAATACCTGCTGTCGTCAAAAATGGAGATGACAGCTGAAGGTCTCTGAGCTTTTTTCTCAACAAACAGAGGAGCAAGTTTAGAACCTGAAAAAGATATAAAATTAATATTAAAATTATTATCTGCTTGTTAAGTCGTCATATATAAAATACTGTTTCCATGGTCCAAGTCGCTACTTATTTAAACTGATTTAATATTTGTTTATGACCACTTTTTAGTTATATATTACACATTAAAGTAATTTTCTTTTAAAATCATACATTGTGCATACATTCTCTAGACCAAATATGCCCAAACTAGGGCCCGCAGAGCAAAGTTGGCCCATTTTAACCTTTGATTTGGCCAACCATCCCATCTGGGAAGACAGGAAGTATGATGGGGATGATTTAGAGATTGTCATTTCAAAACTAATGTACCTTTCGTTTAATTGTTTAAAGCTAACTGAAATTAAAATTTTTAATTAAATGGTGTGAATGAATGCGGTTTAGTTTAAATGTATCTACATTGATGGATAGAGGACAAATCAAGTCAAAGGCAGATTTTGCTTGACTAATGTACTCAGCATTGAACTCCACTGTGTTATAAATGTGATTGTTCATGTTTTTATTACAAGTTATCTTTTTAAATGTTGTACTGCATCAGTTAATAATCATTTATTAGAATTTTTTTCTAATGAATTAGGTAGTTACTCATGGCAACTTTAATGTAAAATAGTTTAGTTTATTTATCATCGACCCACAGCTATGATTGATATTTGGTTTTTGGCCCTTTATTCAAAAAGTTTGGGCACTTTTACTCTAGACAGTCAGAGCATCAATATTTTAATATCAATATTTAAACATTTATTAATACCATCTGTTTAGCCTCCCCGTAAAGTTTGATAGAGGGATTAACCCCCCGAATGCTGCATCGAGTAACGTTACACTTAACAATCGAAAATATGTGATATTACAATTCATGCATTTTTGTAAATTACTTGACTGCAATACATGTTGAATGAAATGCTGAAAAACTAATATTCATATAATTAAAACCAGGTATTAATTTAATTACTTGTCTATAATTTACCTGCAGGAGTCTTGGATGTTTTGTTTTGAGATGCATTTTTCCCCAAAACCTCATTCAAGCTTCGAAGTTTTTTATTGATTTTCTCACTTTCCTGTGAGGAGACTGGATTGCTTTTGCTTGCCTCCAAAAACACTATGGAGTCCTAAAGAAATAAAAAGATGTTGATATAAATAAGATATAAATAAGAATCACATAATATTGGCAGTTTTCAATAACGTACAAAATTTACAACAGTTGCACTGACTTACCTCGTCTTCACAGTAATTTATTGATGACTCTTTGCTTCTTGTAGAGCGTCTTACAGTCTCTTTCTCCTTCTTAGTGTCCTTTTTATTTTGCTGAAGTGCTTTGGCTTTCTGAACAAGCTTTTTAGCTTGCTTTCTCTTTTTAGCTGCATTTAATTCCTAAAAAAAAAAAAAGTTTTTGTGAGTAACCTTTAATCATAACCCTTGTGCACTGTTTAACTACCCTCTCGTTATGTCTGTAGCTGTTTTTACCATTATAATCTTCCATTATAAAAACATTGTTGATGGCAAATCCATGACAGCATACAATCATGCATTTTTCATCGTGGTTTTCCTGTTGGAAACAGCTAAAATGTGTAACTTTTACTGTTGATCATCAGTTGGGATTGTTATTGCTTTAGATAGGCCTGTGCTAAAAAAAATTTTGGTGCTGGAGTTCTATGGAGTAAAACAGCAGATATGTGGTGGTGTATAGTGTGTGTACATTACAATGTTCTGAGAGCTGAGAGGCTTATTTGGATTTTCAAGATCTCTCTTACACTCACACACTATACTCCATACAGAAGGAACAAACTAAGCTTTTATTGCACTGCAACTTAGGATCAACAGTAAACATTTTCAATTTTACCTCTTCTCAAGAGGAAAACAACAACTATAAAGAGAGCATGTGTATTTGCAAAATATCTGTCAAAATAAGATGCGTCACCAAAAGTCATTCCAATACTGAAACAGAGACATTTGTGGCCAAATAAAGGCCAATCCCAATTCTATTTTTACCCCTACATCTTTCCTTTGGCCCTTGAAGGAGAGTGTGAAGGGGAAGGGGTTAAAATTTTATCTAAGAAATGGGACAGCACTACATCTCCTCACCATATGTAATCTCAATCTCTTGCTTCATTTGAGATCAACGTTGGCGACTGCTGTAGCTATTCCAGCTGCATATTTTTTGGAATTTATCTTCAGGAAATCACTGAAGGCAACGATATAATGTTATCATAATGATATAATGTGGCAAGAAGCTCATAACTATACTGTGCATTTACACTGGGGCCATATTCATCTATATAAAAACTACAGTAACATTATACTACACACTGTAAAAAGATCATTTCCAGCCACTAGACTTTTTAGACAGGGTATTCAAGTCAGGGCTGCTCGATTTTGGGAAAAATCATAATCACGATTATTTTGGTCATAATTGTAATCAAGATTATTTAAAACGATTACTGTTAAGGTCAAAATTATTAGTGCTCCTGGGAATATGTTTTTTTTTAAATAAATATTTCTCAAATGATGTTTAACAGAGCAAGGAATTTTAATAGTATTTCATATAATATTTTTCTTCTAGGCTTATTTGTTTTATTTTAGCTAGAATAAAAGCAGGTTTAAATATTTAAAAACCCATTTTTAGGTCAATATTATTAGCCCCCTTAAGCAATATATTTTTTGATTGTCTGCAGAAGACACTACTGTTATACAATGAACTGCTTAATTACCCTTATTAAGCCTTTTAATTGCACTTTAATCTGAATGCTTGTATTTAGAAAAATATCTAGAAAAATGTTATTTACTGTCATAGCAAAGATAAAACAAATCAGTAATCAGAAATGATATATAGAAACTATTATGTTCAGAAATAAGTTTTAAAAAATTCTTTCTATTAAACAGAAATTGGGGAGGAAAAGGATTGCTAATATTCAGGAGGGCTAATAATTCTGACTTTAATGTATACATACAATTATTTTCCTCCCTGCAAAGGAAAAAAAAATAGAATAAAAATATGAAACAAACTGTGCTTTAAGCATCTTCACTGTAAGAATAAAACTTTAGCTACAAAAATCCTTCAGTCAAGAGCAGAGGGATTTTCTCGTTTTGTTTGATTAATGATAAAAGCAACATTGCGCGCTGTCTCTTTAATGGTTTCTCTTTCACGTGTCTTTTGATCCTCAACTCGTAACTCGTTTGTTTATTACACAAATGAGGGTTATTATGAATAATCACTAAACACTGCGTTTTGACATCTATTTGACCATTAAAGCGCTCACATTAAGATGACTTTAGATGTCTGCACCTCATCCGTTTCGCGAGGTGCGCGCACAGTCAGCGGAGGTGCGCAATGCGGCGCAAGTATAATTCCAGTGTCAGTTTGCGAATGAGACCGAATGCTGACCGGCCGCATGCTTCTGGCTGTGCGCTTGCTGCACACACATAAGCATGCGGTCTTTCGCGCTTTTAGGAGCAACAGCTGGAAAGGGGGCAGTATATGATGCAATAATCGTTTATGTCGATTAATGCTTTTTCATAATCGTTTGAAGCCAAAATCGAAATCGGATTTTCGATTAATTGCACAGCCCTAATTCAAGTGTCAGATGTGAAAGTATGCAGTGGGACTGCTATACAGGAAATATTAGGGATTATATATAGCAACGTTTAGTGTGTTTTTTTTTTTTAAAAACATGACGGCAGAACACGATGTATGTATGTATATATGAATGTATTAAATCATATGCTTGCTCGATGTAAAAATTTGTAATAATGACAAAAAAAATACAAATTTGTGCATCTCCTTAATTTCGTGTGCAGCCAAGCTGCCGTTGTAGGTGGTGTATTCTGAGAAATTTTCGTACTCCTTGGTTTCGAGTGTGGTCCTAAAAAAATTTCAGTTTCAAGACCTATCTACCCCTTCCCCTTAGTCCTACGCCTTCATGCTAAAAATAATTGGGACAACTCTACCCCTTCACATGAATGAGCAGAACAAGGGGTAGAGGTAAGGGGAAAGACAGGGTAGGATTGAGATTGGGCCTAAGACTCATAATCACCCCAGAATGGATGTAAACATCCCCAACAGCATACATGGGTTAAAGTGACACTTCACATAGAGCTAATTATGAATTATTTAAAATAAATATATAGGGTCTAAGACAAGGTGTCCTATTTTGATCTCTTAGTAAAACCAAATTTACTAACTGAATTTATGCACATAGAAAGTATATTTAAACCAAGAGTAGTATCAAATAACATTTGCAAAAATAAAACAAAGATACAGATGAAATAATCCTCAAGTGGTAATCAGCGTAGCAAATTATTTCAGGTAAAATTGAAACATTTGATGAGGACTGCAAAATGCAACACTTTGTGTTTGACCCACATACACCTATACACACAAAAATATACAAACAGTGTTTTATTTATTATTTAAAAGTATTGGTAACATTACAACATTAAATCATGTTAATTACCTGTGCTGAGAGAGGACTTGATATTTCAAAATCACCAGCTTTTGTGGCAGAAGTTGGAGGCATTCGACTGATTCTCATCCTATCAAATGAAGCACAACAATGTTTTAATTGATGTACTTAACAAAGAAACAACGAAAAGATGTCTTTAAAAGAAGTGTTGATCTTACCTGATAGGACTGCCTTTTGTGTATGGTGGACAGAGTATTTCAGCTCTGTAGATTCCCCTTTTGGGTCTTTGAACTTTCGGGGTGGAGGCCAGAGAAGGAGAGGGTGTATTTTGGGTTTCGTCATCTTTTACTGTGTTTTCTTGTTTCTCTTTCTTCTGTGGCGCAGCAGCTGTTTGTCTACGTGACAGATCTCTGGTTGACCTCCTGAGCTCTCTGACAGGCTCTTCAGTGTTGTCTTTTTCAGCTGGGCTGCTCTCTTTCTCCACCTCCATCTCTGCTGGAGGTTCTTCAGGTTTCATATCTTGTTTGTCTTCAGCTTTCTTAGCTTGAGCCTTTTTTCCAGATTTTCGAACTTTCATCTTTTTATCAACAGAACAACTCTTTGCTTCTTCATTCTTCTCCAAGCTTGTAACTTCAGGTTTCTTCTCAGTTGTTTTTTCTTCAGGTTCCTTCTCTGCTGCCTCCAGGACTTGCTCTTGAAGCTGGCTCGGCTTGCTTTGTCCCTTATTGGGTTTGTTTTTAACTCCATCAAGGCTCGGCTGCTTAAAAGCATTCATAAACTGCTTTCTCTCCGCCTCAGTGCTTTTAGGATTGGAGCTGGACTCCACCACATCTAGTTCCAGATCTTCCTCAAGAAGAACAACATTAGACTTCCTTTTGAGGTCAGGCAAAACATCAGGTTTAACCTCAGGCATAGGATCAGACAATCTCTTCTCATCTTTTACTTGGCTTTTTTTATTTCTAATAAAAATGGAGGCGATTTTGTAATCCTTGGACACTTTTAGAGACTCATGGTGATCAGGGGAAATGGGATGCACCTCTGCTTGAATGGTGAGAGTTCTGGGTGACACCTGCAGAGGACCGACAGCAGAATCACCTGCATTATTACAGATGTTCACTTCACTTGAAGTCTCAGCAGTGTCAGTCTTGGAAACAGCATTGCTCTCCTCCTCCTCATGACTTTGATTGTGCATAAAATCTAAAAATGAGATGGTGACGGTGTTGCTTTTCTTTTCGGCACACTGCTCAGGTTTAGCACCACACACCGGCTCTTGAGCATCACCAACACATTCCTTACTCTCTTCACAGTCACCTTTTGCCTTACGGTTTCTCCTCAAGGCAGATTTTTTGTTCCCACCATCTTTTTTTAACAACGGTTTCTGTTCAGAAGTTTCCACAGACTTATTAACAGTCAGAGTACTTGAATCATCCTCTGTGGCATTTTTCCTCAAGTTGGATTCTTTCATATCAGGACAAGTTCTATCTGGAAGTCCAGCAGTTTCACTTTCCTTTGAATCACCGGGACTCTCAATAAGCACAACATCATCTGTGACCACCTGTGCATCCTCCTCTTTAGATTTCTTCTTGTCTTTAGTCTTCCTGGTGCGCTTCTGCCCTCGTCCTCGAACAGGTTTCCCTGAGACTTCTTGACTTACTTGCTCTGAAGAATGCGGCGAGTTTTCTTTAGCTTTCAGAGAGCAGTTTTTTATTTCTGGTGCAGGCGAGGTCTTCTTGAAGAAGTCCATGATGTTGTTGGATCGAGGCGGTGAGAACGGTTTCTCCACTATCTTGGGTGCAAAGTAGTTAGTGATAGTTCTGACAGATGGTGCATCGCCATCCTTTCTCATTTTTTTGCACGGCTGGAAAAGCAACAATTTTAATTTAATATAAATATTACACTTTTCTGATTATATAACTAAAACACAGCCATAACAGATTAACAGTTACACATTATTAATAAGACACATACCTGACCCTCGAAATCCTCCATGACAGCTGGCAATGCAACAACCCCAGCCATCTTTCACCCTAAAACTAAAGATCTGCATTTAAGAAGGATTTTAAAAGAGGTTAAACGCGAGCACGCCAAACAAAAGTGTCATGAAAGATTTAAAATGTTATTATAAATGTTATAATTCATAAACAGCTACTGTAACAGTTTGGGTGAATGTTGCTTAATATGTTAGCATAACGCTGGTAAAAGTGTAAGTTAGTCAAAGTGTGTTTGAAGAAATGTATTTAAATTGCAGACACTCACCTGTTGTTTTATTTCCCTCGGGGATCTGCTGATACATAATCCATGAATTACAGTGAAGAGTGCATAAATATGAATCCAGCAACGACTCCGAGTAAACACAAAGCCTATCTATCGACACATTTACCAAACAACGATATACTTCCCGGCGAAAACAAGCATAACGCGTTGTAAGAACCAACCCACAAACCCGCTCCGCGTGGAAAATTACTTTAAAAATCTGAAGTGCGCTTGAACCTAATATTAAGACCCCATTTTCTGTTATAATGTAGGTTTTGGGGTAGTTGAATTGTTTTCGACAAATGGCGCCAAACACCATGGACGTCTTTCGCCGCGCCGGTTCGGCCAATCACAGTGACTGTCGTCATGCAGTCTGAAACAGGAAAAAGCGCATTGTCGAATTTCAAAATAGTATCATCCTTATGAATTTATATCTAGAGAGCAAACAAGTCTTTCTCGGTGTAATTTCTCTTAAAGGAGTTATTCTGTCCTGTTAACTGCAATTAAGTTCGACCATAGGGAAAACTATTTCTTATATCCTCACTCACGTGCCCCAAGATTTAAACGATTCGTTTATCATGACAAAATATTTGATTATTTTAAAACAAATCTTATATTACTATCTTACTCAATAGTAGGATATACACACAGGTCATTAAATACAACGATTAAAGGACGGTGATAATATATAAAACAAGAGGTCGGTACCTTTATTTTGAAAGACTAGCCGAAACAATGTTTGCAGCAGGCTTTAAAGGCCTTTTCCCTTTCCCAACATCTACAAAAGAAACAACGAATGCCTGAACGAGATTAACCTAAAGCCCAAGGTATTTATTTGCATTTCGCCTTAATTTTAATGTTTGAAATTTAATCATTATATTAGTTGTATTTTAACTCAAAATGTAGGCAAATAGGGCAGAGTTGTGACTAGCATTGACGCTAACCGCTTTGTCCGTGCCGTGTTATGTTTTAAGTTACTCCAGGTTTTGTAAATCGATTAAAAGTTCAAATGTTTGTAATAACAATAAAATTTATTTAACGTCTGTCAGAACTTGTGGCTTAGTCTCTTCGGGAACTGGGCAAATTCTGGTAGTGTAAATGGTTTTATTTGTTGATATTTTGTTTATTTGTATATTCAACTGTTATTATTATTATTATGTCTTTTATTTATAGCATATAGTATAAAGCAATATAGCATTAACAATTACTATGTATAAATGAACACCAGAAATCATCACGCATTTAAGTCAAGTAGCGTATTAATGTACCGGTTTACGAAAAAATTAAGTTTTCTGTGAAATTATTTTTATATATATATATATATATATATATATATATATATATATATATATATATATATATATATATATATATAAAGAATCATCAAACATAAAAATACTTGCATGCCATTATATATATATATATATATATATATATATATATATATATATATATATATATATATATATATATGCATATATATATATATATATATATATATATATGCGTTTAAAGTCCACCATTTAATAATTTGTCAAAAAATTTGATTACTGATGTCTATGTAAACACAGTCACTGTCTTTTTCCCCTATGTGTGTATGTGACGGCTGCGGCTCAGAAATAATTAATCTCAGAATAAATTGTCATCATATTAAAAACTATTTTGATCCATGTATAATTTTGATATAATAATTATAAGTATTATTAAATAACAAAAATATATTTATTTTTAATTGTCATAATAATAAACCACACAGAACTGAACTGAAATTTAGCTCTGAAAACTGGACTGACAGGTTCATTTTACTATAAATTCTATGTTAAGCTGCTTAGACACAATCTACATTGTAAAGCGCTACAGAAATAAAGATGAATTGAATATTAATATTATTATTATTATTATTATTATATTACTCATTGAAAGAGTCACTGGGAGATTTGCCTAATTTGATTTTGATGTTTTTTCATTTGTATCTCTGTTTTGCAGCTGTCGGCATCTTTCGGGATCATCTTGGTGTGTGTGTTATTATGATGCACAAGCTCATAGTCTCTTAATTTGTCTGGGGGGCGAGTGTATTTGTGGTCTCTGTGAGACTAACTGAGGACTGGAGAACCAGAGTTTTTTTTTTTTATCATCAGCCTCACATTGAGGAGTGTTTCTACTAGTGTGTCTATGCATGTGTGTCATCATGGGCGACTTCACTGACCTGGACAGACAAATTGAGCAACTCCGACGTTGTGAACTTATCAAGGAAAATGAAGTCAAGGCGTTGTGTGCCAAAGCAAGGTAACTCCTTTTACTCCACCATAAACAACCAATAAATGTCTAAATGATTGATGCTGATTGTTTTGAATAAACTGAACAAGAATTGCCTTATTTATGCTATCTGTATCATTGTTTTGCTTTATAGGGAGATTCTGGTAGAAGAGAGTAATGTTCAGAGTGTAGATTCTCCTGTCACAGTGAGTATTTCTATATCAATGACCTATATAACCTTTTACAGGACTATGCAATTGATCAATCCACCTTTTTTTGCAGGTCTGTGGTGACATACATGGCCAGTTTTATGATTTAAAGGAGCTCTTTAGGGTAAGCAATTAATAATTCAGCAGCATACATGTTTACTTTATAGTACATGTCTAAACTAGGGCCCACAGGCCAAAGTTGGCCCATGGTAACATTTGACTCGGCCCGCTATTGTTTGTTTGTTTGTTTGTTTGCTTTATTTATAGAGCACATTTAAAAACAACAGATGTTGTTTAAAAACAACAGATGTTGACCAACATGAGCTATTCACATGAGAAGAGGGGGAAAATGATGGGAAGGATTTGAGTGAATATCTTGAACAGAGATCGTAATTTCTTTAGTGTAGCCTGTTTTGTTTGTTTTATTGCTGAGCCACAAAAAGCAAACTGAAATTAAATGTCCCAATTACATATTTGTAAATGAATCAGATTTTTTCAAATCTAATTAGTCACACAACAAATCAAAGTAAAAACAGGTGCAGCTTGACTAGTGTAACTCCATTCTGTAATTCATGGCATTATTTTTAACTGTATTAAGTTTATTATACAAGTAAGATATGTGTATATACTGCATTAGTTAATATAAAGTAATGTTCTCTAGTTTGTTTTATGTATTAAATAATTTAGGAAATTACTAATGACAACATTAACGTAATAGAGTTTGGTATATTTACCTTTGGCCCACCACACTTAATCTAGTTTGGTTTGTGGTCCTTCATAAGAAAAAGTCGGGGCACTCCTGCTTTAGAGGGATATTTCAATCAAAGATAACGTGTAGTTAATTTACTCGTTCTCAAGTCATCCAAAGTGAAGTTTATTCATGAACTTGTTTCGAGAGGAGCATGTTATTTATGATTGGACACAGCTGGTCCTGCCTTAACCAGTGCATGATTCACCAATCACATGATTCCTAACTCGCTGTAAATAACCAGAGTTTCTTATTACAGTTATCTTCGCCTTGAATCTCTTTTTCCACCCCTACTCCTCCACCTTTCCCTTTATATGGTGGCCCAGTGGTTAGCACTGTTGCCTCACAGCAAGAACCTCACTTTTTTAAAAACCTCACGTTTATGTGCAGAGGTTACATGTTCCTCCTGTGCTCGTGTGGGTTTCCCCCGGGCTCTCCGGTTTTCTTCCACAGTCCAAAAAACATGTGTCATAAGTGAATTGATCAATCTAAATTAACACCATAGTCAAGCTCTTAACCAGCAGTATATCTTTACATAGCAAATTATGATCTGTCATCAGCTCTAAACAAAGAGGGGCGTTCTCAAAACCTACCTGAGCTCAAACTCCCCTCTCGCCCTGCAAAGGGAGGGAGCCCCAAGCTTAAGGATCTTATGAGCTTAGGGCTCTCTCCTAGAACATCATGCCAAACTCGCTTTATGATTAATCATCAGCTAAGTTTGAACTCTTGAAGTGAAGTTTATCTTTTGTTTTCACCAGAACATTAAAGATGAGTTCTAGCTGTAACCATAGTCTTTGGTGATTGATAAAATGCAACTCAATGCTACTTCCACCTTTGGCACTTTTCACTGCATAGTACATCTCCTTTAGAGTTTTTCTGTTCTGCACCTTGTACTTTTTTATTACCAACTTGGGTGAGGTTCCATGCAAGCCATACAATTACATTTACCATGTTAGACTGCTGAAATCTAGATGAACTTCAACATGCATTGCAATATATAATATTTGTAAATCCCAGCTAAATATAGATAATGGTTCTAGATTGATAGTGACATTTATTTTATCCATTATTCATAATTTTAATTTCTTCTGGGTTTTTTTTCTTTTGTTTTTTAACTGTTAAAGGGACATTAGGTTGTGTGTTACAAATTACTTAGGACAATCACTAACACTCTTTACTAAAATAAAAAATGTCACTTATACCTTTAATTGCCATAATATAATCAACATAATATCTTTGGGTAAATTCTCCTTTTTAAATTTGTATGGACCTTAGGAGATCAATTTTTGAAAGCTAATGCATTGTGCTGTTTATCTCTGATGATTGTCTTTAGGTCGGGGGTGAAGTCCCGGAAACAAACTACCTCTTCATGGGAGACTTTGTGGACCGAGGGTTTTATAGTGTGGAGACGTTTCTGTTGCTGCTAGCATTAAAGGTGCAGTAACTGCCTGCAAGTTAATCTTGTTTCTTTTGTTATAGTTGCATTATATTCAGAAATCTTTGAGTAAAGATGAATTGTATTAAAGCCACTCTATACTGTATCCTTAATGGTCTTTTCTTTATTTATTCCTTCAGGTGCGATACCCTGACAGAATTACACTGATCAGAGGGAATCACGAGTCTAGGCAGATCACACAAGTCTATGGCTTTTTTGATGAGTGTCATCGAAAATACGGCTCTGCTACTGTGTGGAGGTACTGCACCGAGATCTTTGACTACCTGTCGCTCTCTGCCATTGTTGATGGCAAGGTAGGTCTTCTTACTTCACACAAAAAATCTAAATTAAGTATTCATGAAGTAGATTGCACATAAAGCCTGATTTATACTTCTGCGTCAAGTGACCAGCGTAACCCACGGCGCAGGCAACGCGCGTAGCTGTGCATTTATACTTCTGCGCGCTGTCTCTGTCGGTCTGCATTAACACTTCCGAAACGCTAGTTGGCAGTGAGGTGTAAATGTTCCTCTGTGTTGAGTTTCTTCGCTACTTTTTTGCTTTTCCTGAACACTTCCGGGATGTACAAGTGGCTCAAACTCGCTCATTTTGAGGCAGGAACCGGCGGACGTGCAACAACTTTAACTATTAGGTAAACACAAAACAAAACTTTCCATCCGGAGCTTCTTCACGGGACTCCACACTTGTAAACAATCGCTCGCGCGGCTCTCGGTCCCGCCCAGACTCGTCAGCGCTACCAAGCCGACCAATCACAGAGCTTACGCTACGCGTCGTTGCGACGTGTAGTTACATTTTTTTGAGAGGTGCACGTCAGTGACGCCGATGGCCACGGCGAAGGGCTATGCGTCAGCGCCGTAGCATACGCCGGTGTTTGACGCAGAAGTATAAATCAGCCTTAAAGTTAAGGAAAGTTTGCCTCAATTGCAGCTTCCATGCAAGTTCGAATTATTCAACTTGAGCTGAAAATCAGCTTGTAGTGGAAAAACATCCCATGAGTAAACTAAAGCTAGTGACATCATTCTCTGAATTTGTTGGGACCCCAGCATAAGGCTGTTTACAAAACAATGATGTACTGAAGATAAAGTTTTACATTTGCAGTTTTGAAGAGTTTGCATTGTCTGTTCACACTGATCTATAAGAAACATTTAAAAATGCTGCATTATGCATGCTTGGCCAGTAATAAAGAAACACTACACACTTATGTATGTTAGGGTTGTCACGATACTGGAATTCGATACCAGTCAGTACTGAAATTTTAAATATGTCCATTTCCTGCTAACATTTGAGCGCTGTGGATCATGTTCTTAAACAATGCTGATTTGCAATTGTGTTCAAGTGCTCAACAGTTATTGGACATGAAGGTCATCAGTTCACTGAACTCCCTGCTGTTTATTGAGTGCGCCCTAAATTGGGCTCAGGTGCGGTTCACTTGGCCGGCCCTGGCCTGGTTGGAAGAGATGTGCCAGAGCGTGGTTCACTTGGGCTCAAAACAAAAGATGAGATGTGACTTATAAGTGACTGTTTCACAAGTGTGCTTCGGCCCGGTTCAAGGCAACTGTACATACGCCCTGAGTGTAACCACAGATACAAGGACACTGGAGTGTTTTACACCTGCGATTCATCAGCAGATCGCTTGTATGTCAGCCTATAGGCAAACCAGCTGATCGACATGACTTTGAAACACTCTAGTGACCCTGTATCTGTGGTTATACTCAGTAAAACTGCAGTGATGACCTTCATGACCAGTTACAGTCATTTCTGTTGAGCACGTGAACAAGAAGGGAAATTAGCAGTTTCAGAACACTGAAATGGATGTTTTAAAATTCTGGTACCGCCTGGTATTGAATTGCAGTATCATGATGACACTAATGTATGTACAGTCTTGTAGTTTGCCATAGTTGTTTTGGTTGTCAAATGCTTTTGCGAATTTGTCAACTGAACATGAAATCCTCATGTGCATGACATCATGCCCTCACAATCAAGTGTTTGTAACTTTCACAGAGTATTGCAAAAACGCATTTTAAGATGAAAACTGGTGTAAACAGCCACTGTTTTGAACATCTACTGACCCCAGATTTATATACACTGTTTTTGATCCCCCAGATATTTTGTGTGCACGGTGGTCTTTCTCCATCTATTCAGACCTTAGATCAGATCAGGACTATTGACCGAAAACAGGAAGTTCCTCATGATGGACCCATGTGTGACCTACTGTGGTCTGATCCAGAAGGTGAGACAAAAATGATATTATACCATTTAAAAAGGCCATCAATATGTAGCTATATGTTTCCACCCACCTATTTGTATGCACATATTGGATATGCGCATTTAAAAAAAATGATTGATGGATACGCCAAGATGTTTATGAATATATTATTTAATAAGAACAGATGTGCATAAGCTATGATGGAAACACTTTTACCAAACAAATATAAGTTTGTGTATTTAAAAAAGGTCATGTGATTTTGTTCTAAGAGATCATGTGATGGTGAATTGTGTGTGAATGGACAAACCAGCAGGCTGAGCACATTGTAAAACATCTGAAATGTTGTTTTAATCAATCTAAAATGCCTTAACTATTTCAGTTGTAGTGTTACAACATTATTAATTATCTCCAGAAGTGTCAAGAACATCTGTGCTTCGTCACACCTTCATACATCACCATACATTCATCACGTGTCAGCATACTTTTTTTATTCTGAAGTGCAAGTCACTTAATAAATAAAGAAAAGATTGACACAGTTCTCCTACTGCAATAAATTCCGCTTTTACTTTTGATATTTGGCACCTGTTAATCAGGAAGTGACCATTTTGTTCTACTTAACTACTTGATTGGAATCTTTGCTTTATTCACATGGCTTATGTGATATTCTAGTTAAGCACATGCATTTAATTCTCATTTTTGGATGGAAACATAGCTAATATGTTGATTTAAAAGACCTAAGATTGCTAATTTTCTCCTTTCTCTAGACACCACAGGCTGGGGTGTAAGCCCGAGAGGAGCTGGATATCTGTTTGGTAGTGATGTGGTGGCACAATTTAATGCTGCCAATGATATCAGCATGATCTGCAGAGCGCATCAGCTGGTCATGGAGGGCTACAAGTGGCATTTCAATGACACTGTGTTGACAGTATGGTCTGCTCCAAACTACTGTTATAGGTGTGTCTTTTCTGTCTTACATTGCTCCCATAACTTTCTTTATGGTGAGATATTTTAAAAGGTGTGAGGTGAGTGATGCAAACCAGCATATTTACATTTTAAAGAAAGTTTTTTAACTGTTACTTTTTTCCTCCTATTATGGTATTTTCTTAGATGTGGAAATGTGGCAGCCATTTTGGAGCTTGATGAGCATCTCCAGAAGGAGTTTATCATATTTGAAGCTGCCCCGCAGGAAACCAGAGGCCTCCCTTCGAAGAAACCTGTTGCTGACTATTTCCTTTGACTCAAGTTCACCATCTTGATGCACATGTATAGACTCAATTCTTTTCTCAGGCTTTTTTTCCCTAGCCAACTTTTATCTGCACAACATTAATCTGTGAATGGACCTGTTACAGCATTTACTGCCTATTTCCAGTTCGCTTTTTACATTCCTTCCTCTTTATAAGGTTTTTGCGATACATCTTGTAAAATGTAATTAAGTGTTGACTGTCCTAATTATGTGGTAGTTTTGTATTATCAAATTGATCCTTTTTCCAACCAAAACAATAAAATGAACTGGTTTATATATCTGCATATTTTAATCTGTGCAGAAATGAGCAAATCCATCAACTAGTGGCTAGTTTTTAAAAACACTTAAGTGCAGTAGAAGTCAATTTACATTCTTTAAAATATTTTTGTTATAGTTGTTGAACAGAGCTTTTTTTTCTACAGTTTAAACATTAGTTTTAAACATTAACACATTTTAAATAACCTTCTTATGTATTTGCCATGATAACAGTACATAAAGTGCATCGGAAAGTTTTGATAGCGCTTCACTTTTTCCACATTTTCTTATGTTACAGCCTTATTTCAAAATGGATTAAATTCATTTGTTCTCAATTCTACACACAATCACCCTTAATAACATTGTGAAAATATTTTTTAACAAATTTATTTAAATTGAAAAACCTGAAAAAAATTGCATTAAGTATTCACAGCCTTTGCTGTAAAGCTCTAGGTTGAGCTCAGGTACATTCTGTTTCCACTGATCATTCTTGAGATGTTTCAGTAGCTTAATTGGAGTATACCTGTGGTAAATTCGGTTGATTGGACGTGATTTGTAAAGGCATACACCTGTCTACATAAGGTCCCAGGGTTGACAATGCATGTCAAAGCACAAACCAAGAATGAAGACAAAGGAATTGTCTGTAGACCTCTGAGACAGGATTGTCTCGAGGCACAAGGCTGGGGAAGGTTACAAAAAAACATTCTGCTGCTCTGAAAGTTCCAATGAGCACAGTGGCCTTCATCATCCATCAGTGGAAGATGTTTGGAACCACCAGAGTTCTTCCTAGAGCTGGCTGCCCATCTAAGCTGAGTGATCGGGGAAGAAGGGCCTTAGTCAGGCAGGTGATTAATAACCTGATGATTACTCTGTCTGAGCTCCAGCGATCTTCTGTGGAGAGAGGAGAACCTTACAGAAGGACAACCATCTGTGCAACAATTCACTATTCAGGCCTGTATGGTAGAGTGGCCAAACAGAGGTAACTCTTTGCCTGGAATTTGCCAGAAGGCATCTGAAGAACTCTCAGACCATTAGACTCAAAATTCTCTAGTCTGATGAGACTAAAATTGAACCCTTTGGAGTGAATGCCAGGCGTTACAATTGGAGAAAACCAGGCACGGCTCATCACCAGCTAAAACCATCCCTATTGTGAAGCTTGGTGGTGGCAGCATCATGCTGTGGGTATGTTTTTCAACAGCAGGAACTGGAAGACTAGTCAGGATAGAGGGAAAGATGAATGCAGCAATGTACAGAGACATCCTGAATGAAAACCTGCTTCAGAGTGCTCTTGACCTCAGACTGGGGCGACGGTTCATCTTCCAGCAGGACAATGACCCAAACCACACCACCAAAATATCAATGGAGTGGCTTCACGACAACTCAGTGAATGTCCTTGAGTGGCCCAGCCAAAGCCCAGACCTAAATCCTATTGAATATCTCTTGAGAGATCTGAAATTGGCTGTACACCTTCGTTTCCTACCCAACTTGATAGAGCTTGCGAGGTACTGCAAAGAGGAAGGGCAAAAATTCCCAAAGACAGGTGTGCCAAGCTTGTGGCATCATATTCAAAAAGACTTGAGGCTGTAATTGCTGCCAAAGGTGCATTAACAAAATATTGAGCAAAGGATGTGAATACTTATGTACATGTGATTTTTCAGGTCTTTTATTTTTAATAAATTTGCAACCATTTCAAAAAATCTTTTTTTTTTCCATACTGTCATTATGGAGTAGTGTGCGTAGAATTTAAGTATGCATAAACAAATGTGGAAAAAGTGAAGCGCTATGAATACTTTACAGATGCACAGTATTTACTACTTATTTTAGGTTTTTTTAACTAGGAAAGTTTAGTTATTTAGACAGTTCATTGGATAACAGTGGTTCTGTATCCAATCGAAAAAAAATCTTAAAGGGGCTAAAAAATTTTGACTTTAAAATTGTCTTTAAAAAAATAAAAACAGCTTTTATTCCACCCAACTAAAATAAAGCTTTCCTAATAGAAAAAACTGTATAGGAAATACTGTGAAGATTTCTGTGGTTAGTTAAACATCATTTAGAACATGTCTTGTTCACAGGAGGGCTAATAATTTTGACTTCAACTGTATGTACCTATTAGTCGTTGTGAATCTGTGATTAATTGGTGCTTATCAAACCTAAAAAAGTTGAGTTCAAAAAATGGAGAAACCTTTGAATCAAAATGTCATGACTTGTGTGTTAACACTTGAATGGGTAAAAGCATAGGTAACCATATTTGACAATACTCCCTTTTATTTATTTTCTTTTCGGCTTAGTCACGTTATTAATCTGGGGTCTCCACAGCAAAAAAAACACTAGCTTATCCAGCATATGTTTTACACTGCGGATGCTCTTCCAGCTGCAACCCATTACTGGGAAACATCCACACACTCCCATTCACAAATACACTACGGACAAGTTACCCCACGAACCCACATAAAAGCAGGGAGAACATGCAAACTCCACACAGAAATGCCAACTGACCCAGCTGAGGATCGAACCAGCGACCTTCTTATTGTGAGTCGACAGTACTACCTACTGTGCCACCGCGTCACCTAATCTAGTTTCAGTTTTGTTGAATTTAGAGAATTAAGCAGCTTACATTTATGCATATTAATTAGACCAGGTAAGGTGTTTAGCATAATTGCTGCAAATTTAAGTGTCAAACTAAGGAAATGATTGGTAACCAAATGTCTCACCATTCATAGAACCAACATAAATTGAGGAGAAATTGGATGATGTTTTATTTAAATAATAATATTTAAACACAATTCTTAAAATCTATTTGTCAATTAAATCATTTAAAGATAGTATCCTCAGTGCTGCCAAAAATACTAAAAGGAACAGAATCAAGTATCGTAAAATATGTGCTGATGAAGTCATCTCCTGATGTGTCATCTCTCTTGATTGGATCAATTATCTCTAAAACTGTTAACTTGCAACCAACAATGATAAAACCAATCCCATCACTCAATGTGCCTCAGTCAACCAGAAACCCAAATAAGCCATTAAAGCCTCAGTTTTGATACTGCTGTGTCATTTAACACAAATATACTCTAATCTGAGAGCTCTTTTCTTAGATATAGTGAAAGCGCTTGAGAAGATGAAGAGAAAATTAATGGCATTTTACCACTTACAAACTGAAATAGTGACTGAATTCTGATCCTATGTAAATGGTATGAATTTATTTAAACATCTTTTTGTCTATGTAAATGGGGCTCAGTTGCAAACATTTGTAAAGACAATCAAATCAGTTGTAAACAGCAAATATCTGCATTTATATGCCTCGCTGTAAACTTTTTTTAATGAGGGATATGTTAACTAATATCAAACCTAGAAATAATTCTTGAGGCTTTGAGAACATCCAGATTATTCATGATTTTCAGATCAAGCAGACAAAAAATACCGGCAAAATAAATCAATAAAACATCAAAATAAATCGAGCAACATGAAATGATAGCAGAACTATTTTTGAAATGTTCAGCACAGGATAAAAGGACTCGTAGTGTAAGTGTACTGTATTATAAGATGGTTTATTCCTTTGGTTATTACAGAGTCAGTCATGCATACACTGACCAAATTCATACTGAGTTTATAGCCTTCAGTTCAGTGCAACCAGAATACATTATATAAATAATCAATGGGCCTTTATTTTCCAAAACCGTGCTTTATACTGGATTTTGAAAAAGTTAATGAATAAATGAGGTCAACCTATGATTAACTGGAATGTGATTTCGGCAGTTAATGGTGCACTCTTTATATTAATAACCTCCAGCATCCTACTTGAGTTAGGCATCCAAGATATACAGTAAATCTTCTTATCCTACAGTCAAACTACATTCCCCTTCATTCGTGTTATGTCAGAGAGGCAGTTTGTAAACCGTTTTCTGTTACCAGTGGGCTTTTCGTTCCTCAGCAACTGTCTTCAGGAATTGAGAGTGATTGGCATAAAGAGCTAGCGAAGAGTCTATGTCAGTCCAGCTCACTTGACCGGCATCATCACCGGCTTGCAGTGGAAGTTCACTCACACTATCACCTAGATGAAGAGACGCAGAGGAGGAAAAATGACTTTACATAGTAACATGCCAGCTAAAATATCAATGTTTCATCTACAGTGCTCAGCATATATATAAGTACACCTCAGCACAAATCCCTCTTTTAAGTTTATATTTTTAATAGGAAGCTATACAATATTATTTTTGTGCATATACATTAGATAGTCAGTGCTGAAGCCAAATCTGGAGCTTATCGAACAAAATAACTTACAATAATGGTCTAAAAACTGGTACAACCAAATTTATGTTAAAGACAAATATTGAATACAAATTTAAAAGAGGAAAAATCTAAAGAAACAAAAATATTTACAAATTTGGTTAAAATAAGGTAGGTTGTAATTTATTTATTTTTTTTTTTTTTGCAATAGTTTGCTTGAATTTAATTGTATTATCTTTCAATTTCTAAATATGTTTGGTGACTAAAATATTATTTGAATAAATAATTTTGTTTAATGAATCTGTTTTGTTTAAATGCACCAAAATACATTGCCTATATTTACTAAGAAATGGATTAAAAATGTTCATTTTCAAAATGGGCTGTACTCAATTATGCTGAGCACTGTATATAGTTTTTTTTTAACCTGATTCATCATGGAAATTGACTGCAACTGTTTCCATCCAGGCATTATCTGTGTTTCTCGGATCATCAACATAACCTATATAGACCTATTGAGGGTAAAAAAAAAAAAAACTTTAATACAACGCTGGAAAGCTTTACAATTGTTTAGTGATTGTGTGTGTTTATTGGTGAATCTCTGCATTACAGAAATTTAATAAGAGCGAAAATGTTCTGGGGAGAACATGCAAACTCCACACAGAAATGCCAACTGACCCAGCCGGGGCTTGATCCAGCGGTCTTCTTGCTGTGAGACGATCGTGCTACTCACTGTGCCACCGTGCCGCCCAGAGAATTTATTATTATTTTGTATTATATACTGCATAATTGAAAATGAC